AATTTATGGCGCTACTATAGAATATTATAGACCTTTTACTTATAGTTAGGACCCTAAGTATTAAATATATTTATATTAATAATATTGATCTTATCTTTATTTATAAGATATATTTAGAAAGAGAGGTCGTATAGATTTCTATAACTATCTCTCTCTAATATTTTATAGCTTTAAAAGATTTCTTATATAAATAGAGTTAAATGCGCGATATTCTCTAGAAGAGTATATTCGAAATAACGATATACTATAGCTAGTTATTAGCCTTTTAAAACTTTAACTTATATTCGTCTAAAGTTTAAGACTAGTAGATATGTTTTATTTAATCTTACTAGATAATTAGATATATCTACTATTTAGCCGATATTAATCTTTATTATAAATTTATCTAATTCGATAAGATATACGAAAGTAGTGTTCTTCTTATCGTACTTAGAACTTAATCTAATAGGGACGTTTATTCTAATATCTAGCTATAGTACTACTATACGAGCGGCTTTAATAATAATAGGGCGAAGATACCTTTTCTTATTATATTATCTTATAATATAATTTTCAACTAATATATTATTTAGTAATAAACTAAATCTAAGAGGTACTAATTCGCCTTAAACTAATAACGCTAGTTTATTCTACGAGAAACGCTATTTAAAATTAATATTATTAGAAACTATTATATTAGTGCCTATAATATATAGAATTAGTAAGTAATTAATAACGTAAAATTCGCCTTTATATCTAATAACTTTACCATTTTTCGTACCTAGTATAATAGAAATATTAATATATTCTAAAGTCTTTAGTATCTATCTAATCGCGATATCTTTAATTATAACTAATTTTCCCTATAATAATATATAAACGATAGTATCTAGGAAATACTTTAGCTAATCTCGATAAATAAGGGATATTCTAAATTTAGTATTAGAGTAAAAAGGTATATAGTACTATTAGGAACGAACCTATATAGATAGGTAGAGTACGACGATTAGGGTAGTTCAGTAGGTTATAGATTATTCCTTAACGTGCGTCTTAACTAAGACTTAAAGTATAGAGAGGAGGGAAGCTCCTCTCATGCGATAAGCGTGCGATAAGCCTTCTACTCGAACTAGGTTCTCGAGTCTTAGCTTATTTATTTAGTTTAGGGGTTGTCTGAATCGACGTTTATAACAAGTACTATATAAGTATAATAAGATCTATAAAGGAGGGGTCGAAAGGACTCTTTATCTTAAGCGCTACTTAATAGTTCCTATTATAATCTATATCGAAACGTTTATAAAACATAAAAGCTAAGCCCTATAATATATACTCCTATTAATACTTACTTAATAATATATTTTCTTTTATAATAGGCTTACTATAAATACTTATAGACTTATTACCCTCTATTAACGATTTAATATTTAGTTTTTCTCGAAGCTTATTAGGGCTTTAGAGGATTTTAGACGCTTATTCTCCTTATTCTTAGAAAACTTAATATACTTTAGGCTATAAGGCTTATATTAATCCCTATAATTATCGACTATAATACTCTTCTTAGTTAGTAAAAAGTATAGTTTATAGCGAGTTTTTCGTAGCGATATTAATATAAGTAATACGTCTTATTTATAATATATCTACTATAAGAACGATAATATATCTAAACGAGAGGAGTCCAATCCTATATCGACTAAGTAGAACTAATAACGATTCTATTAATTATATTAATTATTTAAGTAACGTCGATTATATTAATTATTTTAATTATAATTATTTCGGTCGAAACGACGATTATCTTTTTTATTCTTAGATTTATTAGACTCCTTTAGATTTTTAAATTATTTCGTATATCCCTATCCTAATTAATACTACTATAGGTATATAGAACTTCGATTATAGTCGTAATTCTATTAAGAGAGATAGTTTAAGCGATACGCCTTAGCCTAACTAGTAGTTTCCTATAGGCGTCGTACTTAGTACTTAACTACATAAAAGCTACGAAGATACTCGTCTAAGGACTAACGCGAATCTAGTCTCGCTACGATAGTTTAAATAAATACGTCTATATCCTTCTATATTACTTATACTATAACGAACGAATTAATAATTCTAGTATTTTATATAAGTATCTATTTCTTAGTAACGTAGGCTCTAAAATTCGTATCTCTACTAAAATGGAACTTATATTTATTAATCTTTTCTTATATAATAGTAGAGTCTTTCGAGAAATAAGCTTATAGGTTGATAATCTATATATCTAGAGAGTAGTTTATATCTATTTTAGTAAAGAAGTCTAGAATATTATACTAAACGCGAGCTTTATTCTTTATATATAAAGGTAGAGAGTAGAGTATCGCGACTATATTGTATTAGTTAATTAGAGAGATAAGACGAGATACGAAAAAGGTAATATTCGCTCTATTAAAGTCTCTAATGTCTAACAATTTTAATTTCCGATTAGACGAGTATATAGGGATTAAACGAGTAACTAGTTAAGACTACTTAACTAGTGTAGGCTAGTTTATATACTCTATATATTCTATAGGTTAACGGCCTAAAGGGTATTTAAATATCTAGCCTATAGGGGTATATCTCGATACTTCTAGTATATAGAATCTATTTTAGTCTACTAGTAGTATACTAGAGTATAAGCTCTATTCTATTAGTAGTAGTTAATATAATTAACGTATAGAAGCTAGATATATTAGAATATATAAGTATACGAGAAACTTCGAGATAGATATTACGAGATTATTTTAGGTAACTAGATTATTTTAAGTACTAGCGAACTAATATTAATATCGTTTAGCTATAAATTTAGTTACTAGTAGTTTTATAGGTTTAGTAGTATCTAGATCTAGTCTAAGTATAAATTAATTAATAAATTCTTACGCTCTATTATTAAATATAAGGTCGTCTTTAATAAATCGTCGTTTAGTACGCTCGAGAAGATTAACTCTTATAGTTTTATTATAAAAAGAGAGTATACTCTTAGCGAACGATAGAATCTAGTCTATAACGAGACGTCCTAAGAGGGCGGTTTTATTCTCTAGAGTTTTAGAGATTAGTAGAATAAACTTAATATTTCGACGATATTAGTTTCTAGAATAACTAGCTACTAGAGGAGAAGGATTCTCTAGAGGAGCTAATATATAGGAATATTAATTAGATAAGAATTATAAAGGAGTAGAGCCTAGCGCCTCGTTAGCTATATCTTATCTTTAGTATCTAGTACGATATAATAAGAGATAATAGCGATTAAAATTAATATCTAGCGAAGAGTTATGAGATCGATATAATAAGTTGTTAGAGTAGTTTATTAGTACCTAATACTAGTTTTAAGGGTTTTAAGCTAAATTACGATTAAAATTTAAACGAAAGTTCCCTAGAATATCTCGAAAATATAGTGTTTAATGAAATATAGAGATAATTAGTATTAATTCTAAGACTCCTTCTAGAGATAGTTAATTCGATTATTACTTCTACTAAATTTATACTAGAGGTATTTACAATAACTATAAAGGTAACTACGTCTATAATAGTAACTATACTTATAGTATAAGAAGATAGGCGCTAGATAAAGAAGTAAGTAGTAAAGTCGTCTCTAGGTCTTACGTAAGAACGAGAGACTATAGTTATAGTAGAGGCGATAATATCCTAGTATCTCGTTATCGCTATTTAAGCTATTCTAGTAGTAGGCTATTCGTATATTCTTATAATCTTTCTACTTCAATTTTACGAGATCCTATTAAGTAGGAATTAAGAGATAGCCTAATACTTTAAGAGATATAATATTTATTAAATATAGATATATAAATATAACTATCGACTCTAGGGCTTGATAATTATTAATAAAAAATCGATTTCAATGGGATTAGGCCACTTTATTCGAGATTATAAAATTTACTAAGAAAGGTGGCCGAAGGATAGAGGCTTTGAATTAGATTTAAGAGAAGGGTGAGACTACGATTTTCGTTGTATTAACTAAGCACTACGATCTTAAGAGTTACGAAGTGGGATTATACGTAGGATGCTAGATCTCAATACGTAGTGTGTAGAATATCGTTGCTACCATTTATTATATGGATAAAAGGAAATAAGAAAATAAGCTGTATTAGCTAGAACAAGTCACTTGAAGTAGTGTCAATTGAATTGGTTGGGCTGTCTCTGTCTCCCTACTAGGAGAGAGAGAGAGAGAGAGAGAGGAGAGAGTAGTAGGTGGCAGTGGCAGTGGTGCCAAGCCCCACGTGACCTCACGTGACATCGTGTATCCAGGACTTCCCTACTACTATACTAAGACCGCGAACAGCGCACCGACTCAAGGTATATCAGATCAGTTTAAAGTCTTGAGGAAGACTTTGATAGTAGTCCTTGTCTAGAGATACATCATGAATGCGCATGGGAAGTAGCATTCGAGACTAAATTAGCCGCTCGTCCTTCTGGATCTCTAAGACGAGACTCGTAACCGAAACTACAGACTTCCTACCTACCTAACTATTCCCATACCACCCTGGCTTGACGCGGGTCCTTTCAAATTGGCGATCCTATTCTCTCTTGTCTAAGCTACTCTTTCCCAACATTGTATGGACTACAAGATGAAGGATTCGCTACGACGTGCACCGCCACAATTCGAGATAGGGCAATCCCTGCCTCTAGTGGAAGTTTCATTGGACGACATACATCAGATCCCTGACCTATTCGTTTCTACTCGCATCAGGCAGAACATTTCGGAAGCAATTATGAGGAGTGTAAGCAGACCGGATTCTCCAACCTTGACGTCATATCTTCTTGTCGACGAGATCCTCGTCAACCAAGGATATCGACGATCCCAAAACTTGGATAGGCTACACAAGGAAGGCCCGACTTTCGAAACACCTATACAAGAAGGTCTAGCCTCCATTTCATAGTCCATCTTCCTCAGTCGTATATCCTCCCAGAAGATCAAGTCATATTCGTGCAAAACCTCAGGAACTGTTATTCCAACCAAATCACCCCTTACCTCCCAATAACTTCAATCAACAACAATGCCAATCAACACATCCTCATCCGACACCGGCGTGACCGGCGCCGCGAAATTTGTGACCTCGACTGTCGGCGTACGTGTTTAAGCTCCTTCCCAAAACTTCCCCCCTCCCCTCCCAGCCTCGTGAACCCACCCCATTCCACACCAGAACACCATCGGCGAAATAGGATGCGTCATCGGCGTTACCCCCAATGCCCAACTAACCATCCCAAACTCCCTCACATTGCCTGAACCCATGATCACTCACTAACGTACCACTCCCACAACAGAACACAGTCGGTGGCCTCGCACGCACCGTGGGTGGTGTGACCGGCGCCGCAGGCCGCGGGATCGGCGACACGATCACGGGCGCGACGGGCTCGGCGGGCAAACCGCTCGGCGACGGATTGGGCAATGCCGCGAGTGGTGTTGAGAGCGGGACCAAGAAGGTCGCGGAAGGGGTTGAGGATGCGGGACAGTGGAAGAGTGGTGCGAAGAGATTCTAGATTGGGGGAGTGTTGGAGCGATGGGGATGGGGACAAAGATGATGAGAGTGGTGACGAGATAAAGATTTGATGAATGTTGATCGGGAAAGAAGGAATAGGTGGAGATGGGAATGGAAATAGGAATGGTTCTGAGAGATTTCCGGTCCAGATCAGTTCAGATCGCTACTGGACTTTTGTATTAATTAATATCCCTCTCGTTCTTGGACCTTGAGACCTGTCGGCGCAGACCCTGGCTTTCATTTGAGGGAGAAGATGGCATCGCTCGTTATGAAATCGCGAGTATTTATCCACTTGGTTGCGGGACTTCATGAGAAAGAAGCAAACAGGAGCCGAACAATATTATTTATTCCTCTACATGTATGTCTGGGTCTCGATCGCCCAGTATGAGAATAGTAACAACGCCATATACATGCTAATGATTTGATGTTGAAAAATGCCACACCCAAAGGACGTTGCCCCACATGATAAAACGGCAAAGGTTACGGTCTCTGATTTCCTCTCGATGCCATTCCCAAATTTGGTTGAGAAGAAGTTTACGCCCTTTCAGGAGCCCTCGTATCGTAGTCGGAGTTTCGCATCGCTCAGTCCTTAACTCCTTGCACTGTGTGACCATAGATGATCAGAATGTTGAAATCAAATCATCTTCTAGACGCTTGCAGTGCTTTTCCATAGTAATGTTGAACTCCTCATTTGATCCCTGAATTGAATGCCTCAAGATATGAAAAAAAACTCTGGACGGGTATATCATGTCGGCGTTGGAGCTTGCATGCCGGTGATCCCTTCCTGCTCGAATCCCTCTACCGGTGTGCATGTACAGAATAAGTTTGTGTCACCATACGCATCATCCACCCGTGCCACAGATGGCCAGAACTTCTTCTCTCGCAGCCATGGTAGTGGATATGCAGCTTGCTCTCTGGTATAAGGTCGCTCCCATGTTTCCGTCAGGAGATCTGCTTGAGGATGTGGTGCGTTTTTGAGTACATTTCCATCACGAGGAACTTTGCCTTCCTCGACATCTTTGATCTCCTTTCGAATCTCGATAAGCGCATCACAGAAGCGATCTAGTTCTTCCTTTGATTCCGACTCTGTTGGCTCAATCATCAAGGTGTTTGCAACAGGCCAGCTCATCGTAGGAGCATGGAAACCGTAATCTTGCAGCCGTTTGGCAATGTCAATAGCTTCGATTCCACTGGTCTCCTTAAATCCACGAGCATCAAGAATGAACTCATGAGCACAGCGACCGTTTTCGTTAGTATAAAGAATCGGATAATGATTCTTGAGCCGAGACATGATATAATTGGCATTAAGAAGAGCAAGTTTGGTACCATGTGTGAGTCCTTCACCACCCATGAGTTGAATGTAGGCATAACTGATTGGGAGAATGGACGCACTTCCCCATGGCGCAGAGCTGACTGGAGAGATTGCTTTGGAATCAGCGTCCGTATTTGCACCGGGACGATTGTGAGGATCCCTGTGGGGATGGGTTGGAAGATATGGAGCAAGATGCTTCTTGACAGCAATTGGACCAACACCTGGCCCACCGCCACCGTGAGGAATGCAAAATGTCTTGTGAAGGTTGAGATGGCAAACATCAGCTCCGATTTCTCCGGGATTGCACAGTCCGATTTGTGCATTGAGATTGGCACCATCCATATAAACCTGTCCTCCATGTTCGTGTACAATTTCGCAGACTTCCTTAACTCGGGGTTCAAAGACACCGAATGTGCTTGGATAGGTGATCATTATGGCTGCAAGTTCGTCTTTATGCTTCTCACATTTTGCTTTCAAATCTTCGATATCAAGGTTACCAGTTTTTGTGTCACATTTGAGTGGAACGACCTTCATGCCAGCCATAGCTGCAGACGCTGGGTTAGTGCCATGTGCCGAGACAGGAATCAGACAGATATTTCGCTTTTGACCATTCTCCGAGTTTTCATGGTGTTTCTTGATGACACGGAGGCCAGCAAACTCTCCTTGAGCACCTGAATTTGGCTGTAAACTGGTAGTGTGCATCCCGGTAATGTTTGTCAAAGCAATTGCAAGCGCCTTGATTAGTCTGTCATAGCCTCGAGTATTTGAACGGTGTGCGAAAGGGTGTAATTTGGAAAATCCATGATAAGAAACGGGGAGCATCTCAGTCGTGCCGTTCAATTTCATGGTACAAGATCCTAATGGTATCATGGAATGTACCAAAGAAAGATCTTTGGATTGGAGATGATGGATGTATCTCAAAAGTTCCGTTTCAGAATGGTGTTGATTGAATACCGGATGCGTCAAGTATGGTGTCTTTCTCTCCAGATTGGCGGGAATACTGTCGTCATTCGTCATTTCCGTGATAGCTGGATTAAGTAGAGCGGCCTTGAAACTCTCCAGGCTGACGCCGAATGTGTTCAATAATTTGAACAAAACCCTGGTTGAAATTGTCTCATCTATTGAGAAGGCTATTTGGGCATCTCCTGTACCCGGTACCCGTCCAATGTATCTGAGCGAAACTCGCTCTTGCCTCGCAGATTCCAAGACACTCTGGATCACATCCATGGGTGCAGACACAGTCACCGTATCGAAGAGAACAAGGCCATCCTTATCTCTACCTTTTGTGATGATATTGAAACCATGATCAGCAAGGAGGATCTGTGAGAATCTCGCCATGGCAGAGATTCGTTTGGCGATGGCCTTGAGTCCCTTGGGTCCATGGTAGATGGCATAGAATGCGCTCATGTTTGCCAGCAAGGCTTGTGCAGTGCAGATATTGCTAGTGGCCTTTTCTCGTCGGATGTGTTGCTCACGTGTCTGTAGAGCCAGACGAAGAGCGCGATTTCCCATGCGATCCTTGGAGACGCCGACTAGACGACCAGGAATCTTACGCTTGTGCTTTTCACTACAAGCAAAGAAAGCCGCATGGGGTCCTCCGAATCCCAGAGGGACTCCGAAGCGCTGAGCGCTTCCCAGAGCAACATCAGCACCAAACTCGCCAGGAGATTTGAGGAGGGTCAAGGCAAGGAGATCTGTGGCAACACAAAAAGTAGCCCCGGCATCATGGACTGCATCCGACAGACCTTGATAATCATGAACACCCCCGTTGGTGTCTGGGTATTGCGCCAGAACACCAATAAGATTGTCTCCTTGATCGCGCACAAGCTTATGATCGTCGTTCAAGACATCACCAGTGACAATTTTGATCCCAAATCCGGAAGCTCTCGAAGCCAGGACTTCAATGGTCTGGGGATGGCAAGAACTGGACACGACAAAGACCTTCCCTTCCTTTTTCTGACGAGATGATGGCAGTGCGTTCAAAGATAGTGTCATGGCTTCAGCGGCTGCTGTACCCTCATCGAGCACCGAAGCATTGGCAATAGATAAGCCGGTCAGATCGGTGACGAGGGTTTGAAAGTTCAAGAGGGATTCCAGCCGGCCTTGACTAATCTCTGCTTGATATGGGGTGTAGCTGGTGTACCAAGCCGGACTTTCAAAGACGTTCCTCTGGATGACGGAAGGAGTGTTGGTACCGTAGTAGCCTTGGCCAATAAAGTTGTAGTAGGCATTGTTTTCGACAGCCATTGCAAGGAGCTCCCTCTCGATGGCAACTTCGTGAACACCAAGCTTGTTCGGCTCGTTGAAAGCATCCTGCAACCACAGCGGTCTGGATGCACGAATATCGCGAGGCAGAGACTGGTCGATGAAGTCATCCAAGTCTTGAGCAGGAGGATCCAAGACATTTATCATCTCTTTCTCCTCTTCTGCCGAAGGACCAATGTGCCTGTGACTAAAGAGGCTATCCGGTGTACGAAAAGACACTCTTGAGCCGGGTGGTATCTCGATTCGCACGTGTGGGGATGGGAATTTAGCGTCCTCTTCATGGTCGGCATCGAAATCGCTAACCTTGGCCTCGCTGACTAAGGATCGCCTATATATTCTAGAGAGGTGCCGCGTGTTTAAGGCTGGCCGAAGGAGGCGTTGAAGAGACATGGTTGCAACCTGCCATTTCGGAGCAGTGAAAGCCATGGTTCAGGCAAGAGGGAGTGTAGAATGCGAGGGCAGCATATGCGCTGGGTAAAGGGTAAAACTGCACGCAGACTATGCAGCAGTAAAGCGCAAATAGGCAGAGAATGAATGGAAGGGAAAAATCAAAGTGAATTCCAGATGAACCGCCTCGCCGCACCTCAACTCTTGAAGTCGAACGCCCTGGGATTTGGCATCGGAGGGATGTTCGTGAAATTCTAAGCGCACTGCTTGCCGACGATAACCTGATAAGAAAATTACCACCTACGAATACCGCTAGGGCTACTGTGACCAATGAATGGACGTATTGTACCACTTTAGCGTCACAAGTCGCGTCTATCATACCATACGATACACCAGGTCCCTCATTCCGTGTTTATGGCCACATCAGAGCATCACTTGCCACCCCCTCATAAAATTGTTGCTGCTTCTCCCTCAGATTTAAGAGACGGTATCAAAGCGATGCTTCAGAGACTTCACAACCACCTGATTCAAACTCAAGAAGACGTGGTGTATTTCTTGATCGGCCCGGCTTGAGATACGTTTTCCTCCTTTGGCGCCTCCCAACCCTCACATTTTGTTACGAGGGTTCCGGGAAGATTTGGCCAGTCAAAAGACCTGCCAGAACGTTGGGATTACGACATATTACATAAAGTCCTCCAATGATCGTCGACAGATTCCGGAGTTGCGAATTTCCAAGTCATCATCCATGGTCTTCTCCGCGTTTGGGTGACACCGATGTGTCGTGTTCCATCATAGAATGCTCCAGCGTGCATGGTTTCGACAAGAGTCTAATAACAGCTGTCAATCGCTCATGTGGCTTCGGCCCCTAGTGAGGTGACACAACGATGTCATTTCTATTCCGCACTGAAAAAGTTGCCAAACTCATCGATATTGGCAAAAATCTCTTGCATGTTTTGGCTGAGCACGAATGGCCCATCTAACACAGACGGGCTCAACGTATGGTTTTCTGCTGCCAGAATCGCCGCCATCATTGGACTCGTATTGCAATTCTCGTACGGAAAGTAATCCATCCAATTCACACCGTCAAGAGCGGCGAGCTCCTCTAGACAATGTGGTAAAGTGCATTGTCGATGTCCTTGTGAAATGTCATCCGGGGCAAAATTGCACTGGTGTTGAATAGGCGCTGCCAACGGTACAGGCCTCTGATCGACCAGATCGAGATCACGCCCCAGTTTTTCGTATACATTGGTGAATGATTTAGCAGAGCTCCACATACCTCCCATCTGCCTCAAAGTTTCCAGAAGAATCCAGACATCTGCATCAGAGTAGGGTGCGAGACAATCGACCCGACGAGCGTGTGCTAATGTGAGGACGGAAAAGGAAACAAACCAACCCAACTCTTCGGGAACGAAGCGTATGAAACCGCGTGCTAGGAATTCCTCGCAGATTCTCGCAAGGATTGAAGCAGCAACAATTCCTGGCACACAGGCTTTGGGAGGTGCATCACTTGAGAAGCTCAAGTACACCATCACAATGGCCCCAAGATAGGGAATGTGGAGAAGTGCAACGTCACGGTTGAACTCTTTTCTCTCATTCCCAGGAGAGGATAGTTGCAGATCAGATGGGACTTTGCGTATCCAGTCCACCAAACGCTTACGTGCTTGGAGTGTAGCCGGAAAATAAGCTGCTCCTTGGGCGAGAAGCTTACTTATATCGCCCAGGATATCACACAGTTCCACGTACTGTATGAAAATACCTGCTTTGAAGCTGCAACTTGCTGGGAAGTCATTCACTGTCAGCGGCGAAACATTACAGTACGCAGGATCAATCACGCATGGTCGTCCCAGACACATTGCTGTTATTCTTTCTCTAGCCTCCAATGGATTTAGCAAAAGGGTTGATGTGCATTATGGAAACGAGTACTCACAAATAAAGTCCACCATATTCGCTTCCTCAATGATTGTAGTGGCCTTGAGAGGTCGCTGGATTTCCCTTCTCGATGCAAGCCTTCCTCTTGCGCAAGTCGAATAGCATTCCCCAACCACCACCAGCCAGTGTCAGTGTTATTAACGGTGTTCATGGCAGTCATATCCCAATAATGGAATAGCATAATGGCACAGATCGTGACCAGTGGATTGCTTTCTTTATTGGTATAGAATGCGTGCCGTGCCATTTGGTAATGCTCAGACGAAGGCTCATAATGAACCAAGGGTGGCTTGAGATTTGTCCCAACCACTGCAATACCATGGTTGAGGAGTATTGAGTTTGCAAACTCAGGATGAGCCTTCAAGAGCTCTTGGTCCAGTATTGGACACCAAGTGTACACGCACGCCAGATACGTCTCCAAATATGTCCTTTTCAACACATGGTTTATCTCGATTGGTATTCGGGCTTCTGTCGGTCGAGCTCTATCACTGCCCGGACTGACTCCATTGTTGATGGCCGGACTATGTCCAAGTTGGCCGTGTGTCAGGGCGACTTCAGAGCTTACTGATCGTGGTACATCATTTGCTCCTGTAAGCTGGGTTGAAGAGCCTCCTTGTGACAGACTCATGCGTCTCATCAGCAGCCTGCCATGATGACCTTCTTGATCCGAACCGAGTCCTCGGGTCGTTGCAACACCAAGGTCTTGAGACAAGGCGACTTCGGAAATATTGAACTCGTTTGATTGATCTTCCTCTCGAGGAAGTAATGACTTGCGAGCATATGCTTTTCGTGATCGCAGACTTTCAATACTCGTGGTAAGAATATAGCTTCAGGCCGCAATGTCTCCCTGGGCATGCCGGCTAAGAAATCGGGTGTCTTTACTCACCAACAATCAATCCGCGCCTCTCGACATGGCGCACATGCCACGATGGCCGTTCCTGGGCCCATCTCCACATTGCATTTCACCTACGAGAAGGTTAGTTCGCCGGACGATGGCTCGGCAGATTACGGTATATGTGTTCATGATGTGGTACCTTTTTCTCGTGGCATCTACGACATGCTAATCGTCCTCGTTTCCGTTTCTCGTCCCTTTCTCCAGGGGGTGCCGCCATCGATATGTCACGCAATGCCATTCAGATTTCAATCCAGGTTGTGCAGCCATTGCTGATCTTGTAAGGGAAGAATGAACGGATTACCCGATGCATCGGAATTTTGAACGAAGTCCCGGCAACTTCGGCAACTTCGGTGAATTGGCAGATCCCCCAAGTTTCGTCTCCAAATCACTCCTCTGACGGCACCAGCATTTTGTCATCGTGTTCGGCGTTCGGACTTGTGCATCAGTCCTGATGCTTCCTTTCCCAGCACTACTGATCACAAGAGCAAACGATGATCACTATAGCACTCGTTGCATTGCGTATTCCTACTGATTCCTAAGCAAATTTTCAGGCTCCCTTTGCGTCTTTGATAGACAATATAAGAATGGAAGAGAGAGCGGCAAGATGGGCATTACACACAAATCATCAAGCATTCGAATACGTTCAACACTCATATTGTACTTAACTGACACATTCTCAAAATGCCTTCAGCCTGGCAAATAGCAGATGGAGAAGCTCAAGACTGGCAGTCCATTGCGGCCATCGAGAATCTACATCTCGTCCACGACATACCCAAACCCGTACCAGGCCCCGGAGAAGTACTCCTGAATATCAAAGCCGTTGCGCTCAATGCCAGAGATATGATGGTCGTGGCCCACAATCCCGTATATCCTGCCATCGCAATTCCAGAACTGGTACCATGTGGCGATGCAGCCGGCGTGATTGAAGCAGTTGGTCCTGATAGTAAATGGAAAGTCGGCGACAAGGTCCTGTTCAACCCTGTCGCTTGGGTAGATGGGCCAGTCAAGACTTTTGAGGAGTCTGACGGTACAGGCGCTGGATCCCACCAGGGAACACTCCGAGAGTATGCCGTATTTGTGAGTTTACACGCGGGTATCATTCGTTTGGGTTCTATGTTCTGACTATTTTGAAAGCCCGATAGTCGTCTTATTGCGGCACCTTCCCATCTCTCATTTGTCGAGATGGCCAGTCTAGCAGCCGCGGCGGGGACTGCATCTCATACGCTGTTTTACAATCGAATTCCCTTCAAGAAGGGTGACATCGTTGTCGCGCAGGGCACCGGGGGCGTCAGTGCCTTTGTCATTCAGGTAAGTCGGCCCATTTCAACCTAGCCTTGTACCATCATTCGGAAGCACACAGGAGAACAACAACTAACCGATCCTTACAACACAGCTTGCAGCCGCCGCGGGCGCAACCGTGATCGCAACCTCATCATCCGACGAAAAGCTCTCAACGGCCCGCTCACTCGGGGCAACCCACCTGATCAACTACAGAAAAACGCCCGACTGGGGCGCCGAAGTCCTCCGCATCACCAACGGCCAAGGCGCCGACCACGTCGTGGACGTTGCCGGCGCCGGCACGATCGAGCAATCGATCCTCGCGGCCAAGCACGGCGGCCTCGTCTCGCTCATCGGATTTCTGACGGAGAGCAAGAAGACCGATCTCGTCGCACCGATCATCATTGGTGCGAAGACCATCTATGGCGTACTGGGAATGAGTAATGTCATGCTTGAGAAGGTCGTGGAATTGTATAACGAGCATCAGCTGCATCCGCCGATTGCCAAGGTGTTTAAGTTCCAGGAGGCGAAGGATGCTTTTGCCGAGTTGACGAGGTTGAGTGCGGTTGGGAAGATTGTTGTTGAGGTTGGGGTTTGAGAAGTGGTAGTGGAGGTCTAGTTGTGAGGTGGAATCGGATTAGTGTCACGTACAGCAAGCGAGAAGATGGATCAAATTTTTAAGACATAGAAAATCTTCGCTCATGATTTATACATAAATGTTGTTACAAGCGGTAGCCAAAATAAAATGATACACGCCTCGCTCGCTCAAATATTTCTTATATCGTTACAATCACTTAGGTGATTGACAAAATCAGAACTTCATGTCTCATCCATTCGAGTACCATCAATCAGATGAATCATAGATGTCCTATAATCAAACCATTAGCTTTCGTACATCAACAAGCACAACGAACAGGAACCAACTCACGTCCAAGAGGCTTAGCTCTCTTCGAGATATCTCTAGCATGACCCTGCTTGATCTTGGCAAGACGAGCCCTATAGTCAAAACACGTTAGTAACAGCCCACACAAGGAAACACATCATTAGAGAAGGTGAACACATACTCCTCAGCAGCCTCTCTCTCCAACAACTTGATATGCTCCCTGGCCTCCCTGACCGCGGCTCTGGCCTGGACAAGGGCACGATCGGCCTCACGCTCCGCATTCTCGGCGCTCATGACACGTTCGCGGGCATGTGCGATGGTCGGGTCCTCGGGTGTGCCGCGGGAGAACAGACCGCCGCCGGAGCCCGAGGTGCGTGAGAGCTTGCCCGTCGAGTGGCGGTTGGAGGGGGTGGTGTTGTGATGGCGCAGACGCTCCGAGGAAGTCGAGCGGCGCGACGAGCCGCGGTTGAAGAACCCGCCGCTGGATTTGCGGTTGGTTTCTAGGTCGGATGAGGAGAGCGACGAGCTGCGGCGTCGTAGGCCGTGGTGCCCGCTGTGTCGGCCGTGGGTGGTTGTTGCTGGGACGGGCTCGACCGGTGCAGCAGCGGCGTTTTTGTGTGAGAAGAGACCCATTGTTAGATGGTGTTGTGTGGGTTGAAGTTGGTTGGAGTGTGTATATGTATGGAGGATGTTTGTGATTGGGGGAGAATGGAATGGTCACGCCTGAGGATATGTGCAAGTGCTTTGCTTATTCGGGTTGTATGATATTGGTGATCTGAAAATCTTCTTTCATAAAGAGCCACAAGCATTGATTATAAGCACTTTACCCTGAACCCTTGATTGCCCATCGAGATACAGCTACCGGTAAGATGATGATCGTCGACGGTGTGCAGTCCTGGGCTCGAAAGCAGGTTTCTGGGTGTCTTGGTGATGCCCATGACGTACCGTTTGGGGGTTCGTGCAAGGCTGGCAGCCCTGGGAGGGCAGCGATCAGCAAGCCCCCGAAGCCCGAGCCGTTAACAGACAGCGCCGATGACGCCACACCTCGACCTCTTCACCACCTGGTTCATCGATCGTGAGACCCCTTTCGATCCTTGCCGTGCTTAAGTGTCATGTAAGGGTTCAGAAGCCGTGTTGTTTTGAGCTTGGTGCTTCGTGAATGGCTTAAAAGTAATCTCAGACGGACCCTGGCGTTGCTTGGATGACGGCATGGGTATGCTTCATGGTTGTGTTGTTGGTCTTTGCTTCTGCATGGTCAGAGACACCGATGATCCTGTGGCTGATGTTGTTGACTTGGAAATGGTTTCTTTTTGACGCTTATTGCAGGTGTTAAGCAGGTGGTGATGTGAATCTACAAGGTAGACTTACAAGATTCAGATGTGGATGCAAATGAAGCATTGGGGTATCCACAATAGCCGAATTCTTGATTGTACAGGCGGCCGAGAGCTACTTCTCCATCGCTGAATTGAGTTCTATAACGGGCGTTGGTAGAACTTCCGACTTCACAGGCTGTCCTTCTTCAACAACATGAGTCAACTACAGTATATTTCGAAGCTGCAACTCGATCTTATTGTAGACTTCTCAAGTCCCTCAATTGCTGGGACTATGTACGATGATGCAGGTTCTATACCCTGCCCAAGGGGAAAGAGGAAGACATACGTCATACGGGTCGCAATCGGACATGGCCACAAGAGCTGGTCGCGTGACGAAGACAAGTCCAGCGAGGCCACCTACAGCCTCGATATCGTCAACGGACCTCTGATTGCCAACGGAGTTTCGTGAGTTTAGTACTTCAGTCATTGTCCTGCGTATATATTTGGTCGTTAAAAATTCATTCGCCAGTACAATAAAGGCACCGAAATCCGGTATTGACAGACTTGGGGTAGGGATTGGTTTAGAAGGAAGATTGAGATGAAGGGTAATGGGATGTGCGATTCAAGCTTTGGCAATCCATCCGCTATGAATCATAAAATCGAAAATGCGGTTAGCTTTGTTCACATCGATCTGAAGAAATAATTAGTACCAGCACTGAATGTTGATCTCAAGTACTTACCCTACACACCCCTCTTGCCTCCTTTTTCTTCATTTGACCACCCTGCTTCATGGCTTCTTTCAAAAGCCCCTCTTTGAGAGCGAGGTAGGGTTTTGGGCGAATGTGGAGAGAATTACACAATTGTACCTCCTCCTCACTGAGTAATTGAAGATCTGGAGCCAGGGTTTTATCGTTCTCCAGCTTCCAGGGAACAGTACCAGTTAGAGGCTGGACCACATAACGGACTTTAGCCTTGGGTGTCGTCGATGAATCTGGCCCGGTCGTCTCAGCGAACAGCTTGTCAAAATCATTCTCCACTGGAGGCGCACTATCGGCAAAGACAGGTACTGTCTTGGGTTTGCGCTGGAATCGAAGTGGTAGCTCGGGAGTGGTCAATTTGGAAGCCTCGGTTGGAAGTTCAGCTTGTTGAATCTGTTGGCCCTTCTTAGGGATTTGAGGCATCCGATCAAATTGTCCTTGGGGCTGATTTCGCTGAACGCGAGCCTGCTTATCATTCTCGTACTTTTCGCCACCTTTCAGATCACTGATCCCAATTTGCTTCCATTCTTGCAGTTGTGAAATCGCAATCCGCAGGTTGTGTTCCAGAAGAAGATCTCTGTTGAGGTTTTCGAAATCCTCATGAACCATCATCCTAGCGAAAGGCTTAGCTCTGTGCATCAAGTCCTTTTCTTCCTTCGTTCTCTTCTTGTCAAGCAGTTGGTTTTTCTTGTACTCGAGAAGGTTGTGCTCGAACAAGATCTTTTTCCGATCCGTTCGTGCTTTTAATCTGGAATTATAGATGTCGAAAACGGTCATTTTCAGGGTTGTCTCTTCGTCCATAAGTCCCGTCACTGGATCAAGACCATCACCAGGTTCGAACGACATATGCTGTACAGCTTCCTCGGCATCATTGGCAAATTCCGTCTCAAATTCCAATCGACCTGGCATGAAACCTTGGACTTCATGACAGGAAGGTACGGAGGCGGTGGGTTTCTGTTTGGGTGTGGCTGGCGGTGCAGATTTGGCCGGTTCCTTGCGCTCTTCAATGCGTCGCTTCTTACGAGCTTGAAATTCGTCCTTGGGTATTCTCTGAAACAAGGCTGTGTCTGCAGGGTCGGCTAATTCGGGCAGTGGGAATAGAGAACTGTTGATATATGTGTCGATGTAGTGGTCGCGAACTTCGTCCTTCTCCCGATATCCACCGATATGTTCTGCTACGTCCGCCCAAGAGCCAAGACCATATCTTTCAGACCCTTCCAGCAATAGCAGTTCTTCATCGGCACCCCAGTCTTCTGTATAAATGGGGATGGAATTTTGTTCAACCACATGATACTCATGAGTACGGGGATCGTGGGACTTTGTATGTTCGCCACGTGCAAAACAAGGGACGCATAGATCATAATCGCGACAGGCCGAGTTTGCGCAAGAGATGCGAACCGTAGAAGTTATGTCGATGGAGCAGACATCGCAATGGTATTTTGTGCCGCCATCACCGCCTCGGGAGGCTGCATTTTTCCTGATTACACCCATACTTTTCTCGATCCTAGCATCTTCCGCTATATCAGAGTCGTCAGAGAAGTATTGCGCGTATTCATAGGGAATAGTCGCGTCGTCGTGGCGGAGATCGTGGGTGGCGGTTGGTGGGGTCGCAGGCAAGGTTTCCGAGTCCGATGGGGATGAATCGGGTTCAGGCTCTGCTAGGGTATATGAGATTGTTCTTCTTGATGATCTGAACGGAGTTCGACGTGTTGAAGGAGCGGTCTGGTGGGATAATGGCCATTTAGCCTGGGGTAGATTCGCCTGGGGAGTTGAACTGACGTTCAAGATCAGGGCCCGGGATGACTCCTTGGCGAGACTAACCGTGTTTGACCGAGGTGGGGTTGTTGTTGAAGCGGCAAGAGAGAGATGTGGCACAGGTAGTGGCTGTGGCTGTGGCGAGGATGATGATGACTGATGAGTCCTCAGCCACGTATTCGTACTTGCAGTTACACTGGCATCCGCCTCAAGTCGCGCCATGACTGTTGCTGGCAGCTGTTGGTCCCCGTGCTGCTAACTGGTAAACTCCGGAGGGTAGAGGTCCGTGCCTTAGGTAAAGGTTGCAGCCCAAGAAGCCCCAAACTGCGCCTATCCGTGAGAAATAATCCACCTGAGACTGCCCCGCCCATGGGTACTTCAAGCCGATAATGTGGACACAACTTGAGGGACAAACCAGGAGCCGTGAAAGTCCATCCACCACTGTAAAGTGTACACCTAGCAGTGTAACTTGAAACCTGAACCTGAATTACCGACCACTTCCACTTGAAGTTGTCCTTGTCTTCACTCACCTGCCAATATCATCACTGCAGTTTTATCACTTCACCTCTCCAATCTTGCCGTTCCTTACCTTCACTGCACCTTCACCCGCACCTTCATCCGTTGTTCAACTTGTCAACGTTACTTCTACCCCACCCTCGATCCGCCTCACAAATCGATTGTCGGTTAAGAAAGATACCGAGATTGCAGGCAATCCTCGGCCACTCTCCTGCAGACGTTGCCTTCCTTTTTCTTGATTGCCACCTACCGGTGATCTCTTGCACATTCTCTGAGAGCGAACAGAGAAGATTGTAGCAGAGATGTCGTGGAAGTTGACCAAAAGTATGTCATTAAAGAATCAAGGGCCTGGTTGTATCATGTGGTTGGATGGCTGACATTTATCATAGAGTTGAAAGAGACACATCTGGCTCCGTTGACGAGTGGCTTTGGTCGTTCAACATCGACTTCGACTGTGAAGGGAGAGGATGCCTCAGCTGCAACTCAGGAAACTCCTGAACTGACCACCACTACCAGTAATACCAGCACCACTGCCACAAATGGAATATGTATGCTCCACAGATCGCTGTATCGAAAGAGATGTTTTTCTAATTTATACCAGCGGCTTCCGAAGCCTTGACCTCTCCTCCGGTTCAGCAGACCAAACCCGGTATTTTGATCGTAACACTACACGAAGGACGAAGCTTTTCCCTACCCCAACAATATCAGTCTGTATTCAACAATCACTATGGCTCTGGAGTCTCAGGATCCGTCAGACCCAGCTCTTCCTATGCCGCCGGAGGGTCAATGGCAGGATCATACGCACAATCCAACCGACCAGTCTCAACTCATGCTGGTATCAACGCCGCTCCCACCATTCACGGTCGATATAACAGCAAGTACCTGCCTTACGCCTTGTTGGACTTCGATAAGCTACAAGTTTTTGTCGATGCGGTATCGGGTACACCAGAGAACCCTCTTTGGGCGGGTGATAATACTTCATTCAAATTCGACGTGTCAAGAGTGTGTGAATTGAGTGTTCAACTCTACCTGCGAAACCCTGCAGCGAGACAAGGAGCTGGCAGAAGTGAGGATATCTTCCTCGGCGGAGCAAGAGTCACACCAAGATTTGAGGAGGCTCGACATTTTGTCCCTGATCCCAAGAAGAGTAAGAAAGATAATGAAAAAGCCGAGGCTCAATTCGCAACCTCAGAAAGACAGGCAGGTCAATTAGGTGCCGAATGGCTAGACATCCAATTCGGCACGGGTTCCATCAAGGTTGGCGTTAATTACGTCGAAAGTCTCCAAGGCAGCCTGAAGATGGATGACTTTGAACTTCTCAAAGTGGTAGGAAGAGGTAGTTTTGGAAAGGTCATGCAAGTTTTGAAGAAGGACACTGGACGAATTTACGCACTGAAGACGATCAGAAAGGCTCACATCATCTCGCGATCAGAAGTCGCTCATACCCTGGCTGAACGATCGGTGCTGGCACAGATCAACAACCCTTTCATTACCCCGCTCAAGTTCTCCTTCCAGTCTCCGGATAAGCTCTACTTCGTTTTGGCCTTTGTCAATGGTGGAGAGTTATTCCATCATCTTCAGAAAGAGCAACGATTCGACATCAACCGTTCTCGCTTCTACACGGCCGAACTACTTTGCGCTTTAGAGTGTCTTCATGGTTTCAAGGTCATCTACCGAGACTTGAAGCCTGAAAACATCCTACTAGATTACACTGGTCACATCGCTCTTTGCGATTTCGGTCTGTGCAAGCTGGACATGAAGGATGAGGATCGCACCAACACCTTCTGTGGCACACCAGAATATCTCGCTCCTGAGCTCTTGCTTGGACATGGATACACAAAGACTGTGGATTGGTGGACCCTTGGTGTTTTGCTCTACGAAATGTTGACTGGTCTCCCACCATTTTATGATGAAAATACCAACGAAATGTACCGAAAGATTCTGCAAGAACCTCTTCACTTCCCAGGTCCGGAGATTGTACCCGCCGCAGCCAAAGATCTACTTCAGAAATTGCTGGATCGAAACCCCGAAAGACGACTGGGAGCTGGGGGTGCAGCAGAAATCAAAGCCCATCATTTCTTTGCTGGAATTGACTGGAGAAAACTGCTTCAGAGAAAATATGAACCGAGCTTCAAACCCAGTGTGGTAAGTTGCACAAAGTATTCCTGGTGAGGAGTCCAATGCTAATGTGATATCTAGATCGACGCCCGAGATACAGGCAATTTCGACAAGGAGTTCACATCCGAGGTGCCCAAAGACTCATACGTAGAGGGACCCATGCTCTCACAGACGATGCAACAACAATTTGCAGGGTGGTCGTACAATCGACCCGTCGCAGGATTAGGTGATGCCGGAGGCAGTGTTAAGGATCCTTCCTTTGAACAAATCCACCATTAGAGTTTAGAGTATGCCTTCTCCCAAGATGTGAGCTGCAGGTTTGAAGTGGTACTGCGCCATGTGTTGACGTGGTCTCACTGGGAAGGCAAGCATAGGCAGTCCCCGACTTCGAGATTCGCAGCGAGCATGGGATCCAGAACGTGCAATTGAAACGTCCAAATGATACATAGCTTCGGGTTGATTTTTCGTTAGCAGTACTGGACTAAACGGCATGAAAAGGATTTTTCTCAATTTTCAAATTTCTCAGCGCTTCACAAATTCCCTCGACCATTGCCTTGTTGTAGCTTTCACTTCTGAGTACAAGACTGTCTTGAGCACGTACGACGAGGAGAATCATCGACAACAAAAGCAGTCGGGGAAGAAAGTATTCCCGCTGAACTTGGGACCGCGACATTCCCCAAAGCACGTCTCAGCTGCTGTAAGTTCTCCGCACGCACCAGCAACTGTGAGGCTCCGAGCTCGCTCCTGCTTTCCCCGCACAACATCCTCGCCGGAAGAAGAGAGTGAAGCGAGGTGATTCTATTTACACGGTATTTAAGAACCTCTGTCTTGAAGACCTTGGTGGTTCTCTTGCCAGGAGGGCTTGTCTCACTTTAACTTGGACCTGCACCAGACAGATATACTTATACGCGTACGCACGAGAAAAGGTAGACAGGAGTGTTTGGACTGGTGACTCGGACGTTCACACCGGTTGATGACTGCGGGGACTGGACATGATACGCCTGACGTGAATTGAAAAGGAGGATATCGATTCTGTATAGCAAGGCATTGCTTGTTGTCGCTCGAACGACGTATCGACCCTATTCTCCGAGGACCTAGATACCTACCACCAATACAATACCTTGCCTGCTGGCAAGCAGCAAGCAACTATGACTGCGGCAGCGGCAGCGGCGTCGAAGAACGTCCTGCGCAGGGCGATGCTCTATGGTAAGCAGCAACCCGGTTGACCCGAGAGAGACAAGTCAAGCAATAAGCTAACATCTGCACTCTCTTTCTGCCTCACAGTGCCCGGCTCCTCACAACGCTTCCTCGATAAATCGCGCGGCCTGACCGTCGACTGCGTGGCGTACGACCTCGAAGACAGCGTAACACCTGGCCGAAAAGCCGAAGCACGCACTCTCGTGCGAAAAGCACTGGACGAACCTATACCTTCGGGCGTCAAAGAGCGCGCCGTGCGCATCAACGCCGTCGGGTCGGGTCTCGCGCTCGCGGACCTCGAAGAGGTGGTGAAATCGCCGAACCTCACCACGCTCGTGGTCCCGAAAGTCGAGAGCGCAAGCCACATGACATTCATCAGCGACGTGCTGGCACACTCGCGCAGTAAAGAGTTTGCCGAGCAGCACGGGCCCATAAGTGTGATTGCGCTGATTGAGTCGGCCAAGGCGCTCACGAATCTCAATGAGATATGTCGTGCCGCGCCGCATTTGCTGCAGGGGCTGACGTTCGCAGCAGAGGATTTCGCGCTGGATATGTCCATCACGCGTTCGCCGAGCCTCACGGAATTTCTGTACGCGAGGCAAATGATTGCGACGGCCGCGAGGGCATACAATTTGCCGAGCACGATTGATTTGGTCGCGACGGCGTTTCGCTCAGAGGCTGATCATGAGATGTTGGAGAATGAGTGTCTAGAGGGGAAGGGTATGGGGTACAATGGCAAGCAGTGTATTCATCCTTCGCAGGTCGCGACGGCGCAGAAGATTTTTAGTCCGGGCCAGAAGGAGGTCGAGTGGGCAGTGCGGATCACTATCGCACAGAAACGCGCCGAGGAGCAGGGAAAAGGTGCATGGGCCATGGATGGGAAGATGATTGATGCTCCTGTTGAGGGGAAGGCCAGAGCGATTGTTCAGAGGGCCGAGTTATGTGGCTTTGACGTTAAAGCTCTGAGGGAGAAGTTTAAGGATCAGCAGCCTGAGTAGAGAAGAAAAATGCAGAAGGATCGAGTTGTGTATAGCGGCTGGAACTTTTCTTATATTTATATTGTATAAGACATTAAAGAAAGAGAGAGGGTCAGAATAGGCTTTTCAGTTCACTTTCCTGAACCTGGTCTCTGCTGCTGTGTTGGGCTCAGAAGAAAGGAGGAAAATGCTGCGCTGTCTGTCTGTGAGTGATTCAATAGCATAGGCTGATGATGATACGATATGAGGGCCTCCCTTGGGGCTTCTGCTGCCCGAATCCATCCATGTAGCTTTTTGGTCGCTTTTCTCTATCCAGATAGCTAATCTATTAGTGTAATGTGATGCTGAAGGTGATGTGCACAGGACTCTAGGCCGCTGGTGTCTTTATCAGTGGCGGAGGAAGAGGGTGAAGCTAATCAATAGCATCGATATAAACCTGTCACTTTCACTGGTTGGAATGGAATGATAAATCTCAGATCGTCCAGTTGCCCAGGAATTTAGGACGGTATTGAAGACTGAAGTGGCTCGACAGGAGGAACAGACGAGCTGAAAGTAGATTGGAGACATGGGAACTGCACCCATGGACTTTACTTTGCTTTTCGTACGTCTCCATTCGAGTGGCTAACAGCGTCGGCTGCTGAGGACTTCTCATCAGTCTTCTTGGCTTTCTTCTTGATAGTGAGACAATTGATATCTAGGACCTCGCAGATACGGTCGATGACGCGAACTGCCCAGACAAAATACTGAGCCATGGCGAAAACGAGATAGGCATAGATATAGGTACGCTCGAAGATGGAGGAGATTGGGTCGAACCCGAATAAAGGCAGCCAAGCCAGGATGGCGCCGCCAACCAGAGGGATCATGGAAATGGTCCAATAAGGGAAGGGCTGTTTTGTGAGATGGTGTAGGATAATTTTCGTGGTCAACCTGCCGAAGACGAAGGACATGGTAAGGCAGAAAATGACTAGGTGGTTATCACGCAGAATATTCGAATATGGAGATCCGAACCAAGCAGCGCATGATCCTGTAAAGACAATCATTGGGATCCATTCCAGGAAGACTGGTAGTATCGGGAGATTGTTGCGGCGTCGGGCTTTGGCGACGTGGTAGACGCAGGCCGGAAGATGTGCTGTGAAGAAGGCGAAAAGAATGACTGGGATCCAGAGGTCTCGAAACGTAAGATCGTCGAGATATTCTTTGTAGCCAATCACATCTGCGATTCGCGACTGCCAGATTTGAGGTCCATAGTACCCAGAAATGACCATCACCAGGCAGGCGAGGATCAATCCTTCAGTTGGGCCATTGAACGCACCAAGATAGAGAGTGTGAGTATGATAAGTTTCCCAAGTGGAGAAGAACATGGGCAGTGTAGGAACAAGAGCGGTAAACGCTCCGGTTTTGGTTGGTCCCAAGCCCATGGCAGCTGTTTCGCACAAACTGGCTAGAGTACAGTTCAATGAATCAATGCCATGGTCGAACAGTTCTCCTAATCCACTGGAGGTCCCTGTTCTCCGAGCTTGTTTCCCGTCAATGTTGTCCATTGTGGAGTATCTAAACTCTGGTTAACTCGTCTCTATGATACTTGGCGTGGTTGCCTTCTGGGAACTTACGCCCACAGGCCGAGAGCAAAACTGTAGTATAGCCATGATGGTCCAGGTCCGATCAGGTCTGGCAGAAAGATCTGCAAGAAAAGCACATTGACCAGAATGCAGACAAAACCCAGGAGAGTTACCATGTTTGGTGCAAGGGACATCGGTAGCAGTTTGACGGCACCATTCCACTGGAAGAGCAATAATAATAAGCGCTTTGGGCTTCGAACGGGGATGGATAGGGGAGGATTACATAATGTCGGAGGATATGATTTGATATGAATGATTTGTCCACACTCTGATATTTGTATTGCTTGAGATGGGCCATGGCCCTGTCCGAGAGAGGGTCGGCTGTTGTTGGAAAGGTATGAGTATTGAAGCATCGATGGAGCAAGACATTTGGAAGAGAAGAGGAACTGTCTTCCAACCTACCTGCCATATTGACAAGGGTGAATTTGAATTGCCGAGGACTCGGAGTAGAGACTCTGCTCAAAAAGTCAGGTGCCAGGGGAAGTCAGAAGTAGAGTTCCGCAGCTGTTCTCTAGAGCTGGAATGGCAGTTAAACTTCGAAAAATGCAGAATTTATCATATATTGCTCAACCTCTCTCATACTCAAGAAGACAGATATACGGGGAAGAAAGGTCCGGACTGAAAAATGTTGAAAGAACTTGAATCCAAAGTCGTGAATGGCGACTGGCACTTGCCGAGCGACGCACGCGCCAAGACCTGAGATTGCTGCTTTTACCATTGTCCGAAATAGTACTAGGCTAAGCAGAGTCGCGAACTCCAAGTTGAAGGCGGAAAGTTGTTGTTGACACGTGAAACTTCACTTCGATTCGCATCTAATCCAAACTTCATCAATCAAACTGTCGTTTGAATTCGAATATTGATAGTTCTGGCTTACCACACGATGACTGACACCTGGTCTCGTCCTGGTATGACTCGAATCAATTTACTGCCATTTTCACCAAGATAATGCGATCTTAATGACCACCTACTGGAGCGACCTCTCTTGCCACTGAAGCGGCCATCCCACCCTCCTGTCACTTCGTGATGGAGTCCGTTGAAGTTGCGCAGCCACCAGTTCCTGTAGCTGCAGGCTTCTCTGTCATTCATCAGAAAGTCAGTCTTGACATCAGCTTCAGCCAGCGAGTTCAGGGAAAGACTGCGATCACTATTTATCCCGACTCAGCTAATCTCACTGAGATTCGATTACATAGCAGACAATGCCACATCAGGAAAGTCCTGGTGAATGGCATCGCTCCTTCATCAGTTCGAAATGATGACCCTTGTGGACAACTGATTCTGCATGCAAATGCCGGGGTAAATCAGCACCACTTGTTGTCAGAAAAGATCTCGAATTCGGTTTCTGGTGACCCCGAACCCAACTTCATCATCACCCTTCCCAAGAAAATTCGCATCTTGCCAGTGCATGTTGCAGATATTCACACGCAAAACCATGACCTCATCAGAGTGCCTGAAGGTGAGGTCACTGGTTCATCTGCCACCGATGGTGCCCAAGGGATACCAGATACGACCGTTGCCAAATTCACTCCTTTGATAGTTGAAATAGAGTTTCAGTCATGCCATATACGGGAATCGGTTCAATTCGTGTCTGGTAGACCAGGTATTGGCAGATGGCCACATGCTTATACTCGCTCGAAACTTGGGTCCGGAGGAGCATCGGCCATTTTTCCATGCCTTGATCGGCTCAATCATCGCTGCACGTGGGATATTTCGATCAAATTCCCAAGGACCGTGAGAGATGCCATTAAACAAAACCTTTCGGATGACTCCACCAGTACTGTTCCCAAAGATCAAGCTAAAGAAGCAGCCCGACAAAGTTACGAAGCCAAAGAAATGATGGTCATCTGTTCCGGTGAACTGACGGACGATATTGTCGACAAATCAGATACCACCAAGAGAACCATGGCTTTCTCCTGTGATCAGCGACTTGCACCTGAACAGCTTGGGTTTGCTATTGGCCCATTCGAGTGCGTCAATCTCAGTGATCTTCGTGATGCTCAGGAAGTCGAAGAACTAGGTCGAAATGCTGTTGACATGCTGGCGTATTGTTTACCTGGTCGTGCTGAGGAGACCAAAAACACATGTCTTCCCATGACCCAAGTTGTGGATTACGTTGTCCGGAAATATGTCTCGTGCCCAGAACGTTCATATTCGATGTGCTTTGTGGAGGACCTGCATACTGATACCTCGATCCATGCAGGTGTAACTATGTGTAGCACAAGAATGTTATATCCGGAGAACGTCATTGATTCTGCGAAAGAGATCACCCGGCAGTTGGCGCATGCTATTGTTTCTCAATGGTTCGGGATCAACATTATTGCTGCAGAACCCCGAGATACTTGGGTCATCATTGGAGCCGCATATTACATCACGGATCTCATCATGAAAGACCTGTGTGGTAATAACGAATATCGTTATCATATCCGTCAACAAGCCGATCTCGTCTATGATCTGGACCATGATCGACCGTCAATCTACGAAATGGGCGCCCTGCTCCATGTGGACCCTAGTGAATATACTTTCCTCACTATCAAAGCTCCCGTGGTGTTTTTCATCTTGGATCGCCGATTTGCAAAGGCCCATGGTGCCTCTAAGATGCCAGCAATTCTTGCAAAAATTCTGACAAAATCCCGCATGGGTGACTTGGCGGACAATGCTTTGTCGACCGAGTCATTTCAGAAAGCTTGTGAACGCTCCCATCATACCCCCATCGAGGACTTCATGATCCAGTGGGTAAAGGGGGCTGGATGTCCAAGATTTGCCGCATTTCAAAGATTCAATAAGAAGAAACTCGTCGTGGAGATGCTGATCACGCAGACTCAAGGCACTACAACCGAATCTGACTTAGACCCCAATACGTTCATGCGGGATGCCCGCGAGGATTTCCACTCCGTCTGGGCTGCGGCCGCACAGCCAGTATTTACAGGCCCCATGACAATCAGGATACATGAAGCGGATGGGACACCATATGAGCACACAATAGACATCAAAGATGCCCGAACCACAGTTGACATTCCTTACAACACAAAGTACAAACGTCTCAAGAGGAGTAAAAAACAAAGAGCTCGGGCAAACAATAAAGCCGCTGCTGAGGGGGCTGAGGAAGAGACAGATTCCCTTGTGTATTGCTTAGGCGACGTACTCCAAGGCGAAGAGGATGTCCAGAATTGGCGAATAACAGAATGGAGTGCTGAGGATGACGAGAAAATGAACTCGGAATCATACGAGTGGATCCGACTTGATGCTGATTTCGAATGGATCTGTCGCATCAATCTACAGATGCCCGGATACATGTTCACCTCACAGCTCCAGCAAGATCGAGATGTCGTTGCTCAGCTTGAAGCACTGAGACAGATGTCATATTATCCGCCCTCTCCCTTGATTTCATCAATCTTCATCCGCACGTTGATGGATCGTCGCTACTTTCACGGAGTACGTACTCTAGCAGCTCAAGGTTTGGTAAAACATGCCAAGGATGAAGGTGATGCTAAAATGGTTGGACTCTACCATCTCAGGAAAGCCTTTGAGGAACTATATTGCACTCACGACCAAAGTTCGGCAATGACTCGACCAAACGACTTCTCGGATCCACAAGCTTACGTTTTGCAATGCGAGATCATTCAAGCCATTGCTAGTGTGCGTGATTCTAAGGGGCATACGCCAAAAGAGGTCAAGGAGTTTCTTCTGGACAAATTAAAGTTCAATGACAACTCGGCAAATGATTATTCAGACGCACACTACATCGCTAAGTTGATGAGGGGTCTTACCTTTGCGGTCATAGCTCGACCACAACATCAACATATTGATGAAGGAGATATGGATATAGATGTCGAGGACGAAATTCTCGAGCTCAAACATTTTGAGCGACAGTTTCTTGAGGAGATCGATCGTTATAGGCGTATGGATGAGTGGACAAGCTCATACCAGAACCTATATTCTCGCACTGCTCTGGAATGTCAAGCGTTGCTGACAGCAGCAGGAATTAGTGAATTCTCACCACTTCACTTTTTACAATATACTCGACCGGGCAACTATGATATGCTTCGCCGAGCGGCATATGAGGTTCTTATCACACCAAGCATCATCGAAAGTCCTTCCATATTGCGCTATGTCCTGTATTGTACGGTCGCAGATCCATCGCCATGGATTCGACACAATCTACAGCACGCTTTCGGCAAAGTCCTCGGGAAGCGTGCCATTGGTGTGAAGACCAACAAAGCTGCGCAAGCTCATAGTGGTGACGGACTCATTATTGAAGACACAACGGCACTTATCGATGATCGCCAGAAAGAGATCGCACGCCGGTCGACCATAGAGGGGGCGATCGCAGCGTTGAAAAAAGAACTCGGGCAAGATAAATCTCTGAGATCTGCCCTATGGAACGCCATTTCTTATGATCAAATTACTCTAGAAGATCTTCAGACCCTCCTTGACTTTTGTCGATTATTGTACGAACCTGTCGACGAGATGAAGATTGCTCTGCATCTGCCTAGGTATTGGAAAGTGGAAAACCAAGGAAAGGTGAGCTTGACGTCTGTTTTTGTTATGTGCCGCTAGGATTTTATGAGCTAACAGAAGGCTTGCAGGGCAAACTAAGGTTCTCAAGAACCATGAACGTCAGGCACAAGATCATCAAGAAATGGCAGCCTGCTCCTGCAGCATCCCAGCCAGCAAAATGGCAAGCACCACCTCTGCCTGCACATGGTCATTCACAGTACAATGTCGTCCCGCCACCGATCCGACAAAACAGTATCACCTCCCTGCCATCCCCGAGTGGAGGTGGAGGTGTCAAGTTGAAATTGAAATTCGGCTCAGGTGGTGGTGGTGGTGGTCTCAATAACAGCACTGGTTCAAGTCAGATGCCCACCCATACTCCGACACCTCCGCCACCACCTCCCGTGCGAACTCCGAGTGTTGAACCAGGTCGTCTTGTGCTGAAAATAAAGCCAGTTGTCAAGCCGAAACCTTGACAGACGCCATGTATTATTGTATGAGGGACTCAACCGGGGGCGAGAGGAACAAAATGGGCGTTGGACAATCAGGTCACATAGAGAGTCGTCCTTAGAGAGGGCTCGCGGTCGTGCTTGAAATCAAGGATACCCAGATAGCTGTTTTTCTCTGTAACAACACCGAGTAATTTGTCTCCTGCGTCGCGGGACGTGATGTCGAAGAGCTCCGCGAAGTCCAACTTCGCGCCACGCAGGTAAATTCCATTCTCAAACCAGACCACACGAGCGTTCAAGTATTCATCGGCGATCATCGCCCATGCGCTCCAACGCCTCGAGCATCACCACCGAATTACCTCGAATCACGACCATGCCCAGCCTCTCTCTCTCGCCGCCGGCTTTCTCTTCGACCGCTTCGTCCAGCACGATGTTCAAGAAGACCTGTTACAGATACCGTCAGCATTTGCTATTTCTCTTTCCTTTTGTTGTCTCGCAGGGCTTTCGAGAATGTGCTCGTGGAGTGGGGTGGGCGACTGGGCCGAGATTGAATTGTATAGGAACTCGGAACTCACATCATAGCCGCGCAGGATGCCGATCACTTTGCGGTTGCCGTTTAACTGCACGAAGAGCCGCTTCTCCATGTACTGTAAGAGGGAAAGTCACGGTTAGCCTGGATCTTTGAGGGCGGTATGAATGAGGGTAAGGTATCAAGGGTGCTAGACGTACCTTTTTGAGCTCGGGTTGCGCTTGAGGCATCTTTGCGGTGCGGATACCTCAGAACTCTGATGGAGTTGAAGATCGATAGGTAGAGGGTGATAATGCAGGTATGTTTAAAGACGCAGTATTGACTCGTCTTCGTCGTCGCTATTTTACTCGCAGGCTGTGGACTTCCTCCATGGCTCTCCCGCAAATCGACCCACCATCGCAAGCAGAATTGATGCCAAGATATGTTAGAGCGGCGGCGTATCCTACACCTTATGTGCAAATATATCATGCTGCTTTGAGAAACGAGTTACCCGTTGTTGAGATATTTGTTGGATTGGCAAATTTGATGGAATTAACCTAATTCGGTAGAATCAGTGTCGCGACAGGAAACGTGCAGTTCTTTCACTTACGTGTATCCGTAGAACGATTGCTGGGTCATCAAATGTGACGACCATCCCCATATCCGGCTGGATGAGTGTCAAAAGAGGAAATTGCATTCAGGTACGCCAGCTTAGTGATGGCTTTAACTCCCCCTCGCGAATCTTTGGCATGAGCATGGACTTTCGTCGTCTCAAGCGCCCAAGCACTTGACTTGACAGGAGTGAGCTGTAACATGCCGCCTGATGCAAAAATGCGCACATCAGGCTCTTTATCGGCTATCACTTGATATGGCGGCATGGTCTACGAATTGGCAATGCCTTGAAAGCGACTGCCGCTGATAATGGAATGCAAGGTGAACGCGAACATCCTTTGAACGTGGCGATCTCAAAGCACCTTCCACAACATGACATTCCTGCCCACCCACGGGGGCTTCATCTGCTACTGACTACATCTTACTCGCTGCTACTTCCAGCCTGTTCGCCGTCTCTAGCTCATCCAGTGCACGGCGGATACCATTGTAACTGTTGATGAAATCCATCCGTTCCACGCGGTCTGCCATCTTGGTGTTCGGCATTGTCTGACGTGTGCTTTCAAGGACGACCTTGGTGCGTGGTCGACGAATGCTGTCAATCTTGGACAGGATATCGGGAACCTCATTCGCGGTCACTTCTGGTCCAAACAACGTAAATGCTTTAGCATCTTCAATGGCCATATTGCCTCCTTGACCTTGCATTGGAGTCATTGCATGGGCTGCGTCCCCAATTAAGATGGCTCGGCCTTTATTCCAGAATGGAATCGCATCGAGATCTTGCATGTCCCACACTTTGAATTGGGTCCCAGCCTCACGATCGTTCAGCATATATATTGCAAGCGCAGTGAAAGGATCATTACATACTTAACGGTGTCCATTACAGTCTTGTTAAAATCCCCAAAGGCCTTGAGAATCTCTTCTGGATCGGCATCAGCATGCCACGATTCACTCTCCGCATCTTCATGTCCAGCCCCGGTTGGAAGATGCAAAGAACAGTGAATCCATTGGAAACGACGGAGAGGATATGTGACTATGAGCCGGTTGGAGTTGTCTCGAGATTGAAAATAAGTCACACATCCTTTTCCATCCTGGTCTGGAACCATCCAATGGGGTATTTCGCTCTCGCCACCAAGTGCTTCTGTTGCCTTTTCCACTGGTACAGCAACACGAAAGATAGTGAAGTAGCAGCCGTTCCTCTGTCCGGGCTTACAGCATACCAGGCGTTATTTGAGAACGCCGGAATGTCACCATTAAGTTTCGATACATCGACCAAGGAAATCTCACCTGGCTTGGACCCTCACGAGAACAGGCAAACCCGGCTCCTAGTGACTGGAGCAGCGGGTGGCGTGGGTACTTATATAGTTTAGTTAGCTAAGCTTGCTGGCGCACATATTACCGCTGCGACTAGTTCTAACGAACGTAATGAAGAGCTTTTAGAAGGTCTCGGTGTGGATGAGGTAGTTGAGTATGCGAGTCTGGGCGCTAGCACTGGAAAATATCACATCATCATCGACACTGTCGGAGGACGGCAACTTGAACACTGTTGGAAACTGATCAGGGACGATGGAACGCTCGTTTTCATTGACAGCGCAAGTTACGATTTCGTGGAACAACACCGAAAATTGGGCCTGACGAAAGACAAAGACAAGGTCAAAGCTTTTTTTCATTGTCAGTCCATCCCAAGAAGGGTTGAGAAAGCTATCTACGGCTCTAGAATTGGGCCTTGTCGTGCCGTTTGTGAGCAGTGTATTGCCGTTGGCTGATGCAAGGAAAGCGTACACTCAGTCGGCAGAAAAATCCACTGGGCGCGGAAAGATCGTTTTGATGACTTCGGAAGCAGATGTGGTATTATGATACAAATATATTCCAGTAATTTTGTCCTCCAACAGACATAGTATTTGTCATGGCAGACAACAAAGCCGAAATGGGAGCATGGAATAAAAATGGTTATGAGTGGTCAGACTGAGCCTAGTACCACAGGATCTCCTCGGAGCGACGCTGAGAACGCTCTAAGGCTCACCAGAGCGTAGGGGGAGCGATCTATAAACGACAACTGTCCATGAAGAGCTTGGGGAAGTCGGGTCGGGTTTCGAACTCTAGTAACCATGCTTTATTGCGGCGAGAATTTAGTGAAGTCGAGGAAGTCGCTTTCACCCGACCAGACATTCGCCACATCCAAAGAGTACATATTCCAACCTTCATAATCAAATTCATCTGCTTGGAAAGACTCCAACTGGGAGACATGTCAGAATACTTCTATGACCTCGAAAACAATCAGAAAGAAAGCTTACTTGAGGTATTGAAACAGTGCTCGCATTCATGTCGAGGTCCTCTTGAGGATTCGAAGAGCCCATTCGCGTGGCAGGCTTGGACCTGGCCTTGCCCACGACTTCTCGTGCAAGACGGGCAGCCTCACGAGAAAAGGACGCACCCAGCTCCAGGGAAGTCAGATACTCCATATGGCTGAAGTGGCCCGCAGCAATGTCCAACAACGACAGGTCAGCCTGCACAGTTGGGCTATTCGGTGAGTTCACCACGAATACAAAAAGACTGGTAAAAGCAGACATGGGGAAATAGAATGTTGCCCAAGCAGGAAGTCCTGCATTCAGTTCCATGGCTTTGAACATGAGAATTATGCCTCTTGCCGCTTCCGCTACCTGAGTAGCTTTATTCGCCGCCTGCAGGCGAAATAATGGGTCACTATCAATATTGAGGAATGCACTTAACCAGGGACATGTGAAGACCGTGAAGACAGCCTGGATTCCGGCGTAATAGGCGAAATGAAGGTACGTGATGTGGAGAGGTCGCACATTAGGTGGTAATCGTTCTGGCTTGATTGGCTGCCCAACTGCAAAGCCGTCCCCCATGCTTTCTCGCCATATTTCGATCTGCTCTTTGCTTTCGTTCATTGTTTGAACGAACTGAGTCGCATCCTGCCGAATTGTGGCGACTGAAGTAATGCGACGGTGTATTTGTGCCGTATATTGACCTATTTTGATGGCGTGCTTGAAAAAGGCCACATTGATGGTGCTACCTGGTGGAGCTTGATCCGGGATATTACAGCTTATGTTGGCATCGTTGATGAAGGACGGACGACCTGAACGAAACGAGACTTTATTTTCGCAGCAGTAAATCGCCCACCATAACCAATTTCGATGCATGACCTCGACGGGGGACAACTGCAGAGCCTTGGACGGTTGTCGATGTAATCCTCTAGCCTGTGCTAAACCAACGGTATTTGCGCACATCATGTACTCAAAATATTGATTTCCGGTGCTGTCAGCGTAGAACATCATTGCTGTGAGGGCACGTACGGCCTCTAGAGTTGGTGGGCCATACATGAGATCAGTTTGTACTTGAAATGCCCGGTAGAAATATCGAAATGCTTCGGCTTGTGCTTGTGCATATTTGACCGACTGCTCTCTTAAGAGCAATTGTCGACAACCAGCGGCATATATTGTGTTTCGAAGCGCGTACCAAGCAATGTCCTCTGTAACATCTTTCGAATCTTGCTCAAAATGCGCCCTTAAGCGGTCTTCGAAATGCGGTCGGTGTACTATTCCGAAAATTGCTTCAAAGCAATGGTCGAAAAAAGCCGATGTGTACATCCAAGCTGTTTCGAAGTCCGGCTCGTCACTATTTGAGCAGGATAAGGGATATTTTGGTCGCCAATTCCTATTCCATGCGGTGGCAAGGCTTTGTGCACTTTTGGCAAAATCTGTTGACCCCGTTCTTTCAGTTAGCCATGCTATGCCAGGCTCTGAGCAGATTGACAACCATGAGGCTGGCCCTGTATCGTTCAAAACGTCAGCACTCTTGGGTCCTCGATCTTGACACTGCCTAGAACACATCAAATCTCAACGAAATTCTCGCCACCAACATTGATGTTCTTCAGGACAGGATAGACTAGGATGGCATGTAGAAGAGCCTAACCCACCGTGGTGTTCCCATATTCGACTCTTTGGAGGAGCATTGTATTCTCCTTCGTCATTCATCAAATCCACTGTGTTTTGGTCATGAATAGATGTAACTTGACATGCTATATCTGTCGATAGGGACCTTATATTGCCATTCCAGGAGTCGGGGCTGTATATAGGTACCGAATGCTGAGCTGGAACCGTCTGTGCCGCCACGAAATGCGTAGAGCGGGTATCTTTTGATGGAGAAACTAGATCTTGACTAACCAGCAGGCTTGAGTGGACATTCTGCACAACCTCAGATTGGCTTGGGTGATCTCCCTCCACAGTCGGTGGAACGGACGCGAAGCTCTGGTCGAGTTTATTGTCCACCTCTGGCTGTCTAGCCACGGATTGTGGCGCTTGGGGTGGACAAGATGCCTGAAGAAGGGTTTCTATTCTGGATAAGCGCTCCTTGACATTGTTTTGCACTCGTTGCTTCTTGTGGTCTCCCCTCCCCCTTTTCGGAGGCGGATAAAAGCAGGTTTCGCTCTTGACGACACAGTTCGTGCAAGGAGTTGAGCCATCGCACCTCACTTTGCGCTGACGGCAATGTGCACACGCTCTGGTACGGTTTGGAACAGGGCTAGCATCTGCCATATCGTGAAAACCCTCATGAGACCAGACTCCCAAGTTGTTATGGAAAGCAGAAGGGCTTTGAGAGGAACCTCATCGGAGATATGGTAGAACCGTAATACCCGCATATTGCACTCAGAAACTGAAGAGGAGGCGCTAAGCCCCATCTCTTGAGTGGGCAGTGCGGGTTTGAAGTCGCTTAGCTGAACATCATCTCCGAACTGTTCTAGCTAGATGCGAAACGTGGAGATTGGCATGTCATTGTAAGAGAGGTAAGTGCTTAGTAGTTGACTGTTTGAGGTCACTTTACTCGGTGTACGGAGTTTATTCGCATATCCGAACTCCGGTGAATGCGGGGGAAATTTCAAAGTTCTCAGTGCACTCAAGCAAGCACCGATCTCTGTTGTTACTACTACTCACTAGTATGGCATAGCCTGTCTCATGACGATTTCGTTCCACGTGCAATGGATTTGGTACCGTCCCGTTTAATTCAGATTCTGTGATGGCGTGCATGACATCTTGCACATTATGTTTCGGTACTGTGATTCCTCGTCTTGTCTGGCAGGCCGATCCAGATACGTGGTATCTTCGATAATGATCATCTTTATATACTCTGTATCTTCCATTGATCTGTGTAACCAGACATCTAGCCTCTAGTACAGACTCCGAGAATACGACAGGTCTGAGCTATCAAATAATCGTCTAAACATACTAGCAACCATATTTAACAGCTCTAGAAGCCAGTGGCGAACCCGCCCGATCCCTTGTCGCCATCTCCATTCGCATCCTCATGAGCCACAATTCCATTTGCGGCAGAAGCAGAAAGAGCTATCGCAGGCGTCGTGTTCTGCGATGGAGACTTCTTGGGTCTCTTAGTGTGGTTGAGAATGGGCGGCACGTCAACATTGTCCAAATACGCTGTCGTCGCACCATTCTCGATCTGAGCTACAGTAAGTCCATTGCCTAGCCAAGAAAGGATATTGTCGCGAGCATCTTCCATATGGACGTAAGTGAAATCTTCGTATCTCGGATTGAGGAGAGCTTGTTGAGCATGAGTGTTAGAACCTGGCCACAACCCAACGACTTTGCCGTCATCTTGATTTCTCTTGAACCAAGAACGGCACTACTCGAAGAGTTAGCAACCAGTGGTATCACTCTCTCCATGAAGTCAACACTCTTACTTTGTAAGTGAAGATTGTTTTCGCAAAGTATTTCTCCACTTGCTGCGAAAATGACTCCAGTGCTTCCTGTCTACGCAATTTGAGTACGATTAACATTGAAGAATGTTCCCTCAACTTACCGAACTTCCATAGAAAGAATATGCTCCCGCTGCATCTTGGATATACATTTGATCATATACTCGGCGATATATTCCAGTGTAGCGATGAACGAGCCGGAAGGCGGTCCGCCGTTCGGACCAAGGTAAAGAAAGAAGTTTGGCATCTTGGAAACACAAATCGATAGGTAAGCTTGAGGAGTCGGGTCCCACATAGCCTGCAATGAGGTACCACCTCTTCCAAATATAGGTGTGGAACCTGCATTAAAAGAACTATTTTACACAGTTAGCATTCACAATTACCCAGTAAAAGCTGTATGCTCCAAGGAGTGGGCATACTAATTGAAGCCAGTAGCATAGATAATGGCGTCGACTTCGTGGAAATCTCCATTGTCGTCGTAAAGCCCAGTCTCGGTAACTCTGCTGACACCCGTGTTGACGACTTCAACGTTGTCTTCCACGAGCGCTTCCAAGTACCCGGGGCCTGGCGTAATTCGTCGACAGCCTGGTGGGTAGGCTGAACCTGGGCACATGGCCTCATAGAGCCATGGTTTCTTCTTGAGCTTTTCTTTCATTGAAGCTTGGCATAATGTCCAGAAATGCTTCTGTATTTCTGTGTCACGCATGGTGACCAATGCAACTTGGTTAATACCAGCTTCGATCTTGTGGCGGTACGCAAGATAAGCGCCGGGATCTTCCGCGAACAAATTCTTCTGCTCCTCCGTGTGAATGACTGTCTCGTATCAGTGATAGCACAACCAAATGTAAGCAGACAGTTTAGTGGTCTCATACCATTATCAGGCTCATCCTTTGAAACCCCGACGGGCGAGATCCACATCTTGTTCCTCACAAAATGAACCACACGTTTGGCTTTGGGCTGGATCTTGGGCAAGATCTGGATACCACTTGAACCTGCGCCTAGTAGCGCGACTGTTTTATCCGTCCAATCGAAAGTCTCATCCCATTTAGCCGAGTGCATATATGGTCCCTGAAAATCATGCAAGCCAGGAATTTCTGGCCAATCCCACTGGTTCAAATTGCCAGTACCCTTCAAAAGTACGTCCGCAATGTCAATTTTGACCTTACCACATTATCAGCTGCATGCTGGAAATATCCCAAGACCGCCATTCATGAACACCTACCTGCTGTGTTTCAAGATCTTTCAAAGTGATAATCCATTTGTGGTCTGTTTCGTTCCACTCTGCAGATTCGAAACGATGGCGAAAGCGAACATATTTTTCCACGTCGTATTTCCATGCAACATCCTTCAAGTACTCATGTATCTCACCGCCTTCAGCGTAGAAACGTGACCAGTTGGGGTTGTTAGCGAAATTGAATTGGTAGGCATGAGCGGGTATATCTGAATACATATTAGTTGTGTACTCTGTCCAAATAGGTGGGTGACACACCGCATCCTACTCCCGGGTATCTCAATTACCACCCTCAAGTTAGCCATTATGCATCGGTCTTGTTCAGGAGTACCAACCTATTCTCGAACCATACTCCTCCTATGTCAGAGTTTTTGTCGTAAATCACCAGCTCGAGGTTGCGAAGACGTTGTGGAAATCGAATTGCGGTCAAGATGCCAGCAAAACCAGCTCCAATGCAAACCACCTTTATTGGGCGCCCTGCATCGATAGGACGCTCGATGAGTTCTTGGTCGGATAGCATCTTTTGTATCACACTTCCTGCCGTGTTAGAACGAGGTATACTCAACGTTTGACATACACCCTGAATAAAGATCTATCGTGTGAGCACGTCGTTCCTTGAAGAGTTCGGAATAATGCTGGATGAGCTAAACTCATATTTCAATCTCATTTGAATTTATAGCTCGAAGGATCTCATGCTTCTAGAATACACGAATTGTGGAGAGCAATAACGCAGCCATGCAAACATGTTGTCTATCGGCTTCGGCATACCTGTTCAAACATCCGGAGGCCGACCATATCTTTCGTCGTCCTCGCAACGCGCGATCATTGTCAACTCTCGGTCACGGACCATTAATACATGATCTCGATGAAACCACAACCTAGTCTCGGTACCCCGAACCCACAGGCCTGGGGTGAGTGCCATTAACACAGTCTGGTGCCCCGTGGAGATGAAGCCCGGACATAGTAATCTAAGCACCCTTTAACCCCGCTTCTCCATGCGCAGAGCGTGTGAAGGCGGAAGCTGCTCGAAGCATCAATCTTGCCATATTCACCTGCAATCACTTTGACACTGGATTCATTGTGTTTGTTGGCCATCATGTAATGAAATGCTTTGTGGTTTTAAGGTATTATGTTCTCGATTGATGGTAGATGCTGCGGTTCAAGGCCGATAGTTCACCATGATCATACGATACTCGCTATGAAGCTTACAGCATCAGGTACGATGGCCGAAGAGTGCGGATACAGTGCTATAGCTCGGTCGGATATTGAATAACCAAGCAAAAATGGGCGGACGACGAGCTCCCACATCCACGTGGTGTCCGCTGGGAACTCTCAGAGAAACAGGCTAGCTGTCTCTGAGTGCCAGGAGGAGCTCAACAACGCTGTGATCCTCTCACGAACGACGCGTCGAAGTCCCGAAAATCATTCTCTGCATCTCACGAAACACCCAACATGCAGCCCCAGTACGCGGGAAGAAAGTGGCGCCCCTTTCATGTACGCCCACGAGGGAGAATGGATTAGTCCTCCGTTCTCCTACCCGACCGAAGTTTACGGTGTTAGAGTATGAAGAATACGGTAAGTTCGGGGGCTGTGAGCTTGTGTTAAGCTGTTGTTGCATCTACGACGAGGCTACGTGGCCAAGGGGGTGACCACCAGTGTTTAGGTGTCGGATTTGCGTGGTCCTGAGTTGAGCAATTGAACTCGATGTTATGAATCCACAAGATGAAATGCCATGGTCAAGTGAAGAGCATACCATTGTAAAGGAATCAGACAAACACCGAATTGTTGATCGAATCGGTACTCTTCCGCTCGTTACCCGACCGCTGTAGTCAGCCTCGGGGTACGACGTACAACTAAATCCACGAGCAGGTTTAACTCCGAGCTTTGCCAAGCCTGGGACAACAGCCTTAGCACCGCTACAAGCATTTTGGCCTGTGACTCTAAATGGGGAGGTAGATATCTCCGGGCATTTCTCCATATGGGACGTCGGGGTATTGAGGTATTGAGGCAGGGGGTTAGGGTGTAGTATAGGTGGGGAAGGGTATTAACCCATCAGTCGCTCGAGTATGTAACTAGAGGGAGTCTCGATTATGAACGTCAAGAAGTTCAGAAACTCTGAAGATAGTTTCTAAGATCTTGAAATCCAGAATATCTTCAACTAGGAGTAGACTCTCACAATGCCACTTCTAAAACACACAGACGGCATGAACGTCGTCCCGATCTATGTCGATGGAAAGACGTTACCCATCGATCCAACTCGGCTGATAACAGTGCGGTCTGCGCACGAGCAGCGAGACATCCACTACGCCCAAGGGGCGACAGCAGAGATCGCTCGTGACGCTGCAGCCGTAGCATACCGGACATTCAAAGACTGGAGGAACACGACATACCATTTCCGTCGAGATCTGCTGCTGCGCGTCGCACAGAACATCGAGACTCGCTCGGACAACTTCATCGCTCTACAACGCCAGGAGACATCCTGTGCGGAGTCCTGGGCCCGTTTCAATGTCGGGCTCGCTTGTCGAGCAATACGCGAGATCGCATCGCAGATATCGGCCGAGTGTACTGGTGAACTACCGCCGGGTGAAAATAATGCTTCATTCTGTATGGTTTTCAAAGAGGCTGTAGGTCCAGTATTGGCCATTGCGCCGTGGAACGCAAGTATGGTGTTGGCGACCAGAGCCCTCGCGGCGCCAATTGGAGCGGGTTGCACGGTGGTGTTCAAAGCTTCAGAGCTCTCTCCAGGGGTTCACCACGCTCTGCTGGAAGCTTTTGTCGAAGCGGGTCTGCCAAATGGTGTGCTCAATCAACTCCAAGCTCGACGAGAGGACTCCTCTGCAGTGACGGAGGCGCTGATAGCAGATCCCGCTATTCGAAAGGTAGAATTTACTGGGAGTGCGACCGTTGGGGCGATAATCGGACAGCTGGCTTCGAAGTACCTCAAACCTGTGCTCATGGAGCTGGGCGGCAAGGCTCCAGCAATAGTATTGAAAGATGCGGATCTTGAACGAGCAGCACAGCTATGTGCCATCGGTGCCTTTCTCCACCACGGACAGATATGCATGTCGACTGAGCGAATAATCGTGGTTCGAGAGGTCGCCGATGAATTTTCGGTCGCACTGAAAAAAGCGGTAGAGCGTCAGCACGCTGAAGGTGCAGGATCCGCAGTATCAATAGGGGTCGCCAAACGTGCCCACTCACTGGTGGGCGAGGCTATGAAGAATGGAGCGACATTCGTAGCTGGTAGCAACCAGTGGAATGGAAGCACCGATGCCTCTCTTGAACCCACAGTCATTACTGGTGTGACTTCGAAAGATACCATATACAACGAGGAGACGTTTGGTCCATCAGCAACTCTTTATGTTGTGGAAAATGAAGACGAAGCTGTCAAATTAGCAAACGATACCGCATATGGCCTGAATGCTGCGGTGCATAGCAAGGACATGTTTGCAGCTCTCAGAGTGGCAAGACAATTGGAATGTGGTCAAGTTCATATCGGTACACTTACGGAGTATGATGAAGCGGCAGCACCCATCGGTGGTGTGAAAGGAAGTGGTTGGGGACGAAATAATGGGAAGTATGCTTTGAGGGAATTTTTGGTGACCAAAACGATATCGTTCCATGATCCAGCCGCTCAAGCAGGGTTTGGTGTTCATTGAATTCTTTGACAGGTGGCCACTATGGGTATATGAAGCATCCGCATAGCATTTCGATTTAGGATACAGAGTGAGGTAACGGGACAAGGCCACTATGAATACATATCTCGTCTCTTTGGTCGACCCAACAATAACATGGAAGTCTTAGAACATGAACATCTCTAAGCCTTGGGTTTCGGTGCGAGGATCTAATGCATTGCTGCTGATAATCCTCTCTGCATTTGCCTGTGTTGGCATTATGGGGAGGTGTGGTGTATAAAAGTTCAAGCAGCCTTCTTGCCCTGAGCCTTTTCACGCTCTGCTTTTCTCAAAGCCCGCTTTCTGATGTCAATATGCATTTTCTTGTTAATTGACAATAGGATGCTGCTGAAAGGACCTAATAGACCCGTCATAAGCGAGGCGATAAGAGCATGACTCCAATATGGACTGCCGCTGTGGGTGAATCCAATACTTCCACCTCGTCGACCAATCTTGCCCAAAGTGGATCTGACAAAGGCTTTCTCCGTAGGCACCTGCCAATTGGCACGCCTGATCTTCGACATGGCAGAGGTTACAAGATAGGAGTGAACGAAGTAGACATCCACACCCTTTGATGAAAGCTCTGAGGCCAAAGCATTGGACCACTGCTGAAGGAAAGCCTTGGAGCCGGAATAAGTAGCCAAGAGGGGAGTGGGGGCCAATCCACCAAAAGATCCCATGGTCAAGATGAGGCCTCTCTTCTGCGGTAGGATGCTTGGGAGGATTGTCTGTGTAGCTCTGAGCGTTCCCAAGCAATTAATGTTGATGATATTGGTAAGCTCGTTCACTGGTGTTTCAGCAAATTCCACTGGGATTGAGTGGCTCTGTCCGACAGAATTGATCAGGATGGAGACTTGTTTGCCCTGTACAAGAGAAGCTAAAGCGGCATAATCGGAGTCTCGATTCTGAGAGAAATCCATAGCCAACGTTTCGACCGAAACGTTAGGCGAGGCGGATTTGATTTGAGTCTTCAGTGCATCCAACTTGGACGCTGTGCGTGATACCAAAATCACATTGTAACCCTTTTTTGCCAGTTGAGATGCAAACTCTTTCCCAATTCCATCACTGGCTCCTGTAACTACGGCCCATGTTCCTTTGGCACCGAATTTGGAGAGTGATTGGCCAGGTAGCACGAATGTACTGAGGATGACCCGAAGGATTGTCCATGAAACGGACACGGCTGTGAGGGCACCAATTCCTAAGAGGATCGCGGACGGTATGGATTGCTGGCCAAGTGGCCCAAGATCAAGTGTCATTCTGTCGCCGCTGAGGGATGCTTTAAGATGTCACTTTAGAGAGGCCTTGACACAGATTTGTGTACAGAATCTTCGCGTGTGAAATATGACCGTCCTGGATGTGGTGATAGTTGTTGAGAGACAGTCAGCCTGCGGAGGAAATCATGTTGGGGAAATTATATACAGATGTCTGACAGAGACAATCGCGCTGATCCAGCTGGCACATTTCTGGTGGCCCGGTGCAGCATAGACAAAAACTACTTTTTGTCTGACGGGCAGCATCCGTTCCAAAATAAAATTAATTCAATCCGCAAAGCAAAAGTATGTCGACATTCACTGCGTTCACTGTCGGTCTACCATCTCAAAAAGAGTAATTGATATTGCAGTAGCACAACATGTCTTCTCTTCTTCCTCAATCTGAAGGCTATCTGCCACTGTACATCCTCCTTGTGAGTATCCTCATTGGATTCCCCAATATCATGCGTTTCTAATCCCTATGTCGCAGGTTGGGGTCACCGCCTTCGGAAATGCCATTCAATGCTATAACACCATGTCTTACACCCGCCGTCTTTACCCTGGCCAGGTTACCACAAAAGCCAAATCTGCAGCTACCTCCTCCGATACCGCTTCCACCTCCCCGGCCACACCTCTTTCTTCGAGAACCTTCGGAACTTGGACACTTGCCGTGGGAATAGTGAGGATCTTTGCTGCATATCACATCAATGAGGCGTCGTGGTACCAGATGCAGATGCTGACCAACGTCGTCGGCTTGTTCCACTTTGGAATGGAAGCGTTCGTTTATAAAACCAGTCGCCCATCTGGTCCGTGGTTGGCACCCGTCATCGTGGCCACCATTGGAGAGGTCTGGAGCATCGCACAGTATAGTTACTATGTGAGATGAATGTTCAGATCATGGTGTCTGCTTGTCGTGTGCAGGTGAATTCTCGACCTGGGTTCCTGTGCCGTTCAACTTTTTCCTGTACAATTCCCCTCCGCAGTCCCTTAGCCTGACGGTCGCTTGTTCCGGAGTGATGTCTCTCTGTGGCTCGGCCATCATCTCATAACCGACCAAGAATTTGCGGACAGTGGCGCTCCGCAGCAGTGGCGGGTAGAAGTGGAGGTGGAGACTGGCACACTCGAATTCCTCATCTGTACCGTCTAGTGGAGCTTGATGAATGCCCATGCTATAGGGAAAGCTGGTCTCAAACAGATTGTCATATCTTCGAGTAACCTCTGCGATTGCTTCGGCTAGATGGAGCTGCTCTTGCTCGTTCAATTCAATCAACGAACGGAAATGCTTGACTGGGAGAATCATGGTCTCGAACGGCCAGGTTGCCCACCAAGGGCAGACAACCAGGAAGGTGTCGTTCTGGAACACGATCCGCTCCTGTTTTTCAAGCTCTAGTCGAGCATAATCCACGAGTAGATGTAACCCGCCTTGTTCACGGTGGTATTTCCGTAGATTCTCCAACTCCAGGCCAGGCTCTTCGGGCATGGTCGTCGTAGTCCAGATCTGTCCATGAGGGTGAGGGTTCGAACATCCCATCGCGGCACCTTTGTTCTCAAAGATCTGCATCCATCTGTACTGTTCGTGCGGCGTGCTGACACTGGCCTGTGGGCTCGAGACTGGGAGATGTGTCGGTTTTGCCAAAGCTGCTAGCGGCGACTTGGGCGACAAATGCGCCGTGTAGATCTCTGTCCATGTCTTGATAATCGGAACGATTTCCTTGGGCGACATATCGGCCAATGTGACATTATGAGCAGCGTTAAAGGTCAAGACGTAGCATTTTCCCTTGACCGGCTCGGCCTTGAGCAGTAAGCTCGCAAGACTTCCCGGCTCGTTGGGGGAAGTATATTCCGCCTGGGACTCCTTTACGGCGCTGTAGTCGTTGACGAAGGTGTACGTGTTTTCGTACTTGTCGTTACGATCCCCCGACGCTCTTTCGTTTCCTGGACAGAGATAACATTTCGGATCGTACACTGGGAGGTCGATAACACCGGGGTCTTCCTGTGCTCCTTGCCATGGTCTCTTGGTGCGGTGGGGTGAGACCAAGACGTGGCTCCCACGGAGCGGGTTATATCGTCGGTGAGAGATATCGTCGAGTATCTTGTCGGGCATCGTGACCAGAAAAATATATATCAATTGGTGGTTTGGTTCTTTGTCGTTGGTGCTTGAGCTTTGTGGTAGACTTGTCAATTCTCTCAACGTTGACTCATGCGTTTTATATATAGTGGATGTCTATATTCGAAGTCAATTAATCATGCGAACGCTGTGGCGCACGCTGGAAAGACTCTGAATGTCACAGGATAGTATTAGGGATTGGAAAAAGCGCGGCGGGAAACCATTGCGGAAAACCGAAAAGCTCGGTGATATTCGATAATCGCGTTTGGTTCTGGGAATGGGCGGATGTCAAACTGGGTTAATGCAACCTTTGTGGATACTAGCTTCTAAGATAAGTTGCATACACAGGTAGGTGGATTATAATCTACATTTATATATTTTGTTATCCCGGTGGTTGTTACGCTGTTGCTCACTTGCTCTCCCTCCTGAATCCTGAGACGCCTGAGGCAAGGTGGGGGGCTCGGGCCTAATCACCCCGCGATATCTTAAGGCACTTTTGCCTTGAGGGGCTTCAACTTTTTGGACTGGTGACGTCGATGCAACCATCGGCGGGATGGATGGCCTTGGAGCCGTCAGTTCAACAATGATTGCTTAATAGCCTCGACCACGGGCACCCTTAGGCGGCCTTAGTCCCCGTGTGGAGTCGACGATAGTCCTATGATGGCGCTTACAGGCCACAACCCCAGCCTTAAACTTAACTAACATGACTCCACACCCAGTCCGGCGTCATACGTACATCTTTGCTAGACGAGAAGCGAAATCGGCGGGATGATAAGAACCAAAACCCTCAGATGACATGATTCCGATTCAAAGTTCATCAATTATATCCGGCGGACGTCGGATTTTCATCTTTCTTTTCTGAATCAACGAGTAATCATTTAATTAAAAGTTCGTTTTTGTATGGTATATCCCATCAAATAAAGGTCTTCACTTCTCACGGTGCGAGGCCATGTATCGTCGTCGGGTCCTAAATTAGGTCGTGTTCAACACCAAAGATACCACCAACCTTAGATATACATACCTAGGTATTTCAACCCACGGGTTCAGGGCGCAGGTCGCCCTCCAGTTCGAGCAAAAGATGCAAAACCAACCGGATCTAGCTACTCTGGAAGACCTACCAAACGAGGTATGAGATCTCAATTCCCAGTGCACTCCCGGTGCGCGACAGGCTCCTTCATACTTCTGCGAGAAAAGCACTCTTCTTATTGCTCCCAAAAAACCACAGATCCTAGTGACCATCCTCTCGACCTTCCCCACGAACCACCTCCTGGTATGGGTGATCGTGTCACGACGCTTCCACTCCCTAATTCTCCGCATCCTACACTTCCGACTCCTCCTCGCGGCGGCCCTCCCCGACTGCAAACTCATCCTGGAAGCCTACCACCCAAGCCGCACCTCCGCCGGCAACGCCTACCTGTACTGCACGTACCTAGGCACGGACGGGCTGAGCTCGAAGCACGAAGGCGAAGGCAGCCTGTACGCGGACTGCGCGGGCGAGGAAGGACGGTTCGCGAAACTCGGCGCCCTGTACAGCCGATTCCGGCCGGAGCGGCCGACGGTGACGGCGTCGATGCCGCTGCGACGCATCGCGGGCATCGCGCCCGCGCAGTCGCTCGCCGGCGAGACCACCCAACCCATCTACGCGGACAGCGGCGACGGCGGGTCGACCAAGGTCGCGCACGTCCTGAACCTCGATGCCGACGAGCTGTTCGGCCAGTTCTGCGCCTATCCCCAATTGGTGCGCTTCGGCCCTCGCAGGGGCGTCTTCCTCAGCAGTTCCCATATCGTCCAGCATGGCCAGGGCGTCATGCGCGTCTGGAAGCACTGGTTGCAGGATCGCGCCCTGGAGTTGTGGCATCAGCAACAACAGCAAGAGCAACAGCAAGAGCAAGAGCAGCAGGAGAACGGACAGGATCCAGGACAAGCCCACCTCATTAGGTCGGCCACGATGAGTTGTCCGACTATAGGTGCGGATAAGAATATCCTGTGGACGGACTATAAAAAGAACGTCGGCTTGAGGGTCGCCGTACGAGAACGTGAGGGCCGGCTGTACGGCAAGACGCCCGACGAGTATAACGACTCGCCGATGAGTTTCCTCATCGAGATTCAAGGTAGGCAGGCACTATCTTTGGCGCCTTACCAGAAAAGACATACCTTTTGCTTCCCCTCGCATGTCATTTTAAAAGAAACTTAAAGCCGAACATAAATTGGAAGATTGACCGACTAACTGACGGGTGCACCCTATACAGAACTGGTAGTTCGAACGACACACCTCATGCTCGCAGTGGAGACATTTATACAGGACCAGGAGAAACGAACAGGTAAAACTCTCGTGTTTGGCAATTTCGCCACCGCTGCAGCCTTGCCTACGGGCACGTGAGGAGGTGGCAATGGTTATCTTTTATTCATCTCCTTTATTTTGACGACGGACGCTCACGCGCCCCGTGAGCATTGGAATCATATGATTCATATACCCCACCCATGTAACGATAGATGTTTCCTCATCAAGCTGCTGCGTTTTGTTCAGATAACGAGGAATGGAGGCTAGGATGGGATGAGACATTCTTGTCCACTTTCTCTACCTTGAGTTGGGTCCTTGTCGTTCTTCAGAGCTAGTACGATCCGAGTGGCCTGCATCTGCGATCTGGTCGGCCAGAGCGTAACTTCTCTGTGTCAAGAACTGGAGCATTCTCGACAGTGCCGACCATTGGCATTTTGTGGCCAGCCGAATATCTTTCATGTACAGCACGGGGGATCCCAATCAACCTTCCAGGGCAAGCGAAGTTCATGTTCATGCTCAGGTTCGCTGATTCTTGATTGAATATCCTGCAGATCAGTCCTACCTTACATGGTCCATTGTCTGAAAAGAGCCGCGCTGGAATGTTCAATAGACGTCTTCCAGAGGATGAATGGCTCGATATCTCGAACAGGCAGCCGTGAAAAGCACCTCGATGTGCCTACAGCACAGACCAACGGCGGTGAATGGTACCAACTGTCAAAGATACAGGCGGGTTGATTATTCAGACCGAGAGTCAGGGGTTTGATTTGACTCGAGGCTCGTGATTCCCCTTCCGAAGAAGAGAGCTGTTAAGTGGTGAGTGGTACGGTGAGCTGTTGAGATGGAGGAACTGAGACTCGCGCTGTAGAATGATCTGCCGCTTCCGGACTTTTCCCCCGGCATTCTATGCTGACCTCTAATTAGGAGACATTGTCGGTCTCAGTATAGTACAATATATAGATGTTCCGTTTTGCCCGTCATATTTGCTGTCCACGCCGCATTATTCCATAACATCTTGTTATCATTTCATCATGTTCTTACAGCCCAGGTTGGCTGTTTCCGATTTTTGTGAGTTCTTCGCATGTGCATTCATTTTCAGCTCTGGCACCGAAACCCTGCAGCAGAATCCATGCAAGCCACTGGTCTCGGCCCGTGTCCAAGTCCTTTCAACTGCACAATCTCCATCGCGATCGTTAACTCGACCGAGCACTTTCCTCTTCCACATTGGTCGATAACGATGTCGGCTGCAGCGTCGGCTACATGGAGCTTGACAACACACATCTTGCGATGAGAACAAGCTGACCGGTTAGCTTGATCCCTGTTCAGATGAGGCTCTTTCGTTCGTGACTCTGATTCTCGACCCTCATCGACTACCCCGCTTCTGCGTGCCCTTGATTCCGTGCGTATGGGTAGTCGATACATCCCACAACGAACACGACTCAAGCTTTCGCTCTGGGTATTTCTCAGTGACGATCCCCACTTTGTTTACCTTGTCCTTTGTTTTTCGCCACCGACGATCACTTTGTTCAAGAGAATATCGGATGAATAGCGATATACCATTGAATCAACATCAGCTATACCTTCGACCAACACTTCTGTATCACGGCCCCACTTTGGTCCAAGCATGCCTCAGATACCTCTAGACCTTCCAGGTAGCATCTCCAAAGATGTGCTTGAGAAAGATCTGTCGTATTATTTTGGAGGGGATGCAGAAATCGTTAGGCAAAAGGTAGCTCGCCTCTGATAAGAAATGGAGGTCGTCGTTTGTGCTGATAATGTTGTAGGGGAACCACTATGTCATCGACACCTCCAGTTCTCAGAATTTGCAGTCAATTCTCCAAAGACTCCGCGAAGATACGGCGACATGGCGCGCGAGTGATGAGTATTATCAACGCGTTGGTAAGCTTGATTTTCGTTTCTTGTAAAACGTCTTGCTCATGTCGGCAAGATTATTCCCAGAGCAGAGTGCATCGTAATCGAAAGCAATCTGCAGCCAGTTATGCAACACGCTATCCGAGTGCAAGGCGTGAATCTATCGCGTCGACAATGGGAACATCGTCAATGCCAGCCCCACCGAGAAGACCTAGCATGCCACATCGGACCAGTTCGACCAGCGGTTCAGTAATAGAATCACCACTTGGAAGCTCATATCAGAGCACAAGTAGCTTTCCACAATCCAGCATGTACTCGAATCAATCCCGACGTCCTTCTGAGGCAACGTCGCCTGCAGGACCAGGCTTCAGAAGTCGAACCGACTCAATGTCCAGTAACTCCAGCGATTATGGCACCGACGGCTATTTTGGCTGGAAGACCAGCACTGGTACCGATGGCTATTACGGCTGGCGTCAAGACAATGGCCGTTCTGCACCTCAATCCAGGAGGCCTTGAACATCCGACTCTGAGTTGCTCCGTCAAGCACCAGTATCGCAACGCATAATTCGGTAAGTCCTTCGATCTTAGCATATGACTTGGCTGCCATTCCTTTGCCCTTGAGAAGGCTGCTGCATTTGTGTTTGAAAATGTCTTTGGTAAGAGCACATCTGGTATCAGCTGATGGCGAAATTTGCTTTCTCAAGACAAGACAACTTATGCTCACACCATGCCCACAGATCCTCTGCATCTTGAGACTTGCCTTGCATCAACAAGATATCTTTGAGTAAAACGAAAGAGTGCACAGATTTCGGACTGGAATCTCCCAATACTCGACGTCTTTGTATGACCACTTCGCGCAATAGCTCTTCAGCAGTCCAAAGGTACTCGCGACGAGACTTCTTATCTGCGTCCTTCGCCAACATTTGCAGGAAGTAAGCATGGCGATGATTTGCCTCCCATGTATAGGGATGATTTCTGTCGAAATTCCGACCGACACTGGGGACGACCTTTTCAACGACAATCTCCATTGCTGTCATGGGATCATCGCACTTCAGTGTCGCACGAGCTAGTGTGGCCGTAGCCATAATGGTCTGGATATGATCCTCTCCAAAATGAGCCTCGCTTTTGACAGTGATCGCGTCCAATTGCCGCCGGGCATCGTGGCAATGACCCATCTCTAGCATTGCCCAAGCCCAATTATACTCCGCCGTCAATGCTGGTCCGCGGCTGTTGGGGTACCTGTCCCTGATATCTTTATGAATTGCCTTCAACTGATCCAGGTTGTGCTGGGGGTGTTCCCCTCGAACACGACTTTGGAGCAAGTTTGTCTTGAAAGCTATGGTTCTTGTCAAAGGGTTATCAGTCCCAAAGTGCGCCTCGGTGTCCTGATCGCACACTGTCAAGAGTTCAAGAAGCCTTTGCGTATGGCCAAAAGACTCGAACAATGTCGTCATCACACTCAGAGCGGCGAGACAAGATTCTCCTGGCGACTTTGCATCTCGGAGCATGCAGAGATAATAGAATCTTGCAGTTTGGAGATGGTAAAATGCACACTCCAGGTATTGAGGATTGTCCTGTCCCACGCAACAGCACCAATATAGACAATTTCTCACGAATAATGCCGCAAGGTCATGACCGTTGTTCACCGCGGAGCACTTCGAATGATCTCCAAGGACAAAACTGTCGAATCCCAAGCTATACCGTCCATCAGTAGGAACGACCCCGAGGCTTGTCAGGTCAATGGGATCTGGTGACAGCGCAGCAAGTGTTATGTCTAGAGGAAGCCTTGGAAAGAGTTGTTGAGTGGTTGGTGTCTCAGCAACTGTGTGAGGTTGCCTATCTGGCCAGAAAGACTCAACCAAGTCTGTCATTGCTTGGTCCTCGCCCTGTGGTGCGAGGTTTCCATCTAGGTTGTGGGAATATACTGTGTCCTGAGATTGACTTGGATACAAGTAGTTCTGAAAATTGGGCACCTCGTCGGGTTGAATCTCTGAATTTCTCGGGGATGGTTGGGATGACTCAGGTGTGCTTACGGGGGATGGCAGTGGTTTGATTGTAGGGGATGTCTCTGCAGAGCCAGTGGGAGGGTTCAGGATGCCTGTCGAGCCACTCGAAGGAGGCGACTGTTCCAGAGGTAAATATTTGATGTACTTTGGCGTCGGTTCCTCTGATGTTATTCTTGATAACAGGTCACTTTCGTTAGATACGCCTTTAGTTCTCTGAATGTATTTCGTGATCGTATTCCTGTAGATGACCTTCCCAGTGAACAACACCGCATTCCGATACCCAAGTGATGGTGCTTCGTCAAGACACCTTAAGATATGAGCAGCGTCCTTGACAGTCAGGTTGCGCTTGAATCCCCAGGCTTTCAGCTTTACCTTCCAAGGTTTGGCCCTGATAAAGAGTGAGTCAAGATGAAGGGTTCAGGTCAGGCAGATGGAACTTACGTTTGGTTCAGACCGTACTCAACCTTCATGTGCTCCATGAGACCTTTTTGGGACATACCCATCTCGACATAAAGTCGTCTGATTAGATCCTTCCATGGCTCAAACCTGGCATCCCTGGTCTGGCGCGACTGGACTCGTTTCGTACGAGTCGAGAGGGGAGGAATTGACCGGGCCATGACACCTGCCACGCGCCTGATATCAAAGCCACAAAGCAAATTGGCAAAGGAAATGCGAGTCTGGACACCAGGCACGCATCTGGGTACAACGACCGGATGCAAGGAAGGGGAGAACACGGGTTCAAGATCTAGTGCATCCAATCTAGGGGAAGTGTATGCAGGAAACCAGGAGACCTGAGGTTCGATGGTACTGAGCTGCGAATTCAGAACTTTTAGCGACAGAGCGGAAGCATATCTGTTTGGCTGGGTGGCAAATAGGTCAGGGAAAGGGCGAGGATGGCGTTTGGAAGTAAGCCTGGCGTGGTCTGGCAAGGACGCCTCACCCTTGGAAATCAGGCAGGATGACAATGATGTAGCAGGGGTGGACTGTACAGTACCCAACCTGGGCAACTTGCAAAAGTGCCAATGTCGAATATTGGTTAGAATGATGATTCAGGCGTTCGGATGCACAAGTTCCAGTGGGCGGTTTGTCTTCTGGTCATGCTCTCAGTCGGATGGAGCAACGGCCATCCATGTGAGAGCTGCTCTAGAGTTATATTCAAAAGTGCCAGCATGAATTCGTCCTAAACCAGCCAGCCTGAGGAGTTGAGGGTCAGGAGTATGGAGTATGACGCCATTGTGCATCGCCTGTGCACGCTTGCTGGTCCTGGAGGGATTTGCTGAGCCACCACCAGACCAGAAGGGGCACAGTCCACCCCAGTAACTAGACGGATGACTTACAGTTGCGAGTGAAGATCAACGCCTGGCATTGATCAAAAGTTCTGAAGTAGTCAACAATTATTCAGGATCTGCAGACTGACTGCTGGCTGGGTCAGTTTGCCCGTTGCATTTCCAATCTGAAATTCCAACTCTGGGGAAGGAGCCAGGCAACGAAGGAACAGCGGAGACGACTCTCAACCAGAACCCCGTAACTCGTACCCCGTGGAAAAGATTTTCACGGACTGCGTTGACACATTGCCTATTCTCGACTTCTCAACGACCAAGGCAGCAAAGTCGGGCGCGTATGACGAAAGAGTCCATGTTGAAAAAGGGGCCAAATTGGGTTATAGGTCTGCATGAATGCGAGCTTTGCTGACCAACATCCCGAATAGAGGCTTGGACGCCTTGTCCCTAAATCACCTCTCTTAGGGGACGCGTGTCGCACTTTTGCTTTCTTCTTTTTTTTTCTGTTGGGCCATATCCTACTTCGCACCTTCTCGTCGTAATCCGTGTGTTGCAGAATGAGACCGCATGCGCGAAGGTCAAGATGGAATTTATGTTGTCGAACCCAACCTTCAGAACGCGTCAGTTGACTATTTAGGCATGTTAGGCTCGAGAGCCGAAGCGCACGGCCTGGAAGATCCACTGATTGTCAGCTTCTTAGCGTTCTGATCGCCCGAAAGGCCGGGGGGATTGGGGGCCGGGTGGCAAAGAATAGCATTGTTCATTACCTAGGTATTTTGCCTGAGCCTTGGCACCCTCCCAGTCCAAGAGCCCAGCTTCGAGACGCCTTTCAGATTCAAAAAGTCCTCCCAAGATCACTCCACCAACAGCACTTGCATTAGCTACAGAGATTCTGGCCTTCGCAGCAAAGAGACCTGGTCATTCCAAAATCCTATGACTTCTGGACGCACCGGGCCGTCCGCTTTCCAAAGCTGACTTGTTGATATATGATGTTGAGCAGCGGCATCGTGTGGAATTGGGCTCAACAATGTCGATCTTGTTCCACACTGAGTCACAAAGTCCTCCCAGTTTGAATTGCAGAGTGTTGCCACAGGCTCACCGGCACCCAAAGCTTTGTGCGTAAGTGCCAAACGTTCCAGAAAGACCAATGGCATGGAACGAGGCTGCTTACTCTTCCCAACCAAGTATGACCAGCGATCTGTTTTGAAGAGGAAAAATGCCCAAGCACATGGCCAACGCTGTCCGCTTGGCAAAACTCAATGAACCTTTGAATCATGCAGTCGTCACTTACCATTGCGGAATTTACCAGTATCAAGCTTAGTGGATTTACATCACGGATTCTGCCAGGGGTTTCCGACAGCTTGGTGGTCCATGCCACACGGGACGGTTGATATTCTTAGCTGTGAGGTCTTGTAGCGAGAATTCAATACCACAGACCACACTACTCGACTCTCACTGCTTCTCGTTACGAGGTACGCGCAACCGACCTCATACTGTGGCGACTTTGTTGCTGGCCACGAGCTACTTCTGAGCACGGGCATCCCTTTTGGAATTTTTGACCGTTGTCCCTCAGCGGGGCAAGCAAAGAAAAACCCAAAGCCATACCCACATCTACACCTACACAAGTTCCTATGATATTGCAAGGTAGGTGGTGTGACCGTTTCACCCGTGCAGGCTGTTGAAAGTGCCTGTCGTATAACCTATGAACAGTGTGTCCAACTGCGATGGTCACTGGTGCCAGGTAAGTTGGTGTACATATAAAATACTCTATGGCTCCAACGATTTTTCACCATTGTCACTGCTATCCACGAACCTACTGGGCAAGTTTGATCCAAGCAGTATTTAATTTCAGCATAGAACAGCAACTGATATTCACAACTCCGCCTCTTCTTTCGCTTTTGCCTTTGTCAAAGAGAATACCAGCTTTTGCCCGTGCTAGCAACGGCTTGACCTCCATCCACAGCAGCACTCAGCCCACGGCCGACATATTGAACCCTTGAAGCCTGTCAATCTCCTTAATCATCATGGCTACCTCCCTTCACAAGTCTATCTCTAGCGCAGTCTCTTTGAAGCTGCGGGCACCATCTCAGACTAGCAGTGCTATTGCTGTCAAAAATGGAATCGCTAGCCACCATCCCATCGACACCATTAGATCGGAAATCGGAAATCGCCAACAACCTCAAGCCAGCTCTTCTAGAAAGGAAAAGGATGATTTGGTCGCTGTCAAGCGGTGGTTGGTGGAGCGACCTGTTGAAGAGGCCTGGAATCACATTGCGAGAACTCAGCAAGACCTGGTTGCCTTGCGTGTCAAAGTGGGACAAGTCAAGCTGTGATATAATTCGGGCTACACATAGCACGATTCCTCGGCGCCCAAACAGATCTCTATGAGATTCTATCAGAATACTTGCTGCATACGACACAAGATAAAGTCAACCCAATGAGACTTTCTCATGCACCCCACCATTCGCTTACTACACGGCCTCCAGCATGCCTTCCCTATATTCGGTCATCGCCTACACAAACAGCTACCTCAGCATCAAGAGCGACCTTGGGTCACGAAATGCCCTGATTCCCACTTTACGAAGGCTTTGAAACACTTGGGCTTGGAATCTGCGTCGAAGAATGTCCTACTACCAGCATGTCCAAACACTTCAGAGGCTTTCTACAAACATCAACAACATTGACACAGCCAATGGAATATCTCTCAAATCACAGTTTACCGCCCATATCGACACAGCCGATGAAGTTTTGTTTAGTCCTACTCAGTCACCATCCTCCTTCCATACCTCACACTCGGTTTAACCACCCCAGCTACCAACCTCTCCATCAGTCACCATAGGTTCTCGAATTGTCTTGGTCGATCGCAAACTGCCCGTTTTCTGTTTGTTCTTTTTCGGTCTGTAAAGGTCATTTCTACCCGTTACACTACTGCCCCTGCGCCAGAGATGTTGTTGTCGCGGTGGCTTTCAATATTTCGATATGATTCATCGCTGGCGAACGCGCAGAAGCACGGTGGTCAAATTTGCCCTTTCCCAAATTTCTTAAATCCCTTTTACATTAGACACAGCGGATCATGGGCCCGGGAGCGCCTGTAGGTAGCTATCGGACTATAATTGGTATTGTCCGACTGAGAGTGGCAAGCTCTCCTCTAGATAGACAACATCAAATGACGATGTTCGACCTCTTTAATCTCCATCCTTCAACCTTCCGAAATCTTCTTGTCTGCCATACGCTTCTCCCACTGGTTTTACATCTAGAAAGTCGCAAAAGCCAACTCATAGTAGAGCCTGGCTTTATTTAATCCCCAGCGTAAATCCATAGACGGTAAGTTGCAATTAGGTTTTGGAAGTACATTATCTCCGAAACCCGAGATGGAATATCTCCACACATCAGTGGCAATTCAGCACTTCTTAGGCTTATTCGAAGATTGGCGAATGGCCAAACCGGTAAAAAGGGCCGATGCGTCTCGACGGATGCGGTTTCTTTCATGTTTTGATGTCACGAATAGACGCGGCAGGGACATATGTCAGGAAATTCCGCTTTGGTCTAGACCAGGTCATGGAATATAAAACAGGCTTCACAGCCATGCAGTTTTCATGTTGGTCAATAACAACATCAAGCTCTCGAACAATAAATCATGTCTACTCCTCAAGAGTCTCTCCTGTTCCGACACCGCCTTCTTTCTCCTACCGCTGGGGTGAAGGTATCTCCACTATGTCTGGGTGCCATGACCTTTGGCAACAAGCAATCCGAAAGATATGGGGAGATCACCAAACAAGAAGCCACTGAAATCCTGGACACATTTTTCGAGCACGGCGGTAACTTCATCGACACTGCCAATGTGTACCAGATGGGCCAATCCGAAGAATGGGTGGGCGAGTGGATGAAAGCACGCGACAATCGAGACGAGATCATCCTCGCGACCAAATACACGGCACTGAACTACAAGAACGGCGCAGCAGACACACTGCACATCAAGTCGAACTCGGGAGGCAATAGCGTCAAATCTATGCGTGTCTCTCTAGAGGCATCCCTCAAACGCTTACAAACCGACTACATCGACCTGTTCTACGTGCACATGTGGGACTTCACCACGACAATCGCGGAGGTGATGCACAACCTCAACGACCTGGCCGCTGCGGGCAAGATCCTGTATCTCGGCATCTCGGACTGTCCGGCGTGGATAGTCAGCCAAGCGAACCAGTACGCACGCGACCACGGCCTCCGGCAGTTTTCCGTCTATCAGGGCATGTGGAACGCCGCGTTGAGGGACTTCGAGCGCGATATCATCCCCATGTGTCGCGCGGAGGGCATGGCGCTGGCGCCGTATGGTGTCTTGGGTCAAGGCAGGTTTCAGACGAGGGAGGGCTTTGTCGAGAGGGAGAAACATAACCCAGGCAGAAAATTCATTCCGACGTCAGAGCTGGACAAGAAAGTGTCGGCGGTGCTGGAGAGTGTGGCGGCTGCGAAAGGGGTGCTGTTGCTGGATGTGGCGCTTGCGTATGTGCGGTCCAAGGCGCCATATGTGTTTCCTATTGTCGGTGGGAGGAAGGTGGATCATATCAGGGGTAGTATCAAGGCCTTGGAGGTGGCCTTGAGCGAGAAAGAGGTTGAGAAGATCGACGCCGCTTATCCGTTCGACCATGGATTTCCTCACACTTTCTTGAGTGGGACGCTGTTTGATGGTTCGACTCCCAGGGCTCCTCGAGGCCCGGAAGATGTCTTCATGACGAAGACCATGGGCACTTTTGACTGGGTCGAGCAATCCAGACCGATTGGGCTGGAGAGAAAGAGAACCTGAGTTTGTCGCTCGCCGAACACGGTTATTGAGGGAATGCCTTGGCTCATAGTCTTCTTGAACCTAGGATGTTAACGACTATAATAAGAGTCGGCATCGTAGAAACAAAAATTCAATATTGTTCGATGGTACGGGGTCGTAACCCTTGAATTGTCGCTTTGGACTTCCAGACTATGGTGCTACTTCCCTCCCCATACTTCCTCAACAAACTCTCTCGTCGCCTCTCCAATCAGATGTGGGTTTTCCTCCTGCACATAGTGATTCGCCGGTCCGATATCCACCGCCTTGATATTCTTCAACTGGCTCGCCAGCTGCTTTGCCTTCTCCACAGAAATGATAGCTCCTGGAGTCGCCCAGAACATGAGCTTCGGCACGCTCGTCTCTTTCAACCACGCGAAATACGCCTCCACAATCTCATCGACGTCCGCGGGCGTCCCGTCGAACGGAATCTCTTGCGGGAAACGCCATATTGGCTCCCGCATCTTGGGATCAAGAAAGGGAGCCCGATAGTGCGCCATTTCATCCTCGGTGAGACCTCGTATGGTGCCGCCTTTGGCAAGGAGGACATCGATGAAGACGTTTTGTTCGATGATGAGTTTCTGGCCCACGCCCTCCGTGCGGAAGTCGCGGAATATCTGGCCCTTCTCTCCGAAATCGTCGAGCTTCATTCCCGCCGTGATGAACTCCATGAACGCTAATCCGGCGACTCGGTCAGAGTGCTGATGTGCCCAATGGAACCCTAGCGCGCTGCCCCAGTCCTGTATAACGAGGAAGATCTTCTCATCACCGTTTCCAAGAATTGCTTCCATAAAGGCGTTGAGGTAGCCTACGTGGTCTCGGAAGTGATAGGCGTTGGAAGGCATTTTACCAGAGTCGCCGAATCCTACCAGGTCTGGAGCGATACATCTTGCTACGGGTGAAATATGGGGAATGATGTTCCGCCAGATATATGAAGATGTTGGGTTGCCGTGGAGAAAGACGACGGTGGGCGAAGTTGGAGCGGACGCTTCGGTGTCGATGTACGCTATTGACGAGTCCAGAACGGATATCCTTTTCTTCGTGAAGGGGAATTTGGAGGATATCTCTTGCTGAGCCATTCTGGATGTTTCTTTTTATGCTTTAATATTGAGTTCAATTTGAATGATTTGACCTGGGACTGCTGCTGATGTATCGAAGCGATTGTTGATGCCTGTTCAACATCGACGGTTTTACTTAGAGCCTTTATATCCATCGAGCCCGAAGCACAGGAGAGGTCCATCCTCATATCATGAAAGGGCGTGATGTAGAATCACTCAAATTTGATAGCTGATTTCTCACATGGCTTATGGTACCAGCAGCCTTACAGAGTCATGAAGTCGCTATGGCTTACGGCCTCGCGATCCTTCGCCTCGGCAGAGATGTGTACCGATTACGCTCCGGCGAATCCGCTGGACTACCGCAGGACCTTTAGGGCGATGTTGTTCACATCGGCCAATGAAATGAGTGACCGCGCTCGTTAAGAGATCAAGATATTGATGGACTAGCCTGAGCTCCAGTAATCAAGGACGCTTCTCAGTCTTGAGTCATTGACAGTGGATGACTCGAGTTACTCGGACTGAGGCTCCACGGACGTGGAGTTAGGCAACGCTACTAGGTTTGTTAGTTAGAGAGCTTTAGTTCGAGAGTTTATTTTTATTTAGCAACCCTAGCTGCCGAAACCAAAGATGTTTAAAAAGACTGCGGGGTTGAAATCAACACTGTGTGTCACTCGACGGCCAGCATCTCTCCATCTCAGCTTCATCTTCGTTAATCACTCCCGTAAATACACCATACCCTTCAACTAGCCAACGCATGCTGGCCATGCTGTCATCATATCCTTTCCCAGCCCATACATTTTCTTTTCTGCACATTATCTATGGCCAGAGTTGACGTGAGCCTGCGGTTGAGACAAGCAATCCTCCTGGACGATCTCCCACTGGTGCAACGGTTACTGAGAGCACATCCCTCATACCTCCACAATCCGGACTTCGCCGATAAGAGCAATACTTCATTACACTTGGCGGCACAGTATGGGGTGCTGGAAATTGCAGTAGGTGGTTTGCCGAACAGACTGGACACGCAGAATTAATTTCCAGGGCAGGAATACTTGATATCCATCGGCCATGACAGCAAACCAGAGGTGACAGACTGGATCTACAGCAATAATGGCATGAATCAAGGTGTCTCGGTCAACACCGAGGGTCAATGTCCGCTACACCTGGCTGCAGCTGCTTCCAAACCGGAGGTGGCCCAGCTCCTCTGTAAAAGATTCCCCGAGACGGTCATACGGCGAGATTACCGTGGACAAACTCCTTTACATCTTGCATCGGCATCACAGATTATGCCGACGGTGAATTATCTGTTCAAAACAGGCCCCAGACCATCATCACGATCTCCCGAAGAGGTGACCTGCATAGAAACTCTGATAGCCCACGGGGCCGACGTCCAAGCACAAGATGACCAAGGAAACACGTGTCTACACAATGCCAGTGCATGGGGCAATCTGAAAGCAGTCCGGGCATTGATCCAGGCTGGAGCAGACCCCCTGTGCAAGAACAAGGCTGGATGGACACCGGAATACTACAGCATCACGGTTCAAGCGGAAGTCTACTATCGGAACCTCGTGGCAGAGTGGGAGAAGAGGAAAGCCGAGGAAGGGATCCGAGCAAATGAAAGACGAGCCAAAGGCGGTGGCGGCGTCCGTCTGGTACCGCAAGACAACGACAGCGACGATGATGCATCGTTGCAGAGCAGGAGCCGTGCAAGCAGCGCGAAAAGCCAACAGACGATGGGGAGTGCCAGTGACGGGGGATTGGGTATCAGTGTTGGCCACATCGACACTTGGAAGTAGACTCCAATGCATTCCTGGACAGATACGTATCCTGCACGCGAAGTCAAAATGTCACCGGGATGGAATAGATACTCAACCCGATCGAAAAATAATGACTAGTGAGCGAGAATCCCTCATATTCTTGGTCAGACAAAATTGATGCCGAAATTCCAATTCCTTGACACCCTAACCACCTCCTCTTTTAGTCACCCAGGAAGCTCATCGTTGATTCATCCATGCAGGTATACTATATTCCCGATCATATATCCATGGACGGCGATGTGATAATCCTGTATGTGGATTGCCATGTTCTGATTTTCCAGTTGTGGATTACTGGGGATAGTAACCACTTCGTGTTGAGCAATACACGCATTCCCACCCATAGTCGCTATGGCACGTTCCCAGCTCCGTGGCATGTTTCAAAGGATCTCCCAGCCGTTGTACATACGATGCTTGACCCATATCTCAATTTCAGGTGATCCCGGCAATTTCACTTTCTCTCTCGAGGGTTCATGTGAAACCCATCCACCTCAAGCTCATCCACAGCCCATCTGATAACCTCGGTGTTTGTTCTCCCGAGGGCTAGTAAACATCCCAGGAATACGCCCGAGGCATCCAGAAGCCTTCGCATTCCCACCTAGCTGGGGTTGTTTCTACTTTACTCGGTACTTCGTACTCGGTGTTGTTTTTAGGAACGGTGACTCAAGGGAACACAATTGGCTGACAACTGTCAACAAAGTTCCTTTTAGTCGCCCTTTTCCCCTAGCGTCCCCGAGTCACTGCAATAGATTTCCTCCGTGTTAGAGAACCAACGATGGCACCAACGATGTCAATATTGCATTGGTCAAAAAGGAATGCACAAGTATATTTCTGGCCGTGAGGCCCCGAACCGTGTTCTTTGGGCATTCAGCGATGACTCTCACGACAAACGGGTTCAGCCGTGGTATCAATGGGCACGCCTCAATCAATGGGCACGCCTCAATCAATGGAGTTCCAACCTACGATTTCAATCACCCGCTTCTGGGCCCTTTGACAGGCATCCGCAGGAATGGCGATGTCGTACAATTTCGAAGCATTCCATACGGCCAAGTGCCTAGAAGGTTTGCTCATGCGCGATGGATTGACAAGCTATCGCCGAAACAGCGATACTGTGTCGATTACTCCTATGCCTGCCCTCAACGAGGGCAGAGTATGGATGCGTTTGGTGGACCGATCCACGGGGAAGAGCCACGACGTTACGATGAATTTGCCTGTCTGAACCTCACCGTTACCGCTCCAGCCATGTTGCTGGATCCCGATTGTGAGACGAAAGTTGGAGTCATGGTCTATGTGCATGGCGGCGGGTTCGCCGAGGGTGCACACCATGGTGGACCTCATGGTTGGTAGTGATGCCTCAATCCGGTATCTACTAACAACTTGGCAGACATGACACGAATGGTGACCATGTCCTGTCTGCAAGGGAGGCCGGTTGTGATTGTTAGCATCAAGTAAATGAAGGCGTCCATTCCAAGATATCGTTGCTAATGTGAGAAAGTTATCGACTGCATTATCTGGGCCTGCTGGCATGCCAAGTAAGCAAATCGACGATACCTTGATCATCATATCTGATAAAGTTGCAGGATCTGGTGGATGAAGCGATACTCATCGATGAGCCGCCATGCAATTTCGCTCTGTTTGATCAAAGGCTTGCATTCCTATGGGTACAGAAGTACATATCCGGCTTTGGTGGCAACGAGAGACAAATAACGGCGTTTGGTGAAAGTGCCGGCTGTGCCTCGCTGTGCTTCCATCTGTCTTCTACCATCCCACTTTTCAATCGAGTCATCTTGCAGTCCGGGAGCGCAGCGACAATCAGCGCAACCTCTTGTACCTCCAAAAACGCGGAATTCCTAGCACTCCTCGAATTCTGCGGCATCGACAAGTCAGATGCGCAACGATTGGAAAAGCTGCGCAACGTGCCTGTGGAGAAGCTGGTGGAGGCTGCACACACGCTCACAAACTCTGCCTTTTCGCCGCTAGCCCATGAGAGCTTCTTCCCAACAACGCCAACCTACAGCAACCACCACCGCATCGTAGCCGAGTGTCCCTGGATCGAGGAGGTGATTCTCGGAGACGCAGTCTACGAAGTAAGTCAGTGTCGATAGATTATGGCACCTCGAGTAGCCGTCCATCCAAGCTAAGCAATGTCCACAGGGCTATCTGTTCTCCTCGGCCCTCCAGAGCATCCAGTACGAAGATTTCCGTACTCATGTACACAACACTCTCGGCGAGGAGCGTGGAGACGAACTCCTCCAAGTCTACGAAATACACACCGACATCGACGCCAATCTATTCTGGACGCGCCTCTGCGTCTTCACCGGCGATATCATGTTCTCTCGTACGCTTTTCCCTCCTTTCTCACTCCCTCCCACAGCACAACCCATGCCCCGTTTTTCCATAAAAGACCACACTAACACCTATCCTTATTTCCCCGCTGTATAGTTCCAGTCCACCACCTCGCACAGTCGCTCTCCAAATCCGGCAAACCCACATACCGGTACAGCCTCTCGCTACGCAACCCGTTCCCGGGCTCGCCGTACTCATTCGTGCTGGGCCACCACTTCATCGAGCTGGCATACCAGTTCATGACGCTGCTGGACCGCTTCCCCTCGCCGGTGCAACGCGACGTCAGCGTCGGGTTCGCCACGCGCTGGCTTGCGTTCGCGAATGGCGATGCGCCTTGGAGTTTGTATGTGTGTGGTCCCGGTGGAGAAGTGGGTGCGGACGAGGTTCTGGCCGTTGCGGATGAGCGTGAGGGCTGGGTTGTGAGGTCCAGGTTGGAAGATTTGACAAAGACAAGGGGTGGAGATGGTGGCGTGAGGAGGTATTTGCAGTGGGAGGTCATGTCGGGTATTCTCGAGAGCTTGGGAGATGGGGCTGATGCGGCGGTTGCGGCATTGGCGTTCCCGTCTTTGATGGGCCTAGTGAGGACTTGAGGTGCTGATGCTAGTTTTTGTTAGTTTGCAGAGAGGCATGGTGATTGGGTGTCGTGACGTATCTTTCATTGTTACAATTATACGTCTTAGACATACATTCTGATCACCTTTCTTGGATACCCTCTACTGTGTAAACAAGATGTGGAAATTTAACTGTAATCTACGGTGAACAGCGTCACATCAGGAATCAATCACTCAATCATCTGAACGTCATATTGTCTGAAACTCTGTTATGCTTTACCAGTATCACCATCGACCGGTCTCAAGTCTTCATCTCTAGGCTTCGTCATCATCGTGCGGGACAAACGGCGGATAGATCGGTAGAGGAGGCCACTCTGGGTTTGCATAGGAGACATCAAATTCATGGTTACCAGCGCCCACCAAGATAGGCTCTTCGCCTGGCAACGTGATCTCAGCCGATGTGTTTCCCGGCACTCGAGCTTGTAGGAACATGCGGCCATTCCGCAACTCCCAGGCGACCGACACCTCGCCATACGGACCACGGAAGCTCGCGCGGCACGAAGTCAATGTTGCACCGGGAACCGGTGCAATGCGTACCTTTTTCCAACCCGGTTCAAGCGGCGCAATGCCCGCGATGGTGGCGTGCATCCAATTTGCCACAGCGCCGAGTGCATAGTGGTTAAAGCTCGTCATACTAGACGCGTTCAATGACCCATCGGGCAGCATGCTGTCCCAACGCTCCCAGATGGTTGTGGCACCCATGGTGATCGGATACAGCCAGGATGGGGGTTTGCGGTGGAATAGCATGCGATAGAACAGTTGGGTCTGGCCGATCTTATTGAGCGCATGTCCGAGGATAGGCGTTCCGGCGAAGCCAGTGGCGATTTTAAAGCGGGAGTTGCGTTTGATAAGATGGACAAGACGCGCAGCTGCAGTGTCGAGTTGGTGGGCTGATGGGAAAAGGGAGAATTGAATGGCTAGTGCAAGCGCTGTTTGAGTATCGGACACTACTCTGCCTTCTTGGGTGATATACTTTTTCGAGAACTGTGTTCGCAAATCTTGCGCCTGCTTGGCGTAGAAGCTGCCTTGATTGGCTTCGCTTATGACCAGAGAGATCCTGGACATGAGGTCCGTCATTCGGATGAGAAATGCGTCAGACACCAGGACCTCGTCGGTTGGTCCATTGCCTGGGTCATCGGCAGGTGCAGTGGGCTCGAGCCAATCGCCCAGCTGAGAATGATCAGGGTCCCACAGGCCACTTTCGTGTCGTTTTACACCTCTTGTCATCCAGTCGACCATGTGTGGATAGAGGCCTTGGAGCAATGTTGTGTCGCCGGATGCTTGATAGAGGTCCCAGGGCACGTTGATGATTGAATCACCCCAGATGGCGGCTGGTATATTTGCCGACCCCTTCCATACGTTTGGTGAGAATAATGGAGGAACTCCGGCAGGATCGTCATGCTGCTCATGGGCAAGGCCGCGGAGCCATGTCTTGAGAATGCCGTTGGTGTTGTAGAGGAAGCTTGCAGTTGGTGCAAAGGCTTGAACATCACCAGTCCACCCAAGGCGCTCATCTCTCTGCGGACAATCGGTAGGCACGGATAGAAAGTTGCCTTTCATTGACCACAAAACATTCTCGTGGAGCTTATTGAGCATCGGATCTGAGCATTCGAAAAATCCCGTTCGCGCCATATCTGTATGAATGATAACGGCAGTGAAGTTACTGATGTCCACCTCGTCGTAAGTGTAACCATCAACCTGGACGTAACGAAAGCCGTGAAAGGTGAAACGCGGCTCATAGGTGAGAGGAGTTCCCGCTAAGAGAATTGTATCTGTACATTTCGCCTCACGAAGAGGTGCAGTAGCACATTCGCCGTTTTCGAGGACCTCTGTATGGACGAGCTTGACTTCACGACCTGCAGGCCCGTCGAGTTTGCACTCTACCCATCCAACCAGATTTTGGCCAAAATCGAGGATACATTTCCTGCTAGGGGATTTGATCTTTCTTTGAGGTGAGATTGTCTGAATCCTGCGCACAGGAGGAGCATCTTGTGCCTTGAGAATGGACAGATTCATGTCACCCTGTACGACTGGCTTCCATGTCTTGTCTGAAAAGGATGGCGCGTTCCAGCCAGTAACATCCTCGGCAGCGTTGAAGCTCTCACCATTGTAGATTTCGGCCTGGAGCAGCGGACCATGGCCGAACTGCCAATGGTGATCAGTGCCGACCAAAACAGCAGTATGTCCATCGTCGTAAGTGACACAGATTTCGGCAAAGATACCGAGTTTCGAACCCCAGATATCGCGTTGACCTCCCATGAATCCCAGTCGACCACAGAACCATCCCTCGGCCACCTCCACGCCTATAGTGTTGGATCCAGGTTGCAAGAGTTCAAGAACATCAAAGGTTTGATATGGCAGCTCGTAGTCGTAGGAGGTCCAGCCTGGGGCGAGAACATGATCGCCAACTTTTGCTCCATTAATGGACGCCTCATAGACACCATGGGCAGTTATGTACAATCTGGCTTTGCGGACGGGGCCTTGAATGTGAAAGTCGCGTCTGAAACGAACAGGTCTCAATGGCTCTCCTTCCTTCGTTGTTGCAGTAGCTTGTATCAATGAACATTTCCAGTCTGCTGGGTCTAGCAGGCCAGTCTCGATCTGGACGGGTTCAGACCACGCCGTCCATATTGACTGATGTGACAATGCCCGTACACTTAGAATTGCCGACTCCTGTGACTGAAGCGGTCTCGTTGGCCACTCAACGTACAGGCTCTGAGCAGTGTCCGCTGCAAAAATCTCAACATCGTTGTTTACGTCTCGCTGAATTGAAATTTCGTACCCCTGTTGAACCCAATCTTCGTCCACCCTTTCGAAAGACCACGAGATGCGTGGCCTTCGCTCACCAATTCCCAGTGGCACGCGATAGTGTTCAATTCGCAAATCACAGATCTTCATCATTGTTTCAATTTGTGACAGTCATCTCACATTGCTATGATCGACGTCTATTGACGCGAGCACTCGAAATTGTAGAGTTCCCCAGGAGGTAGAAGTTCTGTCCATCGCCCGACGCGTCTTGGCTGTAAAGCACCGAACAGGTACATCTCACAGAGATTTTCGGGCACAGATCATCCGAATCTCGGTCAAGTTGTGGTAGTCGTAGCTTTCCATCTCTGCGATGGAAGCCCCATGAGCTGCAGCGAGATCCATGTTTGGATTCCGAGGGAGACGGATTGTCATGTCGGGGGAAACCCCCGATATTCTGACTTTACCACTAGCAACCCCGCTTATTTAGCAGAAAGGTCGCGTCCTTCCACTGGGAAGACGGCTTGATCCCTGCCTGAAGCCTCAACTTTGATGGCTGCTTCTTGGCGAGCTTCTACTACAGGATTCATGTTCCCCATACTTTCCCTCGGGTCAATGACTCCCATCGGACAACTTCGAACACTTCGTGAAATTGCGTAGCTGGATGCTAACGCTCCGGCACCTTGTTGTCAGTGCGGTTGAATAGTAAAGCCGCCGAGCATACGGTTTCCTCACATTCCCAAGAGCAAGTATCCACATTGATCAGAGGGACCGGACATGTGGTAGTTCTTTCTTGCATGCCGAAGACGTCTTAGGAGGCGTGGGACGGTGCCAGACGCCTTGCACCATCTCGCACGCAACACCGATATTCGATATTCGCGTCTGGCCACATGGCACATCGTTCAGATTCTATGCCCTCCTGGTGGAACCCTTCTGTGGAGGACACACTCATGTGGCCAAGCCTTCGCCCTTACAACCTATCACAAGTTCCCCTCATCTCGCTGCTCGATGTGCCATTCGAGGCTGAGGCTTCAGCACTGCATGACAACCATGCCTGTAGTTCACTTCACCTCTCGCCGCACGTTCGTGAAGCATACATGGCTTCATCCCAGGGAGGTCTCGACGACCCGACTGAGATGAAGCAGCTTGTGGATTGGTTTATGAAGAGCATACATACCAAGCAGCCCGTGATCGATCCCGATGTTCTTTACAAACAGATTGCGGTGGTCCAAGAGAATGGCCTCTCTTGGGATGGACCTACATGTCTCTTGGTGCGCTTCCTTGCTGCCCTGGACGACGTCAATGTTAACGAAATTCTTAGCTAATCGCTTGTGCACTTGGAGCTATCTGCACACCATATTCTCATAGTACACTGGAAGACTACTCTAGCCCGTCGATTGATTCTCACCGGTATCTGCGCAGCCGTGAATACTTCGACGCTGGCCGCAGAAGACTTGGGCTTACAATGGAGCACGCCAGTATTACCGGCGTGCAATGTTTCTTCTTCGCGGCTGGCTACTACATCACCACATTCAACCCTTTCGCTGCATGGAGGACCATGAATGCAGCGAGCGTGATGTGTAAGAACGTAATGATGATCTCCCATGAGGACAGTGGCGGTGGAAGCGAATTTGAGAGCAGTGACTCGAATGAAGCTCGCGACAATTCACGCAGGAAGCTTTTCTGGAGTTGTCTCAAGACTGAGAGGTACAACTCCCTTCGATATGGATCAGTTGATGCTGACACATCTTAGAGAGATGGCCACCGAGCTGGGATTTGACATTGCCAACCTACATTTGATCGAATACAAGACTCCCACTACGATGCTGCACGACCCGAATTTGCAAGTTCCGCATATCAATGTGGACATGCCTTCACCACAGCCTTTCACGCCCAATCCCACTGCTCTAGGGAGATTGAGAATCGAGGAGCAAGAGCAGAGTTGGTTTTACTATTTGACCGACATTTCGCTCCGGAAGCTGGAGATACAGATCGACTCTTTCTTTCGATCAAAACAACAACAACCCTCGCCCATGTCTGAAGCCTACGAGGTATTTTACAGGGATATCCTAGTCACGCTCGCGGATTCCGACCAACAGATAGTAGACCACTTCAAACGTCTGCCAGCCCCAATCAGTGTTGAGACCGACGACTCGGGTCATTCGCCCGATGATTTGCGCGAGTACTTGCGACTGCGAATGATTCGCATTCGCCACGACTTGAGCAGGCCGGCGCTGTACCTAATCCTACACGGCGTCTTTGATGACATCTCCGCTCACATGCGGGCACAGGCAGTCCAAATCGCAAATCGAGCGCTGGCCATCGACGAGTATCTCGTCACGCATGGTCTGACTACCCATCGCCATCCCGGAACATGGTTGGGCGTCCGTTACTGCACAAGAGCAGCGTTGGAGCTCTTTGCGGCGGCCAAAGCTGGGTCTCCTGACATTATTCTTCCTCGCAATTGGAGAGCTGGGATGGAGAGGTTCAAGGTCGCGTTGAGATACTGGAGTGCTGAGAGCAGGGATGCCTTGCTCTACCTTGGTTGGATTGAACGTCTGGAATCGTGAGCTTGAGTCTAGCAGTGGCTGCTCGATGTCTTGTATCCCGCAGACGTGGCTTTTTGCTCACATGGGTACGCACCCAATGTGGATGGGTCGCACAGTACAGACCATGATCGAAATTACGGAGTGCTCAAACGCTGGAGTTGCTTCCCACAATGCCATAATCCAGACCCCTCGTCATGTGCCAGAAGTAGTCTCGTCTGTGACTCCACCAACTGACGCCAATCCCCGGGCAGTGCCAGTGCGTAACAGTGGCTATATTGGAGGTCCCCTCGCAAAGCTCTGGAATTAGCATGGAATGTGGCTATCAGGAGAAGACAGCCAGCATACGATAGGCGATGTCGGTACCAGGACTGAAGATGGCAGCATCCTATGTTTGAATTGCATTCGGAAGGTGGAGCATGGTCCGCCTGATACTCCCGGTCCTGGGAATCTGCGAGGTGTGTCCTCAACATTTGGACGATGAGCGAAATGCACTCTTTGGAGAGTGTCAAAATCTCGTCGAGGATATTCTCGAAGGAGTGCAGTGGTCGGTGGTCGACATTAGTCCAACTGGTCATAAGATTTGGAGAGAGGCTTAAAAACAGAATCATACGGAGAAGAACTGCAAGGGTTGCTTCGCATGCTCCAGCAATCGCGGTACTCCCGGTACTCCTTTGCTCCCACGGCGAGTGACCTCCATGGCTAGTCCCAGTTGGCGGTCTATTGATCAGGCGCGATTTTAGGTTGGTGATTCCACCCATGATCACAAAGACGCCTCGCAGCGAGGTGCATGATTCGAGCGACCTTTGCAGATTGCAGATTTCGTTCCAGCTTACAAGTTCTTGTCTCAACGATCGGCTGACTTGGTGTTCTTTGTCCGCCATGGGATTTGCTGTTGTTATCATTTGATCGATTAATTGCGAGGTCGTCATGCTCCTCATCGGCGAGCTCTGCTTGAACACTGCTTCGCTTGCAATGATGCTCGAGCCACTCCAGGAGGGTAACGCTAGCTCAAGACTGAGTCGACTATGAGTGGTCAGCAACCGGCGCTATTTAGGAGGCCAAAATTTCCTCACCGATGTTGATTCAGACTTAGAAGATGAAGGAAGATCGCCAGAGATCTCTCGTCCTCCGACGTATGGAGAGATCGCCACTGTGTCTGTGCACTATCCGCCGCCTGTTGGAACATATTCCGTGCCTTTAAGGGAGCATTACTCTGGAGATGCCAGAATCCCGCTAGGCATAGACACTGTGGACCTATCAACCCGCCACGATTATCGAGGGCCCAACCTATACGCCGCTTGGCCATAGTCCAGTACTGGTATGCGGACTGGCTCGCTTTTGATCGCGAAACGATGCCAGAGCTAAAACTTGATCTGCCTTGCGACATAGTGGACCAAGGACTGCCGTCGGTCATTTGTACTGTATCTGCCATTGTCCCACAGCTGCATAGCGAAGCCAGGGCACACACTAGAAAGACAAGACATGATTCGGCATTCCAGTCGCCACCGCTCTCCGCGACGCTGCGGATCCAGCGGTTCAAATGAGCAGGCCGGACAATGGGATAGTGCAACAGGAATTTCTGTTCGAATTGCTGCTTCAGCTTTTGAAGACAGGCTAGCGACGTGTCGGCGCTCGCTTTTTGGGTCGCCGATCGTTCAGGTTCGTACATACCCCAGAAGCCGCCGCTGGGAGGCTCATAGTGGTTGAATGGCTCGCCCTGAAAGATCTCCCAACGCAGAATGTCCTCTGCATTTGCAATATTAGACGGAGTGTTGTCAGTACCTGCACTCACGGCCGGATGGGAATGTGAATGGGCGACATTCAATTGCTCAGATGAATTGTCGAAGACAGGAGCCCCATCAGGCGAGATTGGGGAGTATATTGGCGCTGTGCCAGCAGCTACGGCCGGTTTATAAGTTGTCGCACACAAGATTTCATCCTTGGCATGGGATATCGCATCGAGAATCTGGCTTCCCCAGTGGTCAAGACTGATTGAGCAAGTGGTGTCAGCGATCTAGCGAGCATCGTATAATGCAATCAGAACAAGCATCAGTAAAGTAAACTAAATTGACTTGATGCATAATCGTCATGATCATCTCCCACTCGTCAAAGAGCCTCCCCCTAGATAGAGGTGACACTCACGGACTGGTTTGACTACCCACACCCCGGACACAGAACAAATTCCGCTGTTGGCACCACGAGCATATCGGAAACCCCACACAACGCGTCTTGCGATCTCGACATGCTTCACACGCCAAGGTCGATCGCGTTGGCGGGATACTGACATCGCCCCCATCGAGCTCCTGCGGTGTCGTCTGTGGGACGTTGCTGTTGTCGGACGTAGTAGTGTTCTTCTGCGACCTGGAGCGTTTCCTGGAAATCTGCGGTCCACCTCCAGCGCCTGCTGCCGGCATAGTCGGTCGGTCCGAGTTGCAGCGAGCCGAGTACAGTCTAGGGTTCCCCAGGTGAGGTGAAGCAAGCTCGATCGATCAACACTGACTGCATTTGATTGTGGTTGATTACGAATCCAGTTTGGTCGTAAAGTTCATCTTTACTGGTGAAGGCAGGCTGCCTTTGGAATGGATGTGGTTGAGCATGCTTTCAATTCTGGTCCATCGGGGGACAGCCCCGATATATACATGCGAAGGAGCCTACCAATGCGCACTACTCGGTAGTGATCCCTGCATTCACATGCGGGGGATGGGGGAGCAACCTTCCTGGGGTTTTGATTGGGATGGGACTGCTGGAAGCTCCTAGCTCCTAGCTCCTGAGTTTTAAGTCTCCGCTACGACCTCCACTGCCAAACTAGGAAGGCTGAAGGCCTGGTTACCTACCTAGCAAAGTGCCGAGCAAAGTCTGTTCCAAGCTCAGCTCGTCATGGAGGACAAGTCCCTCGATCCTCGCTAAGGACTTGTCATTTTAAGTTGATACTGTCGGGAACAATGCTAGTCAGTAGGGTTTCGGGTCATGAACTACACATCGGCTTATCATTGCGCGAGGGTCAAGTTAATCATTACGATCGACGTGCTGCAATCGAAATGTGTTTGAAAGCTACAGTATAATAATGGCCGCTGCCCACTGTCACTCCATCTGTGCCTTTTCTGCTATCACACGGGACAACTACAATCGTCCTTTTGACGGCAATATCTCCTGAAGAGGCACTGAGCCATCGCACCCTCACTCCCTTCAAATATGATGGGGCAAGACAACAAGATCACCGTGGACATGATGGAGAAGACCAATGTCGAGGGCGTCGATGTCCCTGGCTCAACCGATATCACCTTTCGACAGGCACTAAAGGCAAACCCAAAAGTCATGATCAATTGCATACTAATGACCTTGGGTCCCATGGCTTTCGGATTTGATATAATCATCGTTGGTGTGGTTACAGCCATTCCTGCCTTTCTGTATGGCCCCTGTCTCCTCAAGTCCCGTACTTTTTGTGCTTGTCAACTCACATTGTATGCAGCCAAACCTACGGTGAGTTCGACGGCAAGCAATATATTCTGCCTTCTCTCTGGCTCTCCCTCTGGAATGCATTCATGCAGATCGGCTTCATGATCGGCTCTGTGCTGAACGGCTGGCTTTCCGATCGCTTTGGTCGTAAAGTCTCCATGATGGCTGGTGCTGCCATTACGTCGCTGGGAGTCGCTGTCATCTTCACCTCAGACCTCAGTGGAAGCGTAGAGCACCGCCGCGGAGCCTTCCTGGCAGGAAAGATTGTTCTGGGCATCGGTCTCAGCATGATGGCAACCACTTCCTTGATTTATAACTCGGAGATCATCCACCCAAAGCTCCGAGGCGTTGTCTTGTCGCTATTCCAGTTCTTTTTGGTCTTCGGTCAAATGATCGCCGCGTTCGTGGCTGGCAGCCAGATCACCATCGGCTTCCAATTGGTGTCCTACCGCACTTGTTTCGCCACCCAGTGGGCAATGGCTGGTGCCGCCTTGGTGGCTGCACTTGTCGTCCCTGAAAGTCCTGTTTATTTGCTCAAACGTGGAAAGGTTGAAGCCGCCCGAAAGTCTTTGACAAGGCTCCACGATCCGACGATGGCCGAGTCGTCGCTCATCTCCATACAAGAAACTCTGGACCACGAGAAAGCGGAGCAGCAACTGTCAAGTGATGCCACATACCTAGAGTGCTTCAAGGGCCACAATTGGCGCCGGACACGCATCATTCTGTATGCCAGTATTGTACAGCAATTCCACGGCATCTCGTTTGTGGCCAACGGAACATACTTTATGATTGTTGCTGGACTGTCTCCGGTCAACGCGATCAAAGTCCTTGAGGTGGCGTGCGCCTTGGCCCTGGTTGGGATCATGGTTTCCTGGTTCTTGTCACATCTCGCGGGACGGAGGCCAACACTTATCGGCTGCACGGCGTTCCTATGCCCGGTATGGATCAGCATTGGTATTGCCGGCTGCTATCCTACCAGCAAGGCTGCATTGTGGTACATGGGCATCATGATTAATCTGATCCTTTTCTTTTTCAACGTTGGCGCTGGCCCAGTCATCCCCATCATCGTCGCCGAGACCTCCTCGGTCCGCCTCCGAGCAAAAGCCAACGGTATCGGCTTCCTGTGCAACGGCTTTGCTTCATGGGCCTTCAACTTCTTCGTCCCATACCTTTTCAACGTTGATGAACTCAACTGGGGAGGCAAAACGGGCTTCTTTTTTGCAGGCCTCACTGCTATCGCTGGCGTGGTGCTCTGGCTGGAGCTGCCTGAGATGAAAAATCGAACCTACCGGCAGTTGGATGAGATGTTTGAGAATCGTGTCCGCACAAGAGATTTTCGGAAATACGCCTGTACTACATAAGCTGGTTCCATGGTTCGGAGACTGAGGACTTCAAATCATGTGGTGTAACGGCTCAGATGGTGATGGCTTGACCTTGCTAAAGACCAGTTGGCCGGACTCTTTGATAGTCTTTGTGCGGGGCTGGATTTCGTAGCGGTGGGATTGAAGCTAGAATCCCTCAGAACCTGGTAATAAAATCTCTAATAAAATCTCCATCCCTTCCCACCTACCTAGGTTGTACTCTCATGCAGTGTGGCTACCTCATCGTGAACAGCAGGAAACGGAGGGACTAAGTGCTGCTTTTATCTCAAACACCATCCCAGATGCTGGGCATCCCGTGACTTTAAGGCGGCGCAATGGTATTCTGAAGACGGAGTAGCACATGCTGAACTCCCGAGTCATTCAAGATTCCACCTCCATTCTGTCACATCCACCCACTCTGGACGAGGGGTACACCGAAGCCTCAGGCGCAGGCTGCGAGTGTCAATCAGCCACCCTCATTACACCTCGCATATAAGGATCCTTACCGCCAACCTCCTCATCCCGTCACTCACTTACTCTCTGCCTGCTGTATTGCTTTCTTCATTCATGTCTCTGTAGGTCTTGTGCTCTCGTTCTGAGAACTGCTTCAGATCAACTCTATCCTGATCACTCTAAGCGCACCTCATCCTTATCACGGCACTTTGACTCTTGTGTCTGCTCTGACCCAGTCCTCAGATCGAGGAGAGCCGTTGGTTGCACCGCTGTAACCAATGGCGAGTCCTGCCCACTGCTACTTCTGCTTTGAAGTGCTCTCAGCCAGCTTTGATCATCGTGATCCACCGGTCCTACAGAAGGTCCTTGATGTCTATGACAAATATATACAACGTGACAACCCCTCCAAAGATAGGACATCGGAGGCAACAGTTGAGGGCAAGGCTTCACTAGACCCACTTGACGGCGAGTCAGATGAGGAAGGAGATGAAGATGAAGACGATGAAGCACGAGGACAAGAAGAGGAACAACGCATTCAACGCAGAAATGCGCCAGCTACCGGACCTCAGAATCCCAGTATCTCTCGACTGCAGGCCTCGACCTCATCTTCCAGATCCTCTTCGGCCTCATCACCTTCCCTCAACTCGTCAAATTCCTCCAGTTCACAAGCGACGGCAAGATCCAGTACCACATCCATACTGTCGGCCCAACCATCTTACGCCTCACGCTTGTCCGTGACTGACACATTCCCGCTCTTCATCACATGGAATACTCTCTCTCGCTCTGGTCATAAGTCACTCCGTGGTTGTATAGGGACTTTCGAAGCCCTTCCACTGGCTTCCGGCCTTTCTTCCTACGCCCTGACATCTGCATTTGATGATACACGATTTTCGCCAATACCAGCCTCCTTATTGCCAGCCTTGTCATGCTCTCTAACTTTGCTTGCAGAATTTGAACCTTGTCGGGATGCCATGGATTGGACCTTGGGCACGCACGGATTACGAATCAGTTTTACACATCGCAGTCGAAGGCACGGTGCAACATATCTTCCCGACGTGGCGGTAGAACAAGGATGGAGCAAGGAGGAAACAGTGGAAAGTTTGATGAAGAAGGCAGGATGGGACGGTGGGTATGGGCATGGGGTGGCACGTCGGCTTCTACGAGGGTCTAGCAGAGGCGAGCACCAACCGACTAAGCAGCCATGGGAGGAAGTTAGTGACTTCAGAGTGGTGAGATATACTGGACTAAAATCGAGTGCAAATTATCAAGAGTGGCAGGAATGGCGCAAATGGATGGACGAGGCAGGCGAAACTCTGACATGAATATTCATTGACAGAGCAGCACGAGAAGTGATAGACGTTGGAGCTCAGCGGACAGGCAACAAGCGGCCGGTCTTTATCAGAGGCACGATTCTCGACACAGATTACGTCGAGCTGTGCAGGATGGACTACGGATACATTGACTCGCGAGTCATGGGACCAGAACCCGGAAAAGCCCGGATGAGCCATCAGATGGCACCTAGGCCAGTCTATAAGCTGAGCAGGGCGAAAGAGACCACAATTACTCATCGACAGCATTCAACCATGCCTCGGGTGAGATGTGTTTGGAATAGTGGCTCTGGACGTATTCGGGTTGAAGGAGAGGAATGTGAACCTGGTTAGAAGATAGACATGATAATGACGACATTTGGGACGACACGACCAGGCAGGGTCGGGCAAGAGCACGCCGTCTACATAGAAACGGTTGAAATATGGATTTTCCTTAGCATGTGTTGATCCCTCAAGTCCTGGAAATAAAAAGCTAGATATCGTACATAGAAATGGTGATTATGTGGAAATGCATAGGAGGATTGATGGGAAAGAGACAAGTTGGAGCGTATCGTCCACACCGTGATCCTTGTCCACCCGTTTCCTGAGCTAAGGAACGCTAACAAGCTGACTAACCGATAACAACAGCTATGAGTGGTGCTTAGCCACTATCAACCTGGTCTCAGCCAATAGTGCAAAGTCACCATCGGAGTTGTCAAAAAATTATGGATGGACTTGAACTCATCGATATATCGAGCTTCCCATCGCTGTCCCGTCTTCCACTTCTACACCTACACCAACACCAACACTCATTTTGCACCGTTGAATGCAGCTGAGGCCCTGCTTGTATTACTATTGCTCACCCCTTTACTTCATGGCCATCTAATTTCTTCTCGTTTTAACCCTCGCAGACTTCACAATGCGCCCGCGTCCGCGCCTTTCCTCCACAACAGCTGCGACCGCAAGTACCACCATACCTGCCATTTGTCCCTGGTGCATATCACGAACTCAATATCCTCGATTAGCGTTATCTAGGAGACAATTTTCTTCGAAAGGAAAAGATCCGTCAGCATGGGCGGCTGCTGTCTCGAAGATCCAGAACACGGTCGCGGATATCCTGCCCACGAGGCCCTCCCCAACCAACATCACGATCGACCCATTGAGAATTGTCGGCAAGGAATTGAGCTTTCTCAGTAAGAACATTCGACAACTACTAGGCTCGGGTCATCCTGTGCTTGCTACGGTCGCCAAGTACTACACACAGAGTGAAGGGAAACATGTGCGACCTCTCCTTGTTCTTCTCATGTCTCAGGCCACAGCCTTTGCGGCAAAACAACCGCGGTATGATGCCCAACCGTTCTCGAGAAGCAGTATAGATGCTTCCATCTCCTCTCCCACCATTCTCGTCGATAAAAACCCCGACCAACCTGCGTCTCCTCTCACCGACCCAAATGATGCTCAATATGCTTTTCCAAATGACACAACCATTCTTCCAGCCCAAAGACGGCTAGCGGAGATCACAGAGCTCATTCATACCGCCTCTTTACTCCACGACGATGTGATAGATCACTCCGAGACCCGTCGTTCGGCTCCGTCGGCAAATACCACGTTCGGCAACAAGATGGCTGTTCTTGCTGGAGATTTCATGCTTGGCCGGGCATCAGTGGCCCTTGCACGGCTGAGAGACCCCGAAGTCATTGAATTATTGGCTACTGTTATTGCCAATCTGGTAGAAGGAGAATTCATGCAACTGAAGAACACCGCATCAGACGAAAAGAACCCGGCATGGAGTGAGCAGACCATCACATACTATCTTCAAAAGACATATCTCAAGTCGGCCAGCTTGATCAGCAAAAGCTGTCGCGCCGCAGCACTCTTAGGCGAATGCACACCCACAGTGGTGGAGGCTGCCTATCAATATGGGAAGAATCTGGGTCTCGCATTTCAACTAGTGGATGATATGCTAGATTATACGATCAGTGGGCAAGAATTGGGCAAGCCCGCTGGTGCAGATCTCGAGTTAGGCCTTGCGACCGCCCCTCTACTATTTGCTTGGAGAAATCACCCAGAATTAGGTCAATTAGTCGGCCGAAAGTTTTCTCAGGAAGGAGATGTGCAAAAGGTAAGTCCGGGTTGCCAAGGTCTGACTTTATGCTAATGCTTGGTTTGTAGGCTCGGGATATTGTAAACAATAGTGATGGCCTCGAGCAGACACGTGCTCTGGCGCAAGAATATGCCGATAAGGCAATTGCATCCCTCAGCATCCTGCCCTCTGGTGAGGCGAAAGACGGCTTAGAAGAAATGGCCGTCAAGGTGATGAAGCGTCGGAAATGAATAGACCGATTTCCACCATTTATTCCATGTACTCGATTAGTCCTGGAAATGTACATTGAGTTGATAGAACAGCCCGTGGGCACTACGATATTGTTGCCATCAGGAAATATGTATGTCCGACACGCAGCATTCGTTATGGCAGTGACCGCCGCGTTCCTCTGCCAGTGGCACGTGAAAATCATATGATAACTCAGCCTTGTCGAGCTAGCACAGCCTCGTGACTACGGTGGGCGAAAGAACCAAAACAGCAATCTATCCGAGGCCTCTTGTATTCGCCGCTCTACAATTGGATTGCCCCACGTCTTCCTCTAGTGGTGGTCTCAGGCTGCTCAGTTGTACTTGCTTGCTTGCTCCATCTCCATCTATCACACGGACTCCCGCACGGCGCTTAGGCTTCCAGGTTTCCCCAAATGTCTATACCCGTTTATTTATCCATGGATTGAATTGCATCCTTTGTTTCCATCTCTATCCCATTTCCACCTCCCCTTGTTGGCTATTCTTGGTCACACCTGCCAAGATGGTACAGGCTCCGATGATCAGCTGCCCTCTCAAGCAGACCTCCGAGATCGACTGGGCCACACCTTTAAAGAACTACATTCGAACAACCTATGGCGATGATCCCGAGAAGTATGCCGAAGAGGCTAATACCCTGCACCGGTTACGACAGGACATGAGGGGCGCAGGTGCCGATAGTGCAAGCGGTCGGGATCTGTTGTATAGATATTATGGCCAGCTTGAGTTACTGGATCTGCGATTCCCGGTGGATGAGAATCACATCAAGGTATGGAAGAGTTCGCATCTGTCAATACTTTGACAATTCCTGACCGGACCCTTCCAGATTTCTTTCACCTGGTACGACGCTTTTACCACCCAGCCGACGAGCCAGTACAGTCTTGCCTTCGAGAAAGCCTCAGTGATTTTCAACATCAGCGCTGTTCTATCGTGTCATGCCGCTGCTCAGAACAGATTCGAGGATAAAGACCTCAAGACTGCTTATCACTCCTTCCAAGCATCCGCCGGCATGTTCACCTACATTAACGAGAATTTCCTGCACGCACCTTCCACGGATCTAAGTAGGGAAAGTGTCAAGACCATGATCCACATCACACTGGCCCAGGCGCAAGAGATCTTCCTCGAGAAACAAATCCGAGATGCAAAAAAACCGGGTCTTCTTGCCAAATTGGCCGCCCAGGCCCATTTTCTGTTTGGCCAGGCCAAGGAAGATCTTGATACCGAACATGCTCGAGGTGTTTTTAACTCGGCGTGGTTGAAACTGGTTCAGATCAAAGCTCTACATCTGTCCTCTCTGGCTGAGTACTATCAAGCTCTGACAGATGAAGAACAGAACCAACAGGGTTCCGCGATCGCTCGGTTGCAACTAGCTGAGAAGTCGAGCAAACAGGCTCTGACTCTCGCAAAGGCATTTCCATCCAATCCAGCACCGAGCTCAACCCTCGGCCCAGAGACAGCTTCCACTATGCAAGATGTCACCAAAAGGCAGATGGAAACCGTACAAGAAAAACTTTCGTCCCTCGTCAAGGACAACGATTTCATTTACCACAAAACAGTCCCGGCTGAAGCTTCCTTGGCTCCCGTGAGTAAAGTAGCTGCGGCAAAAGCTATACCTTTGTCCGAATTATATCAAGGACAGGACATTCAAAGAATAATCGGACCCGACATCTTTCAAAAGATCGTACCCATCTCAGTCACCGAATCCGCTAGCATGTATGATGAAGAAAAGGCAAAATTGATACGATCTGAGGCGGAGAAAGTGGAACAAGCGAACGGTGAAATGGCTGCAAGTCTTGATTACCTGAAATTGCCCAATAGCTTGAACGTGCTCAAAGGTGGGATGGATCAAGAGATGAGCGTGGACAAGGAATTTGAAAGATGGTGCCAGGAGTTTGTCAACCATCAACCATTTCACAATTCATTCGAACAACTCCAACGGGATAAACAGAGTGTGGTGGATAGCCTAGCGAAGAGCACCAAACAACTCGACATGGAGGAAAGCGTTTGTGAAAAGATGAGATCAAAGTATGGACCAGAGTGGACACAGCAACCGAGTTCCAGATTGACATCAACATTACGAGCAGATATCAAAAGCTACCGAGATACGGTCGATGAGGCTGCGGCAAGTGACTCGCAGCTGTTTGCCACGGCACGACAGTATGAAACTGATTTCGACGAAATGAGAAATGCGGCAGAAAGTGGGGAAGTCGACGTGTTTTACCAGCAAGCCCTCATCAAGTATGGTTCCAGCTCTAAGAGCAAACCCAAAGCCGAGGAAGGCTCCCTTCTTGACGACGATTATAGCGAGGGCGGTCCATCTGTGGCTGACCAGATCGCCAAAGTTGAAGATCTTCTGAAACGACTAAATCTCGTCAAGAGAGAGCGGACACAAGTTTTGAAAGACCTCAAAGAGAAAGTTCATACAGACGATATCTCCAATGTGCTGATACTGAACAAGAAAGCAATCGCCAATCAAGAAAATCAATTATTCCAGGCGGAGTTGGAAAAATTTCGATCGCACCAGAACAGGTTGATCTCGACTGTGCACAAGCAATCTTCTTTATTGAAAGAGCTGACCAGGTCATATGGTGATTTATTGCAAGACAAACGTGTCCGGTCAGATCAGCAACGATATGACACGATTCAGAAGGGGCGCAATGGTGTCTTGAATAGATACAGGAGGGTTTATAATGCTCACGAAGATCTCACTCAAGGCCTCACTCGAGCTCAGGGGTTCTACACAGAGATGAAAGAAAGTGTGGACAGCTTGGAAAAGAATGTTGACTCTTTCGTGAGTAATCGAAGAGCAGAAGGTGCACAGCTTCTACATCAGATCGAACAAGCAAAAAGCACTGCAGCTGGAGGACAAGCTGCTGCAGAACAGAAACGGATGCAGGAGCTCATGAATCGGCTGTCCATGGAACCCAAATCAACATCCCCTTCACAGGGAGAGCCTCCAGCATTGCCACCCATGCCACAAATCATGACTTCCAGGTCTCCAGTACCACCTTCGCCATCATACCCAATCACCAATGCGGATCCTCGATTTACAATTCCACCTCGTCACTCACCTGCTCCTGTTGTGCCGAACGGGTATTCTGGACAGCTGCAAGCCCCTGCACAACCGAAAAATCCCTCTCCCGTCGACGCTCAACACCCATTCTCACAGGGAGCCGCAGCACCTCTTTCGACAAGCTACAATCCCATGGCATATCCCGAAAGATCAGTAATATCTCCAAGCCAACAGTCTAATGCACCGCCACCTCAACCACACTACGCTTTCTCTCCAGTAACATCACCTCCCCCAAACCCACAAACCAACTATTTCCCTCAGCAACCACCAACCCAACACCATCCACCGACCTCCCACACACCACTGAACTTTACCTCTCCATCCCATCAGTACTCGCACCCACAATACAACTTCCCGCAAACGGGCGCGCCAGGCCCCTATCAATCACCGTCTCCACACCCGCAAATGCCCGGCCAACCTCAAGGCCCATATCAGAACTATCCAGCACCATACAACATCCCACAAAACTACGTCCCCCCACCACCTCCGCCAGGACCTCCAGGCGGCGGCTCCGCGACACAGTACCCACCCAATCCAGCCGGCGTGTGGGCGAGCGGTCCAGGCGGATACGCTAATTACGCGCCGCCGAATCGCTATGGACAGCCGACGCCGCAGCAGGGTCAGCAGCAGCAGCCGCCTCCACCAGGCCATGGTCAACCGCCAAGCGGTGGGCAGGATGCGGCGGACCCCTGGGCGGGGTTGAGCGCGTGGAAATAGTCACGAATGTTGAGTGAGTTGAGCGGGTCAATTGCCTGTGTTTAGTTATGTAGTGCGCTATGAGCTATGAGCTATGAGTTACAAGCAAAACCAAGCAATGAATTTCACGTTGATCACCATTTCAAATTCAGGACTGGAGATTTTTCACGTTGGACTAACTGCATTATGCCCATGATTGGACCAAGTCGCAGTCGTTACGGGTAGTTACACGTCCATGCACGCAAGTGGTACCGGTACAGTTTTATCTTTCACCTTGGATTCGAACTGGCTCAGCTCTCACAGCTTCATAAGAGGAAAAGTCCAGCAGGCAGCCGTGTGGTAGCGTAGGGGGTAGTAGCTGTCTGGAAAGCAGCTGACGTTTGATTCAGGCAGTGTGAGCTGAGCTGAGCGCAGTGATGTAGTAGTGTTCTTCAGCGTCGTGTAGCGTATTTGAGAGAGTTCTGGAGATTGGATCTCGGTTTCATTGCTCGTCCGGGTGGGACAGAGATGTTCGCTTGTCGGGTGTGTGACGGTTTAAGTGTTCAAGTAGCACCAGGTATGGACTATCCGTATTGCGTGCTGATCTTGTCGAGGTTGATAGGCGAGATTGAAGTTCCACGACCTCGTACGTGCCGGAGGATGATTTTTGAGGATTGGACCATGGACCAGAGAAGGTTTGGAAGTCTGACGCAAGAGTTCGGTGGATGGGGTTGGTTGGTTCTTTATTTGACCTGGTAGGTACACTGCATGAAATGTTTCAGCCAAAATGATTCAAACCACATATCGCTAAGGGATCTAAGAGCAGTAGCAGCGCGTCGTGGATACTGGTTACGATTGATCTTTATCATTCATTTGATGGGTGATATCTTAGCTCTCATCTGATCCTTCCTTCGTAGATGATAAGGAGAAATGGTTGAGGTGTGTGAATGTTGACTACCTCGTACCTAGGTAGTATTGGGAAGGTTGACTTCCAGACGTCATGTCTAGTTTCAGTGCTGTAGCTCGATGTACAGCTTGCGCTAGTACCTCGAGGGCGGTAGCGTCTCGATGGCGGTGACTGCGGCCTCCCATGATATTGGTTCTGGCTTGTTCTGACTACACGGTACCCAATAGGGATTACTGTTGGAGACGAGGAAGAGGCTATCTCGTATCAGAGAACTTCTGGATAGATGCCGGACGGGCCACTTAGGATGCACCGGGGAACTGGCAATGCGTCTCCCCAACATATCTGGCAGGGGGAGAATTCCAACTCGTAAGCTGCAGGGACTGCATCGCCCCACCTCAAAGTACACCGCATTTTTGGTAGCTTCGACGATAACATGACACGATGCTTCTGCTGCTGTTTTGTTCGGAGGTTCGAAATACAATTCCGATGTGCGGGTCCACTACTTGTCTTTAAATATGGGTGTGCTTCTCCTCCTCTAGGTCGCGAAGGCCTTACACCCTTTCGCGGGAGTCATCTTGGACCAGCTTGCACAGGCCACTGTCAGCTCAGTTCAAGCGTTTCGTCGATGTCCTTGATCAACAGTTGCGCAAGGCGAGTATATACATCTGTTGATGGCCCTCTGATGGTGGTCTGTGTGTCTTGCCTGGTCCGTGCCTCGGGTTGCCACAGGAACAGGTAACTATCTAACCCAATGCATCGAGCCTGCTACTTGCAGAAGCTGTTCAAGCTTGACCTCTTATGACAATGTGTCAGTATTCCAGATATCTCCAATGTATGCTGGCAGTTGTTCTTGGGGTGCCCTCAAGATCGTCGAGCATTCTGTCAGGAGGGTGCCCTGCCAACGGCAGAGATATGGGGGAAAAGTGGAGTTTCAATTCTGTATTTCGAGACGCAGAAGCTCCGATCTTGAAATACTTTGCTAAGGTGATGGAGGTCAAGGCTCTTGTCGTCCACGGAAAGGTGGGGGGTTGAATGCAAATTTCCTTTATGCAGCCCTTGCGAAAGACGTTGCCAACACTTGGTGCACACGTTGTGCAGCGAACAGGATGTTTGGTGGTTCATGGCGATTTCCCGCCATCATTTCTTTCCGAATTACAGATACTTCTTTCCACGCGGCTCAGCGAGTAACTTTGTCGTTTGAGAGGTGCCTTTGCCTAAATGTAATGTCACCGCCATGAAGAACTTTAGTGTCGCATGATTTGCATAAAAGAAGCGTAACCGAAGACACTACTTAAGTGAAAATTGCGGTATACCGGGTAGACGAAATACTCCCGCGTACAATCAGTGTGCCAAGCGCAACGGAGGGAGGTGACCTGGTGTGCTTTTGCTCGATAATCAGACGAAACCCCACAATCCAGACGGTGTATTGAAAATCCCAGTCCCCGGTCAATTCTACCGGCCCCTTCTCGAGAAAACACTGTGCGATGCGGAAATTTGTGCTTTGGGACATAACTGCGAACACTGACCTTTTGTCTGAAGGTTCGTTGATGCATGAGAATGGTGAGTCTTTGGGATACGACGGATTGCCGAGAAATTGCGACCCAAATGTTGAAAATAGAGCCTCTGTTGACCTGTTGAAATTTTCCTTAGCCACCGTCCAAGACCGTAAAGAAGAAAGGCATTGCATTTGTGTACACCTGCTGCCGCTGCGGGCAGACGCCGATCCCCATACAAAGCAATAAATGCCCTCATTGCAGACACGAAAGGTGTAGCAATTGCGAGTGTGAGAAAATCGTAAAACGAAGCTTTCAGCGGCCGGCGTGGAATCTTCATGGCGTACTGTCGAAAGCGAGAACCACGCCAGATCCCGAACACCATACGTTTTCTCCACTCTCCTCAACTCTCGACATCATCTTGCCTCGATAACCTAACGATGAGTCCCAAAGGGAGCAGGCCGGCACTGAAGCATTTTAAACACACTAAGCTTGATAAGTCAATAACAATAAGGGGTTTTATGAGGGGTTGTGAAGTAGTTGGTATAAGGGGTGGTCAAACAGTTGATATAAGGGGTGGTCAAACAGTTGGTATAAGAGGTAGTGGAAGAGATAGAATAAGAGGTGGTAGAACAGATGGAATAAAAGGTGGTAGAACAGGCAGGAGAACAAGGAGTATCAGAGGTGGTAGAAGAGGCCAGTTGCTAAGATTGGAAGTGTTTACACCAGGTAGGGTCAAGAAGAGACCTGGTTTCATTTCGGAATATTGTTCAGGATTCAGAGTTTGGCTTTCAAAGGAAATAATAAGTCCCGACATGATGACTTATAGCAAGAGAATTGAGGATTGACAACGATGCGGATGATCCAGCATGATGTTAGCTGGCAGGTTATGGCAGCCTTCTCCAGAAGCGTAAACCATCACTTGAGTAGATGGTAGTTGAAACAGGCTCCCATGCCTCAAGCCAGGCACGACGCTGAACTCCACTTCGCCCAATAGAGTCTATGGTATCAAATGTTTAAGAATAGTCTCCTACCCACTAGAACCCTTGTGACTGTCAGAGATCGTTCTTGAATCGTTCTATTACACTGCGCCGCGTGTAAATCCTTGTTATCCTCGAGATCAACGTGGCTGTATCGGCCATCTGTTCGGCCTCTTAGTTTGGCCCATTTGAATCTTCTCGCTCTGACCAAACGTTAGACCTGTAGGAGAGTGCTCGGCATCGTTGCAAGAGACTAGCATAGAATCGGAGTTCCCGTAGCAATCCCCCCCTCTCTGTCACAATGCTTCGTAGGGAAGGGCCTGTGTGGCCGCCTGGCTATCTTAGCAAACAATCTCGATGCCCCTGGACCAATTATATGTGGCAACCGGGGGCCTCCGAACTTCGAGCAACCCTTCCCGACGAGACCCCGTTCTCAAGGATCCTAGGTAAAGCCTGCAACGCTGATTGATTGATTTCGAGGCACCAAGGCAGCTGACTCTCTCAGACACGCAAGCGGTTAGCTGGATGCAAAACGAGTTTCATGTGGGTATGGCCCGAACCTCTGGGGCGCACCGTTAGTCTGCATCGAAATCTTTCCATGACCTACCCACAACGGATGATAGATGCTACAAATCAATCATGATTCGCCCGACATCAATCTCGCCCGATCTGCACTCTTCTCAGGTTCCGAGGAACAAATCAAGAACTTTGTCGCGCTTTGACGACTCCTAAATCTCCCGCCAAACAGAAGTACTCTTCCAGTGAAGCGACCTTGGAAGCCGCTATTCATGGTCATGGGACTGAACCAGAATGGTTACCCCAAGTCTCCCATCAATCATCGAGGTACAATCAGTAGTGGCAGATGCCTGGAATTCGCCCAGGTGTCTCCCTGCGCCTGCCATTCCAATTCAATCTACTCCAAAGGCAACGCGCTGCAATCCTACGGTTGCATCACTTTATCTAATCCTCGTGGCTCCTATCATGAGCATGTCTGTTCATCTTCTGCTGCCCGAATCGTGGCTTAGGACTTAACGCGACTGTTTCCAGGGGCTAAACGAACATTTTGGAGCCCTAAATGAGGGTTGGGTTTTGGATGCCTTCTTCAGCCAGTGCCCTACCACTACGATCTCACGTTGACTGCTGTGGCCTTTTCCTCATCTGGGTGCCTTGAATATCGGCCCAACCGTCGGGGTCTTCTGTTTGGTGTGAATCTGAACACTAGCTTCACTTGTGCGACCTGAATGAAGGAAGTCATATTACCGAGGTCTTACTATTGAGAATTGCAGCGTTTGCGGGCTCTGATCGGCAATGACATATATCTTTCTGGGTGCCGTTAGTTTCCCTCCGAATTCTCCCTGATGCATTCTTCGTGAGATCGCTCGCAATCTCACCGGACCATTCAGAATCCTGGTCCAATATACCCCACCATGCGAAAGATTTGGCTCTAGCTATGGGATCCCGGCATAAGACCAAAAGGGTCAAGAGGCGACGCAGGCGTGACTGCCATAGTCAAAAACCTTCTGGTTTTGAGTCAAGTTCAGCAGTAAGCAGCGAGGGATGGCCCGTGGCCTTGAGAGAGCGTCCAGATCTCTCACTCACATCAGACAACACCTCATTCTTGCAAACCCGCGCGAGGCTGGGCGAAGAAGATAAAAATGACATTTACGAAATTTTTATGCGGGGCCCTGCAGACCCTGTTGGTCGGATTCCGCGTGCAGTCAAGTTGGAATCATTCGCCTCCGGCATGAGTCTTGATGTCCTCCGTATCGCTCAAGAAAATGGAGACTTGCGTCCTGCTGTGTGGCGAGACGACAGGAACTACAGAAACAAGAGTGCTGTACCAGGTGCGGCTTGCAAAGCACTGACTGCTTATGGGTTATGCCTCGACTTTTCGAAACCTCGCTTTCCAAGCTCGCTGAACACGTCTGCTCTTTCATACGCTCCCATTGATGACCAGACTCAAGACCAAAAGTCCTCATCCGTCGCACCGATATCTTCCATGACTAATGGCACTACTTCCCTCGAACTTGATGCAGACCGGCGGCTAGTGTATATCAATGATTTGGATCGATATACTATCTTCGCAGTCGTATGGACTGCCTCTCCTCATCAGGTTCCCGCCCTACGGAATGCGCTATATCACCATCTTGACTTCAATGCCTTGTTGGAAATGAGTGTCAACATTGGAACATTCCCAGCATTTGAGTTAGCTTTCCATCTCCCATTTTTCGTTCTGAAGATCAACAGCCCGAGGCGGGGAGATCATCGAGTAGACAACAAGAAGAAGACTTTGCGACGGTCATACAACTTGCCCTCCCTAGATGGGCCGAAAGGGACAAGTTCGGACTGGCTTCATGAAGCACATATCTCCTGCACCGTGACAGGTTCAGACGAGGTTAGATGGATGGCATACGCTTTTATCGACACATATTACTTCGACGCGAATGATGAAGACAGGGAAGATGCAACCGAGAACGAAGCGGACGCTCTTGAGGACGATAGGGCAGATTTATCTGTGGATGAGGAAGGCGATCTCGAAGATCATACTATGTGCCCAGATGCTCTCACTTATGGGGTTGAAGACGCAGGAAAGCCTATTTGGAACCCGCGAATTTACTTCTTGGCGGTGTTCGCGCGTCGCCTTCAACAAGCACGGAGAGAATGGGAAAACGTGGTGATGAACTTTACCGAGCGTATTCGAGCCTTCGAAGAAGTGCATGAGAATGCAATGAGTGACTCAACTCGATTTCAGTCTTCAGACGAGCAAAGGAATACACTGGACATCCACGAGTCTCTTGCCTGGGTGCTCAAGACTAAGCATCTTACGGACAGGATGTGTAAGGTCCTCGGCGGGACAATCAGGGCCTACGAGCCATTCTGCTCTCGACATGAGGCTTGTGGGGATGGCTCGCTACGATTCCCTCAAGGGCACAGGCTGTTGGCCGAGGTTTACAAAACATTTGAGATCCTCTGTCAACTAGAGTTCAAATTGAGCAACTTAGTACACAGCTGTGGTCAGTATGAGAGTGAACTTCACGCGCGGCTAAACGCCATACAAAGTCAAATCACAGCGAAGGCAATGGCCGTAAGCAACGAACAGCTTGAACTGAGCACGACCGCTCTTGAACTGGGAAAGAAGCAGAGCCAATTCGCCCAGGAAAGCAAACGATTTTCGTGGATCATGATGCTTTATGTGTCACCCATAGCGCTGACCGCAAGCGTTTTTTCTATGGAAGAAAGTGTTTTGCCCAAAGTTCTTCCTTTTGTCAAGCCGAACGTCGGATGGTTCATCGGACTTATTTGCATTTTCGAATTGGTGGGCATCATTGTTCACGCAGCATGGTCTCAATGGGGCAAGCTGGGCAAGCTGGCCGGCGAGGCTCAAAGATACCGTGACTTTTGGAGTCCATCACGGTGGTTTACACGATCCAGGAAATCGAGTGTTGATGAAGAAAGTCGTCCGGTGACTCCGGTCACCAATGCCCCACCTTCTCCTCCAGCCGTTCCCGCCTATGCTCGTTCCGAGTCCTAACCCTGATTTATTACAGTGCGATTTTCTTGCGAGAAATCTTGTGTTATTAGTTAGATTTTTGACGACTTCCAGCGATTGACTAGTCAGACCAAGCGATAACGCCGTTCACCTAGAGACGAGGACAAGGAGAAGCAAGAGCCCTACGGCCTTGACACGAATGACGAGACTAACGACTTACGACACATTTCGGGTTTATATACACTGTATAACGTAAACAGATATTCTAATGATTCACAAATCCATCATACCTGACTTCTGTAATATGCTAGAACATTACAGCACCAATGCATTGAACAAGTGCGATTTTTAGAGCGCAACGTCAAGCGGATCCCGAACGGGGTCCCAATGCGAAGGTTCAGGGGTTTTCAGCCTTCTCAATCCCGCCCACTAGCTAGCCGTCTAAATACCCCTTCCAGATTCGCACTCTTCACTGTCCAAAGCCTGCCTTTTGACTAGAGACTTTAAGCTGGAGTTAGTCCTCGACTCACGGAGTTAATTATTTGTCGTAAGCAGAATCTACCGCTATCTAGAAGAAATCCCGGCCTTGCATTGCCCTAGTGAGTAATAACTGATAAGGCTTCCATCAGAGGCAGTCCCATTACTCGTTTATATCTCGTTCATATCTCATTCATATTTCGTTCAAACTTCGGTTACACCTCGTGTATTCCTCCTTTACATCACGTACCTAGGTGGTGCTAGCGTCTATCCTACCAGGTATGTGGGATTTCAGGTGTAGTGGAGAGTACTTCAGAGTTTCGTTAGCCTTGGGGTTCTGGACGAGCCGTGGTTACAAAGCACCCTAATTCTCGTAGCGTCATCGCCTATTGGCGACATGTCTGTCCCTTTAGGTCGCCCACGCTTCCAGTGCTGCGTAGCTAAGTCTTTCAGGACTACTATTCAACGGCTTTTGACGACTTCGTTCGCCTTTGTGTGCCCTTTCATCTGGGAGTTCAACACAACACTCTCAATTATTGCTCTGCATCAGAAAATACCGCCGTACGGTTTACCTAGTCCATCCCACCAACATGCAAAGATTGTCGAAATACAAGTAGCAAGCAACGGAGAGCATGAGTAATACCGCTTCACGGGGGCCTGAGACAGTTGCTGATAATCACCGCTGCACGGCGCATGTATTACTTTCTCGCCAAGCTAGCCTCATTCGAGGAGGAGACGCTCAAGCTCGAACTGGACTCAATGGACGACCTGTCAGAACTGGATTTTGTCCACTATCAGGTCTTCCCCTGGGCAAACGACGCCGATGGCACTGAATCAGACATCCTACGGATCTAAAAGCAACAATATACGGGCCTCCCGCAATTTCCATTTCTTCATCGACCGCCAAACTCTTTAGGACGACACCATGATCGTTGCAAACAGAGACCCCAATGTGCTCATTTTTTCAGATGAAGCCCACGCTGCTGCTCAGCGACTAGTTCAAGATATGCAGTGGGATTCGCTCGATTATGAGATTGATGAGGGTCTTTTATACTCGCTTCACAAGGATTTCGCGGGTTGTGCAATCACCTATGCTCGCGTTCCAATTTTTTGATTCCGAGGCGTTTGGTGTAACCTAGCCATTAAAAATGTATCGTTGTGTGAGATTGTCCGCGACGTCTCGATAGTAGTAGACCCAGCATGGGATGCAGTGCCGTTCTCGAGAAAGGTGGAGGAAGAAAACCGAAAACTAGACGAAGTCGAGATAGCACAGACCAAGAAGAGCGGCTGACTAGCTGCCCAAGCTTTTTCATGTTCGGTGATCCCATGAATGTCGAAGCCTCGGCACCAACCTCTGCTTTTGGCGTGGGGCTTATTTTTTCATGTTGTCAGTTGAGACAGCCTTGCCACCCGTGCCATGGAAGTGGGGCAAGTGTGACAGAGGGATATCGATCTTGATGAAGTCACACCAAACTCCAACTGAAAACAGGCACTACCAGTATGGTTGAGAAGTGTAGGCTGATCGAAGCGAAGAACTTACACATTACTGAACCCTGGCTGAACGACCGGGGAGACAGCCACGAACGTGCCTAAGGACGTGTTGCCCAACAGCAACCCAGCTTTAACAGCGTCCAGATCATGAGCTTCACTTACACCTCAGTTTGAACAAGAGTACTTTCTCCATCTGAAAGTCTCAACTCAAACCCTCGGGGAGTCTTGTGGCTAGTCTGTGCACCCTAGTTGTACAACGTTACGAAGAAACCAGGGCGGTTCGGAATTTTTTGGGATCGATTATCTTGTTCTCTGCCTCACATCCCACGTCGAAGATTGATAGTCCCATGCTGCGAAGGACTGTTTTAGATGGTTGCATTCCAACGAGATGGGGGAGTTCAGGAAGGCGTGCTACTTATGCACCGGATAACGAATAAGCCAACGGACAATTTGCCATGGCCTTTAGTTGTGCACTTTAGGTTATTAGTCTGGCCGAGAGTGTACAGTGAGAGATCTAACAGTAGTAGTACCAGTGAAGGATTATCAATTTAGGATGCAGCCTTCGAGTGACAATCTAAACTGCAAGCCACTTTAAATATCCTCCTTTACCGGGATATCAGCCTCTATTTATATATGCATCTCGCCTTTACAAAGCTCTCTTCGCGATGTTGTGTCGAGCAACAAAGCTTCGGCTGCGCTTGCCATAAATATACCTGAGAAATGAGATTAGTAAGAGTGGAATTTGAGACAGATTGGTGCAGAAAACTTACATGGGGATGGTGGTAAGGGTGCAGAAGATGGTGATGCCTCCAATAGTGAAAAAGCAGTCACGGACACCTTGCACAGCGATCCAGTTGTTGATATAGAAAGTCATGCCGAAGGCGAACATGTTCTTGATGAACTGTGGTGACGAGTTAGATCAGGGTAATCGAAAGCTTGGTGGGGAAAACTTACGTTCATAGCAGCGAATGCTTCACCAGCCTGTTCACGATGGCAATCGACAACGTAGGCTACGACACCAGTGGTACCGAGCTGGACTCCCAAGTTGATCAAACCCATGCAGACAACGACTGTTGATGGGTTAGTATACGTGATTTAAATATTACTAGAATAGGGATTGGGAGCATACCTGGAATTGGCCATGGGTCTTGCTTGTAGGCCGCTTGACCCCAGCCGAAGAAACCAGTCGCGGTGAATAGAAGATATGTCACCATGATTGGCAGACGGAATTCGGGCTCAAAGATACCCTTATTACGCTTAGACATGCGCTTGACGATACCATCGATGAGTGGACCTGCGATCATGGTTCCGATGACGGACGCAACGAATGACGACAAGTTGGTCGCACCAACCGAGCGAACGGAGAAATTGTATGGTGGGGCAGAGAAAATCTGCGAGAGTGTAATCGAGATGCCGACGAGCCACGAAATACAGGTGGTGAAAAGTAGGGTTGCCCACGCGACTGCAGGTGAAGCCAGGAGGAAAAATGGACGAACCATGGTGGAGATGAGGGAAACGTGGTGGACGTAACCGGACCAGGGCCTCATTTCCTGTGCAAATGACATCTTTGGTTCGGAAGCAGTGCTGTCTGCCGGCAAAGGAGTGGCTGTCGCTCCCTTCTCGCTTGGAGTCTCGAGATGGTCGGCTGCGACCGATTTTTCGGTCTCAACGTTGGTTTTTCCGGTATCGATATTAAGGACACCGGTGCGGTGGTATGCAGTCTCGGGCATGAAGAAGAATGTCAAGATGAGCTGGAGAACAAAAGCACCACCCATAGCGTGCATGACGACTCTCCAGTTACTAGCTTCCATTATGGCACCAGCTGTTCCAACGTTAGAATTCGTAGTCCAGAAAAAGAAATAGGAAACCTTCTTACCGATAGGAGTGGCCAAGTTGATACCACCAAGGACGCCAAGATTAAATACGGCTGTGCGATAACCACGCTCGTGGACGAACCAGATATCGGCGATCGAAGCAGGGATCAGAGCTTCCATGGGAGCCATGCAAAGACCCTGGATGACACGTGCGGCAACGAAAGAATTGAATGACCTGGCTTCGGCGGCCCAGAAACAGGTGACCGCGAGCCCCACGGATGTGATAAGGTAGACTGGACGTTTGCCGTATTTCACTGCCAAGGCGTTGAATAGAAGAGATCCGATAGCGATAGCTGCAATGACACCGCCCTGGGCACCAGTGATGAAATTTGTCAAAGAAACATTCCATTCCTCTGCGAGAGGAACGAAGGCCGCTCCCAAAAGAGGTCCAACGGCTGTTCAAAAGCTGTTAGTCCCAAATCTACGCACAAACAAAAATTATCGGATGGGATATCCATACCTCCCACGCAACCACAGCCATATGCGAAAGTGAGTGTGAAAAGCTCTTTCTTCATTCGTGGCCAGTTGTAAGGATCGTTGGGCGAATCACTGGGCTGAGGAACCAGGACGATCTGGCCGGAGGCATCATGTTTGAGCAGACCGGAATCAATCCCGGAAATATTCTGATCCTCACGTCCGAGCTCATTCAGGGGAGCAGTGCCAGGCACATGCTCGAGCTTCCTATCCTCGAGGACTCCGAGACCCATGGTAGTTGGTATGGGTGAAGGTGGTGTTTAGAATAATGATACAACTTGTGTTAAAGAGGTGATGGCAGGATGGAAAGACTGGGGAGATGTTGCTGGGGGAGATCCTTTCCTTTATGACTGTGCCCAGAGCCCTCCTCCGCCTTGCCAGATATTGAGTTTTGGCAGGTAGAACATCCACAAGGCGGGCGAGAAAGTGGAGGGTCTGGGGTCTGGTCTTGATGCTGTGGTGTTGGAACTTGGGGGGTGGGGTCAATTTCCACAGTCCCAAGTAATCCTCTGATTCAACACGATTTATGTCTGTGCCTTAGCAAATATTAGAGCAGAGATAGTCGTGTCCAAGTCCGGATGAGCGTCTACCAAGGTGGTGGTGGGTTATTTCCAGGTCCCAATACGTACCGAAAGCAGGGCCTCGACACGACGCCTCTGACGAGCCGCTAACTGGCTAGTCTTGTGACCGAAAAAGTTCGAGGTTTTTTAGTTAAACAATTGGATTGAGTAATTTGCTTCATAATTTCATCTCAATTTTCATCTAGAACTTCTCTATTCACGTTGATAGTTGTCCGCCTTTGTCAAGCATTGAACATCACTCTCCTTGAAGGCCACTGATCACGACGAGAGCTTTCGATTTGATCCGCCACATTTGGCTTGTGGCTTGTGAGCAAGCCCTTCGCATCGTTCTGCGTGCATGTGCCACGCTACCCGAAAGCTTGCTGCCCCGGGATTGTCCCACTGAGATGGCGGGCTTAAGGTCCACGAGTACAAGTAAGTCCTCCAGTCTAGATCAATATAACAGTATTCCATTTGGTGGGGTTCCAGTGGGGTTTTCGGAACTCAGATGAAGTCCCGGATCAAGGCTCCTAATTGAAGACCGTTCTACCCTGGCAGAGAACATCTGAATGGTAGTTTGCATAAAGAGACTTGTTCGAGATGCTACCTGGCTGACCACGATGACATTCACAACGTCGACAAACGAACATTTTTTTTAGTAATATCCGTGGTTGGGTTCGAACCCTGCACTAGCGTGCACATTCGATTGATGTACTTCGTGTTACTTGATGGCGAGTGACATTCAATATAATGTTTATTTACCCCCTGTGACCCTGAAGGCTGAGACTCATGGAGTTTTACCGAGGCCGTGATAAATGGGTGATTTCCAGCAGTCGGAAATGCCCCCGAAACCGCTCTGCTGGAGAACTTGCGGGGTGCTTCCGGGGAGTCATCCTTCCCAGGTAGCAAGGAAACAAGGTGTAGAGGCCGGCAGTGATACACCGGATATGGCATGTTGAAGGGACCTTTCTTAGTGGATTCATCACCACGTGGATGTCAATGGGTGTTGTCCGGTGTCAGATAAGCCGTGGTAAGGATGATCTGAGATATCTATGGTAGGATGGGTTGGACGCCTGTGTGTTGGAGCTCTGTTCACTTGTGGAGAATGATACGAGTCTCTCAGCCAGAAGGAACCCAGGAGATTCGATGTTAATCCCGATCAGATTCAGTCGGTTTCTGTATCCCGTCGAAATGGTTCACTTTAATGAGGGATTTGGTTTCTCAGATGTATGTTCTAGGCAAATAGACTGGCCTTGGTAGGTGCCTTTGCCCCTGACAGAATAGTTTCCAGCAGGGAAATATTGCAAGGGGCTGTTGCTTTACTTCTATCTATAACTAAGCTCAGTCTGTTGGATAGGCATACGTTTTCTTTCCAATATGTACTATAAATGCCTCTTCACTGCAGCATTGTGCCAGGTGCTACCCTCACTGCGTCCACCATTTACGAACGCTGTTTCCGCGCAAAATTCCTCAAACGATCACCTCCTCGCTCTATAGCTCGATGCCAAAGTCTAGCCAAGGAACACCAAACTCTCTTACAGGGTGTTACCACACGGAAACCAATCAGTGCTCAAGTTGAGCGACCACACTACCTCCTTTGTTACGAAATAGAGCTCGAGCTCCGTGACATGACCAAACTTGTGAACCGAATAACGGCACTATAGCCCCCCAAACTCGAGCCCTAGCCCCTAATCATACCCAATTTTTTTTTTGGAATACTTGATCGTACTGAAACAAGATGAGATATCCATTATAGAGGAGGAAACTAGGTAGTCGTGGCAATGCTAGAATGTTCACGTCAGCCTATTCGTTCTGGCTGCAATACCAAAGCACGATGCCAAATGGCTACACAACAAAGGAGTGATGAGCAATCGGGTTCATGGACAATGCTCTATGATTGTGAGTGCTACACATCTCATCAATGGTGAGTCCGTTCAATGGATGGATGTAACAATGAAGAAAGATGATACTCTGTACAGCAATCTCCTCCACAAACCGCTCTATGCGTACTCCAGGCTCCCATACCTAGCAAGTCATATCATGTGTCTCGTCAATCCCAGAACCGTGTCTCCTTTGTCCTGCTATGATATCATGGCATCGAGGACGTGCCGCTTTGCAGTGCCGGCATGAATTTTGGCCCGTCCCCTCTACTCGCTTTGATTTGAATACCTGCAAGCAGGATGAATGAACAGGAGGAAGGAAAGAGGAAGAAGTGTGTGACATATTACGATATCAATTGGGTCTGTTGTGCATGGCTTGCACACAGTGTTTTATATGCTACTCCACGAATAGGAGCTCTCGTCAATTATACGCTCTCGTCCATAGGATGTTCGGCCGCGGACCCCAGTCTCTCAGCAGTCCACTCAGGATCGAGTTCGAAGTGCGCTGGCACAGGACTACCTGGCAAGATAGTACCAGCTTCTTCACGAAGGGCGTCCATGCCGATCCTATCGACCTCTGTCTCCACGAGTTGGGGGATTCTGCAGTGATCATCCCAATTGAATGCGACGCGTTGGCCATTCTGCCTTCGGACTCTGCAGTCACAGCCGTTCAAACATCTACTGGAGACATGGGGCAGATGGAATCCGAAAGTGAGCTTCTCCACCCCCAAGACCTTGTTCGAAGTGCCATCGACGCGTGCAATGCGCCAAGGCCCAGGAATCCTTTCAGCCTGGGACAGCAGTTCAGCTCGTGATGAGAATAGTGTAGGCTCGTAGGAGCCCTGGAGCTTCTCATGGGATCCCGCGACGGCGTCCTCCTGAGAACGACCTGGTCTGGTCCATTGCAGATCGGGTAGATCGGCCAGTGCAGATCGTACCACTTTAGCCTTTCTGGACACGGCTCGGCGAATCCGAATTAGTTGCTCATAGCGTTCGCTATGGTCACTTTGATGGTTGTCACCGTGTGTGGGGTGAGGTATAGCTTGCCTCAAGACAGAGGCTTTCATCAACTGTTCCAGCACCGCCGTGAACTCAGGAGAAATATTTGCGAGAGCCTGCACTTCTTCGACATGCGAATACTGTGATTTAAATCCCCATCGAGAAGCAAAGATGGCGTGTTTGACCGTATTGATAAGCATACGCATGTCACTGAAGATACCCGCAGACAACTTCCAATCGGTCCGAGTGTTCAGAGCCATTCGTGCTGGATTTGGGCCGACTTCCCAGATGAACTGATCCAACATGTGGGCTTGCCCAAAATCTCCAAGGTAGAAGTCTGGAAACTGCTGAGAGTCATCTGCAAAATGTAGGAAGATGTTCTCAAAATGTATGTCAGCATGGTATATAGACGGGTAGCCCCGGTGTAAGAAGCCAAGTACCTCGAGCATTTGGTCCAGAAGATGCCACAGAAGCGCCTCTGGGATAAGTTTATGTCCATCACAGAACACCTTGCTCAAGCGATGGAGTGTTCCACCGTTGCAGAAGGTGGATATTATGGATGATGACTTGAACGCATTGTGCATAGGATGTTCCTGTGGTAGGACACAGAACTCTTCGTTGCCCACCATTCGTGGTACGAGGCGATGCGCACGATACAAACTTACCTCCCTTGAGTACATGCCAAAACTGCCCTGGCTAGTTGCTGCCGTTGGCTTTGTCTTTTTTCTGACATACTCCATGTTGTCTGCTATCGAGCGGACGACTTGGGTGATAGCCCGGGTCCCTTTTCCTAACTCAGAACAATGTAAGTATCCATCTCCTTCTGGAAAGAATACGGCATACTTCTCAATCGACATTTTTAGCGTTGCGAAGACTGTGCGTCGAGCTTAAAAGTTTCTGTTGCAATGTGTGCTGCCAGTTGTAGAATAGTCTCAGTGCTTCTGAAGAGTTCCAAGTCGATTTGAATAGGTTTGGGATTCATTTCATGAAGGAAGCGGATCATTCGATCTAAATATAGTAATCTAGAGACAATGCTACAGAAGTCGACTGAACCGACAATGAGAATCACAATGCCGTTAGTCCATCAAAGACAATTGGGTCAAAGAGATACAATCGCAGTACGGTAAGTCCATAGAAGCCAGTTGAATTAAAGAGATGCAATACTTTGTGCATGGCACAGAACCTTTCATGAAGACTGCACTTTATTGTCTTAACGAGGAGGGAGTCCCGCAGCTCGGTCAAGGGAGAACCACTGCGCGAGGATGAGATTCCGAGCATGATACGGATGTTGGAGACCTTATCAAGCCGTCACAAGAACTGAGTTCAACCATGCATGTCACGAACTTGGATCTCGATTGGCAATAGCGCATGAAAACATTGACAAAACTGGTCCAGTCGGTTCACAAAGCCTCTCTGTGAGCTTCAAAGAAATGACAATGTAGATGATCAATTTTGGACCATTCTAGCGTACTTTCTTGTCTGTTTGCAAAGACTTTGAATCAAGGAGTCTAGCGTTCGCTTTCCGAGACCCTGAAGAAGCAGGCAGGGCGTATAGACCACCACCCACGAAAACCACTACAGCACCCATGACCACACCAGGTGGCAATCGATTGCCAAATAGCCAGATACTCAGAAGTAGACTTGCTAATTTGCGGATATTGAGCACAATGCTTACTGTCAATGATGATGACTGTGCACTAAGCCTGTTGACGCCCACAATGCATAATAGTTGCGTGAAAGCATTCAAAAAAAGTAGAGCCACTGGAATGGGGACACTGAAGTGATGCAGTGGCGACATGGGAGAAAGGGGTATCTTCCATGCCTTAAGAAGCGACTCTGATTTGACCGTTGGCTGATCACGCGTAGACATGGCGACGATACTGTAGAACTCGCCAGCCAAAGGTCTGACTTGGGCTGCGAAGAAAGGAAGCGACAAAGTATGACTGTAGAAGAGTGTCTCTGCAGTAATGGTATTTGAGCGACCGTGCATACTGTACATATCATCGGTAAAGAGACCCATGCATGCAGACAATACAAGTGCAGAAGCCAGGAGAGCAAATCCAGGAGCCTGGTGTGAGATGCTGCTTGGCCCGATTTCCTTGAAAGAACTCTCAGTCAGGTCATCCTGATGAGAATGCGGCGGCTTGTTCGATGCATCACTGATTGCTGCAAGCACAACACCTACAAAAAGCAGAGCCACTGCCGTAATTTTCTGGGTTGGGTACCGTTTCCCTCCCCAGAATCTGCCGATCGCCATGGTTGTCACGGGTCCTGCGGAGCGTAGTATGATGTGCAAGGGTATGCTTATGCGGTAATTGAATGCGAAATTGTTCAATATGTTGATGCTCAAGAAGTAAGCAGTGTAAATCAGCCATTTTTTCAAAGGGATGGCACGTGGTTTGAGGTAGAAGTTCCGCAAACCACGTTGGAAAGAAAAATGCTTTGGAAGAGTGGCTAGAGCAACGAGGAGGAACTGAAAGGCGGTGATCAGAGGACCGGAAGATGGAGAGGTCTGAATGAGAGCCTCCAGCGTGTAGACATTGGAACAGCAACCGCCAAATATCAGAACCAAGGTGGGAGCCCAGATCAGGGCCAGAGAAGAGGCTGTGCCCCATGATGGTGATGTGGTATGTGTGCTTTGTTTTTTCCCTTCTACAGAGACGTTCTGAAGCGTAGAACCATTCGCCTTGTCGGGTTCGTCCTTTGTGGCATTCGTGGCACGGTAGCGCGGAGAGGGTAGAGTCGATGCCATGACTGACGCTGAAAGATGAGGAAAGGGAAGATGTGCGGGCTTTTGTCACCAAGGGTAGGGCGCAGCCATGTCTAACACTTCAAACCACCTTGTAGGGAGATCCGACTCGTCTGCAACGTTGTGACACAGGATCTGTCGTTGGTAGGGTTGCAAAGGGTTTGGTGACAGCAATATATATTTAATTTAGGAAGGTCAGCCGAGGAAAAAGCCACACTAAGCACGTGACGTGAGACAACCACAATCACGTGAGTAATCAGCTTCGCCCTGAAGGGCTAGGCTTGGTCGCCCGCCTCCATGAGGAGAGCTTCAAGCAAAGACTTCGCCCTTCGCGGGATCAAACCCTTTATGTCTACGAGTGTTTTGACCCTCAGTCCGGAAAGGCTGGTAGCCTTATGTTAATAGCGATTCGCATGCAAGTTGAAGATCTAGAGGCTGTACTGATTTGCACAAAGGAAGTCAGCTTCTTTGTCTGCCACCACCCGATTGAGCCTGATCTTTGAAGTCTGATCGGTAACGGCACTTTGCTAGTTATGAGGACCGACAGGCACCAAATTGTAAGTCCTGATGACTGCGCAAGACTTTGACTCCATATTCCATGTCATAGTCTTAGTAAGTCGACGAGGCTTTCGAGCGTAGCTTAGCACCGAACATCCACAATACTATCGGCGATGGAATACCAATCGCGGCAGTAATCAGAGCCAACAAGCTGTTTCCCCATCCATAACCCAAAGCTGCATATAATTGAGGACCAAACAGTGGAAAGCCGAATGCTGTGAGGCTGCGAACCAATTGAGATGCTGCCAATGCCGAACTCGTGTGGTCAGGATATGAGTCGATGACATATGCTTGCAAGGTCTGACCGGTTAATGTGCTTCCAAAGGATAACAACAGAGCACCAAGGTCTACCGCTACCCAAAACTCACGGCTCTGTGCGCTCCAGCCGAAAAGCAGAAAGCCTAAAATTGTGATCGCACAGCCTGGCAACATCAGAGGGACGTGGAACTCGGCGGTGATCGTGCCTCCACGTCTCTTCTTCAATCTTTGAAAGACGAGATCCATCAACAGTCCCCCAATCTGCGCCCCAAGGATCTCACCTATGCACATTGCAAGGTAGTGTAAGCCACTCGTCGAAGCAGATTCCCCATAACGAGTGATCCACAAGTTGGCATAGCTTGATATCACCAAATAGGTCACACCGTACGCAAACCCCGATACGAGAGCCTGGATTTGGACGATGGGATGGAATATCAGCAATCGGCAAGGCCGAGAAAGATTTCTCTGCCAGATCCAGCCCTTTTTTTGATCTTTTTGCACATTCTCAATTGGCGCATGATAGCGGGTGTCGCCCGTGCTACTTCGCAAAGCTTTCGCCCTCTCCTTGAGAATGGTGTGTGCGTAAGTCTCGTGGAACAAGAAAAACGACAGGATCGATGCCACAAGTTGAAATATCGACGTCGACCAAAACATCCACCGCCAGGTCGTCGCAGAAGTTATAATTCCGCCTAAAATCGGTCCCACGGCTGCGCCAAGCAAAGGGACAAGCATATATAGCGCAAGTGACCGCCCTCGCTCTTCCGCTCTCCAGATGTCCCCAAGAACGCCACCGCCAAGGGTGTATATCGCACTCGCACCAAATCCGGCAAGTAACCGGGCAGCGATCAGGACGGACTTGCTGTTCGCAAAACCGCAAACGATATTCCAAACAAGGAACCAAATGTTGGTCCCATGAAGAACGGGTTTCCGGCCATAGATCTCAGAAAGTGGTCCTATGAGCAATGGCCCAAAAGCAGTGGCGAGGAGATACACAGATAAGGCCATCACCGATGTGGTCTGGTTCATGTTGAGCTCGGCAGCAATATCTGGAAGTGCTGGCGCCATTATCGTCGACACCATTATGCGGTTAAATCCCGTGACGGATAGCACACTTGTTACCACCCACTTCTTCTTCACAGGCCAGTTCTTGGGATTGAGAGGATCCCCAGACTCTTCGAAGTGGACGAGGAACGAGTCCGCCGGCCGCGTTTTGACGTCGCCCACCAAGCCTATTTCTTTCTCCTGTGCAGGCTCACAGACTTCATTGTTCGCTGCTTGTGCCATCTTCGTGAAGTATAGCAGCTATCTAGCTACAAGATGCTGTAGCAAAGTTTTGGTACCAGCAATGGTTCGAAGTCTCTAGAGCCAGAGACCAACAGCGCGCTCTTGAAGGGTGTATGGAATTCGACTGAAAAGACAGACAGCAGCAGGGAATGCCCTCAATTTGTATGTGGTAATTCGTTATGTCGACATTATCGAGCGAGGCTAGTTCGGCATTGTATTTCCTCAATTGGGCGGCGCTCGGCCTTCGCTCCCACGAGCCACATTCGCTCATCTAGTGCAGATTCCTACGTTGATATCGGTCAAAATTAAATTGAACCATGTGAGTCCATCCTAGGGTGCACAGGACTGGATATAACAACAATTCTGATTGACCCACTGGCGCAGATCGCCACTGTGTGGTTTGATCCGATTGGCGCTGGCGTTTATAGGTGGCATAGCGGCAACCTAGTTGGTTCCCGCTGGCCACCAAGAAACATGTGCGTATGTTCATTCTTCGACATATCTTTCGCCTTCCTGCGTGTAAGTTTCTGCCAAATGATTGGAAGGCTAGGAAAGCCAGAAATTACAGTGGAGAAAACGAACTCCGATGGTTACATGCCTCATTTTAAGCTATCATACCTCTATTGACAAGGTACAGACGACGAAGCGTTTAAAGATTCTCTCCTGACATTCCGAAACCGGACCCTCCTCATGCTTTCTCGTCCCGAACCTCAATACGATCGATATCGTTGTTGGCTTCTGGCACCCAGTGGCGGAACTTCCTTGTTGGAAGTTTCTGTTCGAACATCAGATCAAGTTGGTAAGGAGTGCGTGCATAGGTCTCCGGAATGAGGAACCAAACCGCCACAAATGTCAGGGCACAAATTCCCAACCAGACAAAGCCAATCTTGGAACGAAGATTACCAGCATCTGAGTTGTAGATAAATGGAACAACAGTGCTGAAGACAAAGTTTCCAATACCCCCGAATGCCCAGCCAAGGCCTTGACTTTTCGCACGGAGGCGAAGGGATGAAATCTCACCACCAACAACGTAGGACGCTGGCCAAACTCCCAGACCAGCTACGAAAGTTATCACGTTCAAGTCGACACCGGCAACCCTAATAGTGTTAGCGTTTCCCACAAGGTGGTAGTCTCCGCATTATATCCACTCACCATGGAGAAGTGTCTGATTCGAAGCATCCTACGACACCCAGAACAAGCCAAAGAGCAACAAGTGGGGCCAGTGTTGCAATCATGAGCCTACGCCTCCCAGTCCGGGTCATAAGCCACATGCTGATCAAGTTTGCTATCAATCCGCCAAGAACTCCAGAGATGAGGAAGATGAGGCTGTTTCTCGCTTTCATGCCGGCGATTTGCAGAAAGTATGACCCGTCCCCGAGAACTGGGAGGCCGAAAAGCTGGGGCAGAATAGCTGCAAATAGGACAATGACAGTCCGACGGCGATCCGTTCCTTTCCAACAATCCATATATCGGGAGTCGTCCGACTGCGCCGCTTCTTGTTCATGCAAAATCAAGGCCTGAATGCGTTCGATCTTTGCGTTGGAGTCAACCCCAGCCTTGTCGAGACGCTTTTGCTGCTTACGAGCATCTTCCAGGCGACCCTTGCGGACGAGATAGATTGGGCTTTCCGGAATGATTAGGGAAAGAATGAGTGGCAATGCTGAAAATGGCCATTCGGAAATGATGCAAATGCGATAGGAGTCCGGTCCTTCAATATCTTCTGCGGTGAGTGCAATGGCCGCGGAGATTAATTGGCCAATGAGTTGGAATACGGGAAAGAAGGCCACCACAGGGGCTCGAATGGCTGGTGGGAGGACCTCTGACATGTACGTCTGCGCTGTGCAAACCGCGATACCAATGGTGAAACCTTGACAGATCTTGCCCAGCATGTATATGCCATGACGACCCCCACCAGCATATTGCGAGCACCAGACAACAGCCACACCGAGGACAGACGAAAGGCTTCCAAATCCCAAGGAGAAGCGGCGACCCCAACGATCTTGAAGCGCTCCGCCCGCGAGTGAACCGAGCATGATGCCGATCGGACTTCCTGCATTCCAGGCTCCCAACCATCGTGATTCGATGATCCACTTGTCATCTGATTCCCTGTAGACGCCATAGACCTTTCTATAGGACATGATTATCAGTACCGCTCGTGCGAATCCCAAGGATAAGAATCACCTACTGGAACTCTGGAAGCGAAGACAAATTACTTGTCATGGCCAAGTCATAACCCCACAGCAATATCACCGATGTCAAACCAAAGCAATAGGCCGCTACCTTTGGATTCTTGCGAAGGTTCTTCCATAGTGTCATCTCTGCCGGATCGACCGTGGTTTCTCGAGAGGTGGCATCTTCAAGATGCATGGCAGGGGCTTTCATGGCACCGTCTTCCTCCATGTTGGAAAAGTTGTAGGCGCGAGGCACGTTTCACTAAGATGGATGTTTGTAGTGGGGACTGACTCGATAGTAAAGTTTCCCAGTCAGCAGTACTTGTGTTCCACAGCACGATGCCTGCACCTGAGGGCCAAGGAGGGATTTTTGATAAGGCGATTGTAATGTGGGTTCGACAAGATTCCATCTCGTTTTAATGTTATGGAGTATTCGGTGCATAAAAGGGCAAATCTGGGGAAACCTAGCATTGAGCGCGTTCGCTCGATGGAGCGAACTCGCAACTTGGATTTGACCTAATTGGTGGCCGGCCTGTAAGCATTCCTTTGGCTGCAGACCACTCCTCCCAATCCAGCTCCGCATCTGCAGCACCAAGCTCCGGAGAACTCGAAATATTGGGGCTGGCCTGGGGGTGACGAGGAGTACTCCAAGGATTGCCTTAGGCTAAAGGGGTGGAGGAACTACCCCGGGAATACTGGGGTAGTTTAACGAATAAGGTGGCCAGTTCATTTGCAGACTGCTACTCCGTAGATTGGTGATCATCCTGCTCATGGCTTACAGTGAAAAAAATTGCCGAGTACGTTGTACATACGCAGGGTCGTCGACTGTGCTCAAAATAAGGCTTGTCGTAGATGGCGGGGCCTGCTGAGGGGGTACACCGTACTATAGGCTCTTGCTGCGGTACCTAAGGCAGAGATGTGTCACAATGAGTCTACAACTGGCTTCTACATTTGATTGTGTTAAGATGTGTAGGCCAGACATGCAACAAATTGACTCAATAAGTACGAGTATATCTGGATGGAGACCACTGTATCTGATTGTCGGGATGGTCCTCAGGGTGCTTTCACTCGCGGAGTACGCCGCAGATTTTCAAGATTCAAACGCCCTGTTACAAGGCTTTTCGAGCTTCAGTCTCAGCATAATTCAACCTTGGTGAAAGCAAGCGATCATCCGATAAACGACTAGGTTTGGCCTGCGGTGCGTTTCCAGGGCCTTAATCTAGCATTCAGTGTATTGTATATCCCTGATCGAACAGTCCTGCAGCTTGGACACGGTCTTAAAGCGCAAAGATGAAGTACGTGCGCATGCCTATCGAGATCGAGTCCCCAGAGGAGTATGGTTATGATAAGATCAAAAACAATTTATCAGAGAGCTCGATTGCCGACCAGACTTTAAGAACTTTAGGGTTGCAGATTCCGACCGACATTGTTCTCTTGTACAATGAGCATCGAGGAAGTACCAGACTTCGTGAACTAATTGTCGCAGACTCTGGGCTTTCCAAAGATGATGTCCTGATTACTTCCGGCGCAGCTGGTGCTCTCTTCATCATTTCAACCTCGCAACTCACTAGAGACGACCATCTGGTGGTCGTGCGCCCAAACTACGCCACCAACATTGAAACGCCCAAGGCCATTGGCTGCGAAATCACTTATGTAGACCTCTCCTTCGAACTCGGTTTCACGATCGATCTTTCCTTCATCGAGAGCGTCATCAAGGCTGGCACTAAGATTGTGTCCGTAACTTGCCCACACAATCCCACTGGTGCAGTCATGTCTCGAGACACCCTGAACAGCCTTGTTGCACTCACAAAAGCCAGAGGTTGTCTGCTATTAGTCGACGAAACCTACAGAGACATTCATTACGGAGAGCAATTACCCATAGCAGCTCAGTTAGGTGATCATGTCATCAGCGTTGCCTCCTTGTCTAAATCTTATGGTATTCCTGGTATTCGCTGTGGCTGGGTTATCACTCAGAACAAGGACTTGCAGGAACAATTCCTTGCGGCGAAGGAACAAATCAACATCTCTGGAAGTGTTATTGACGAGTGGATTGCCGAGCAGGTCCTCGAGAAGCGCGAAATCATTCTAGGTCAAACTATCCAGGAGATGAAAATCCGACTTGACATGGTAGCCACCTGGATTGGAAAAGAAGACCTTCTTGAATGGGTCCGACCCGTTGGGGGAGTTGTTTGTTTCCCAAAGATGAGGACGGAGCCTCCTGGAGGAACGGCAAAATTTTATGAGCGGCTGCTGCTTCAGCATGCTACTTATGTCGGTCCAGGTCACTGGTTTGAAATGCCAGATATGTTCTTTCGATTAGGCTTCGGTTGGCCGAGCCGTGAACAGCTCAAGGCTGGCATGGATGCCATCTCTCGCGCTTTGAGAGCTTGATTCTGCCATTTATTAAATCAGTTAATGATGAAAGGTTGATGGACGACGAGATATGCCTGTAATTAATTGGTAATTAAAGTATCGCCTTGGAACAAAGCTGCAGACGTACGTAGGCTGCGCTAATTAAATCATCTGGGGGCATGGCGTCCGAGGCTCAGGGGCTCTCACCCATCCCCGACTTGAATTTTTCGACGGCAGCCATGGCTGCCTTGGGCGGGTGGGGGTCCCTGGGATCAACTGGTTAGTTAGATGGTCCACGATGATGGCGGTCTGAGCCATTATGCTACGTAACTTCCTGGCCTTACCCCTTGGAAATCAACCTCGGCTTTAATAAGTATTCCAGACTATGATAACCATCGCACGCATGTGACGTTCCAAGATTCCATTAACAGATTGATAACTCCATCGTCCTTATATTTGTCGAAATAAGGCTGGAAGTCATTTACTTTCTCAGCGATTGACGCAGAACCGATCGATCAAAAAGCACCATTAAGCATCTCGCCTGCTGTGTTGACATGTTCTGAGGGCGACTGCTAGCACAAAGGGGTCATTCAGGAATGCATTATTTTACTTTGCAGCATAGCACAGAGAACTAGAGAGGTGAACCTCTTCAGCTTTGAGCAGTTCCAATCGATGGTCGACAAGATGGAGGGGGGAGGACGGCCAAGAGGGCGAGTCAAATCATGTACTAGCTGTCGCCAGGTGAAGGTACATTCTTCAATGTCGCTATTGACCGCCTATACTTGTTGCTGAATACCGGATAGCTTCGATGCGATGCACTGGCTAGTTTTCCGGCCGCCTGTTCCAGATGCAAATCCTACAAACTGGATTGCAAGATCGATTCCAATTTCAAACGCGTGAGCGTGAGAGGGTAATTCATTTTTGAGGCCATCACAATTTCTCCTCAGCTGATTGCAAACTGATATTACCGCCTTTAGACGCCTCGAAGAGATGTCAAAACGAGTGAATAGTCTGGAGAATAATGTGCCTCCCCGTGTTTCCATTCTTGGGGATGCTCTCCAAGGGGGATTCTTCCCAACAGGACCGAGTACAGAAAGTCACGCCGATTCGAGTAAATCTTGTGGTGGTATCGAGTGGCTTCTTCTCACAGATTTCGAGCACAATATGGCGAGCACATGGAGTTTGGACGGCGTTACACTCAACTATCAGGAGGCTTCCGAAATTCTTGAGTTGTAAGTCCTTATGGGTGTCTTGGGCGGAGTGACTGTTCACTAATTTCCCCGACGCTGTAGCTATGCCCTGCATTATTATGAACATTTACCGATCCTAGAACGAGTCGAATCGATATCGAATCTTCATGATTGCGATCCGTTTCTTTTCTGGACAATCATTCGGGTTGCGACCTATAATAACCCGCACTATCATTCTCTATTTTCCCGAGTAACGGAGTCTTACCAGAGTCTACTGACAAAACACGTGCTGAGTCCAATTCGAAGTTTTAGGACTCTACAAGCCCTCCTTATTATTTGCTACTGGCCCACGTCTGGACTGCGGCAGAGCCAAGATTCGAGTTGGCAGTATTGCGGTATCGCCCTCAACACTGCGATGCAGATGAATCTTGATCAACTGGTCCTGGGAGGTGCCTTGCGGCTTTTGGTGGTCTATCTGATGCGCACCATATGAGCGTCTATACCCGTCAAATGACTTGGTTGGCCTGTTTCTGTATCAGCACTACGTGGGTACTGAACCATTTGCTAGAAGAATGTACTAACACCAGCTTAGCCTCAGTGTCTGGCTCGGGATTCCTCCTCATTTGTCTGCATCCGCTCAACTCACCACGATTACAACTATGTCACACGACGCAGACTGTCCTCGACCGTTTACGGCACAGGTCGAAATTCAACGGCAAATTGTGCACTACTCGACGGCTCTCGCTGGAGATGTTGATTCGTCAACTTCTTCAAGTCTGATGAATTTGTTCAGCAGTGAGCTTGACACACTTTATGCTATGTACAAGGATATTTGGTCAACTAAACTAGAGCTACAACTCCTTCGGGCAAAGCTGTATCTCTATTCTCATTGTCTCAATATCGTATGGAGAACTTCATACGACAGGGCGCGAGTCTCGGATGAGTCCACCCTGCACTCTGTCAAGATGCTTCTACACCGGGGCTTCCTCTCAGCCATTTCATTAGTCCACAACAGCCAGAAGCTGAACACCACGCCATCCGATTCGGAACCAGCACCGTCAGGTGGTATCCTGATACACCACCCGAAATTCTATTTGCAGACTGTCATGTTTGCTGTGATTTTCCTCTTGAAATTTCTAAGCAACAACTTGAACCAGAAATTCTCTCAAAGAGACAGGGAGTTGGCGTACTCGCACATCACCATTGCTCATCAGTTATTCTCTGGATACTCTCACTCACTCGAGTGTCTGAGAGTGGCGGGAGTAATCGAACAACTCGTGGAGAATTTGAATGAGAACGATAACCAAAAATGTACGCCTGTCAATAGCAAGCTAGGTGCTTCGCTAATGTATAGCACGTTATCCTATCTCTCAACCCCAGCAAAGGCTGAACATTCTGCGAATCACACAGAAAACAGCGGTGAAATACTAGAAGTGGTCAATTTCGCAGCATCGGATAAACCATCAACTTCCACCCCTATGATATGGGACTCGCATGATACGGCACAACCATTTGAAACTACTGATGCAGCATTACCAGATGATCTAAGCGGTTTTCAGTGGAATTCTGACGAGTTTGTCTTCGACATTCGAGAGTTTTAACTATTCTAAAGTGGAATACTAGAGATTTACGTGCAGTTAGAATTCCAGCAACTCTCACTGTCTGACCAGTGACGCCTTTTGGTTCTTGCTCACCAAGTCAATCGTAGAAACCAGTGACCCAAGATACCGAAGCCAATTCAAATAATAGTTGGGCTGAGAATTCTTGATATTGCCAGATTTGACGCCGATGCTTAGAAAGCTTGAAATATCCGGCCAATGTTTTCATTCATGCCTATTTCTTGTACCGTTATTAAAACATGGCGGGATTCAGCGAGACATGTGGCTGACTCTATCCAGCCGTATCAGGAAGGTTCGAGAGCCACAAGTGGCGCTTCGGAATCAAGTGCTAAACATATACTGCGTGGACTATCCGCTGGATGGATAAGAATGGCAAGTAATCATCCTCTCAGAGCATGATAGGTGCGGGTTTCGCACATCTTCCGCCATTCGCACATTTAAAGGTGCGTGGGTCTTACCCGTCCCGCTCCCTACCTCCGTTCGGCTTCCACCACTGTCCCGCATCTTATTGCGAACTCGCTCAAGATGCGAATTTACCCCGGATACAGCAAGACCAAGGATGAGCAGACTGAACCATTTGAATCAAGCAGCGAGAACGGCAGCTACTATCGTCATTATGGTATGTTTCTACCAAACGAGGGGTTGATATCGCAATGATGGTAATGTCTAGATCAACTTCGGAATGATCTCGGACTGTCAGCTATCCCTACTCGCAAGCACAATATTTCAGAAATCTTACACAGCGTGTATACAAAAGTTGGCGAAGAGGAGGGTGTTTTACTCTGAGCATGATATCAACAACCTCCTCAGACCTAGCACACCAGTCTTAATCATACGCCCAGCTCAAATCTCACCATGGCTCCATTCCTCAACGACAACGAGTTGCCCTCTACCAATCCTAGATCTGACAATGAGCGTCTCTGCCAGATAATCACACCGGTCGGCAATTTTGGCAATGGATTTGTGGACTCCCAGGTGGCTGAGGCATTGGAAGGAACCAAAGGCCTATCCACTCCCACAGCTATAATTCTTGACTCCGGCTCCACAGATTCAGGGCCCTCTAAATTGGCTCTAGGCTATATGAGCTGCCCAAGATCGTGCTACGAGCGTGATATGCATCGACTGGTCAACTTCAGCATCAAGTATAAGGTTCCTTTGTTGATCTCTTCCGTTGGTGGCGACGGAAGCGATGAGCACGTGGATGAGTTTTTAGCCATCATCCGAGAGTTGGCCGAGCTTCCTGAAAACAGGTAAATTCATTGAATTTACAGTCAATTGGGCTAAGGACATATCTAACTCTCTCCAGTTCATGGGACATTAAGGTCATAGCCATCTATGCTGGGGTGACACCAACTCGAGTCACAGAAAGATTGAAGTCTGGCAAGATTACCGGCTGTGGCAAGAGCGTTCCAGAACTCACTCAGAAGGAGATCGATGATGTACCTAGGATCGTTGCACAAATGGGCCCTGAACCATACTTGCAAGCGATGCTTGATAATCCGGATTTCAACATCATTATCGGTGGTAGAAGCTATGACCCTTCTCCGTATGTTGCATACTCTGCTTACAACGCTCTTCAAAAGAAGAGCGGGGATATGTACAGCCTCGGCAAGGATATCTTAGGGTCTTTCACACATATGGGCAAGATCATGGAGTGTGGAGGACACTGTGCGACTCCAAAGAGCAATGGTGCCATTGCACAGATTTACAAGAATGCTACCTTCGACCTCACGCCCATGGATCCTCAGGCCAAGTGCATCCCACGCAGTGTTGCAGCTCATTCGCTCTATGAGAAATCTCGCCCTGATATTCTTCACGGGCCTGGTGGTTACATGAACCTTTCAAACTGTACCTTTCAACAGCTCGAGGATGGCCGAACGACGAGGGTACGCGGAGCTATCTTTGAGGCGTCACGCGCAAACGGCGAAAATTATACTGTCAAGCTAGAAGCCGCACGAACTACAGGCTTTCGAACACTCTTTATGGGCTCGTTCTCTGATCCGATCTTGATCAGTCAACTCGATGACTTGTTGGAACGTGTCAAGGGCTACGCAAAGATGCAACACAAGGATGTGAAAGAGTTCTGGGACTTGGGGTTCCACATATATGGCCTGAATGGTGAGGCTGTAAGTTCTTCGCCGACATTCGCCGACCGTCCATATGCTGTGACACAGCGGGTTTTTCTCGTTGGCGAAGCCATCGCCGAGACTCAAAAGCTAGCTACAAGTGTTGCCAATGTCGCCAGAGTAGCTTGCGTTCATGGCCCCTACAAGGGACAAAAGGCGACATCTGGCAATTTTGGATTCGGGATTGGAGGGAAGCTTGAGCTTGAAGTTGCGGAATGCGCCGAATTCTGCATCTACCATCTAATGTCACTGGCTGAGGGCGAGGAAGGTGCCTTATCCGCATCGTCTCACGAGAGCGGCATCGCAAACACGGTTGACGGCAAGGGTCTCTTCCACTGGACAGTTGGTAAATTCGGCAAAGCGAGCCCCCAACAACCACCTGAAGATCCTGTGCCGACCATCCTTTCGCAAGCTACTAATGGCGCACCGACACAAAAGACCAAAGCCACATCCATTGTCCCTAAAGTTAACGCTTTCAAAATCCCTGCTAACCCCCGATATCTGGCCGACATCGCATCTGTCCTTCGCTCAAAGAATTCTGGGCCATATGAAATTACTGTCGATATCTTATTCGACTCTGCCGAGGTATACCAACTCGTGAAAGCCTCAGGAATTCTCACAACAGAGACCATTGCAGAACAATACCAAATGACGCCCGATGAGATGGTATGGGCCGGATTCTTCGATCTGGCCCAAGCATTCAAAGCAACATTTCCCCGTAAACGGGACGGCAAATTACGCGTCTCAGGAGGATATCTGGAAAACGACGTCCATGGCTCTCAGAAGTATCTTCAGCTTATGGAACTAAAGCTCACCGAAGATCTGAGGGAGAAGTTGCTTGCTATTCAGCAGCGGGAAGCCGAAAATACTGTTTCGTCACTGCCAGTGTGAGGTCGAATGATCCATCTCTCGAGATTTTGCCAGGCAGCTGCCTGGAAATGAAAGAACAACGAATGGACATGAAGTCCTACTAGTATTGTTTGCAGTGTCGCGGACCTCTGTGAATGATTCTCAAGATCTTGGGGTCCTATTTCCCCACTTATTCCTCCAATACCGTATAACGAAGATCGTTTTTTCTCACTTACACAATGTTGGCTGGGATAGTGAATACATGAATCTCACATGTTCCAGATACACTAGAAAACCCATGCTTAATTCAGTCTCCTGTTTCAATATAAAGCAGCTGTTTCGTGTTTTGTCCACCAGCTCATTCTCGCCTCCATCCCTTTTCACATTGTAGATTAGCCCCTATCTGGGGTAGGGTCTACTTTTAGTGTCTTGCAAGGATCAACCCTCTTCCCCCATCATTATCAACGTTCGATATCGACAAAGTGGCACTAGGCTATACATTGAGACTTGCATTCAACACCATGGAAAGACCCCGAGGAGTGAGTATCGCAGAACATTGGAATCCGACTTCTTGAATCGAATCCTCGCATGTTATCTGCAGGCAGATTTCGACGCCCTATGTGGTATGGTACTTAGTCGCCAGGCAGGCACTTAGGAGAAGGATTTGCATGCCGGATTTCTCACAGCCAGATGGTCACCCCCCCCCCCCCCACAAAAACACTATTTTTACATCCCCACGGCGTGGGGAGGAAAAATATTATTTACTGAAAATATTTAT